TAAAGGCTCTGTCGACACGCTCACTTTCTGAAGTGCAAAAGAAGCTCGGGGAGAAGCTTCACCTACGCCAGTTTCAGGTAACTTAACTTTGAAATTTTATCGGAGTGCTTCAAATTCTTTTTTAGATCCAAATCGATTACAACAGGGAATTGGCGGGCAGCCATTGTGCCATATATCGTGTCACTTTGCTTGGTAAGTTTTTTTTGAGCATTTTATTGCCTACAAAAATTACTTTAAGTTTGTATTTTGGTAGATTAGAGTTTCTATAGCATTCTTTGGATCCGGTTTTTCTTATAAAAATAAAGTAAGCGTTTCTTAACTGATTTTATTACACCTAAAAGTAAATACTTTACAAAAATTCGTGAAACTTCAAAAAGCCGATTTTTCGACGAAAAATGGCCGATTTTCGACCAAAATCGCATTAGAAATTTTTGTTTTTCTAGGTTTTTTTTACCTGAAATATTGTGAAATTTCAGTAAAACATTATTCATATATTGACTATGAAGCTACTAGATTCCTAGGCTTTTAGGAGAAAGATCGGTCCCATGCCGATAATCCGAAATAACCTAATTACAATCGGGGTTAGCGGGCGGAGCCCGCTAACCCTTTTTGGGTTGAGTACCCCCACGCGGCTCTTTTGGGTCCTTTTCCCGATTTCGGCGGCAACCATGCACCGGATCGTAAAACTAAATATACCACCGGAACCGGCCGGATTTTTTGCATAAGATCGGCTTTTCATATTTGAAAAAACGTTGATTTTCGAATTTTAAGAGCGGTTTTATTTTGTACTCAGAGGGGGGTCTGCGTTTGTCAGGATGTCTTTCCGTCCGCAAAACCTTTGTAGTCGTCGAAAAGTGCCTTCCCATGGACGGTTTTGGCTGAAAATTTGCACAGGCATTGGCTTAATGCTAATCTCGGTGAGGAAGAAGCGTTTTTTTTCAAAATAGGCCTTTAAAAAAATTTTATTAAACTTTGAAGTTCGAAATTTAAATTGCACCCAAAAGGTGGCTTGTCGAAGTCCGATTGCGCTGAAATTACTCATAGTGATGCCTTGGCCCTTGTTCTAGCATTAACTGAAGAGATTATTGAAATATAAACGTTCTACTTTGAGATACGGCCGGATTACGTGAAAATCTGAGGTCGCAATACGGGGCGCCCTTCCTGTCTGGGCCTCTCCTGGCCCTCCCCACTAATGACACCATCTCGTCTCCCCCGCGCCAATTAACAGACCCTACTTGTTACATTATTTTTATCAAACTTATTTGGTTTGGATAGGACGATTTTAGCACCGAGGATCTATCTTTTCGATAATCACTCCTCTGCTCCTCAACTGGGCATCCCCCTTGCGACATGTATTCTTACCAAATTTCAGTTGAGTTGAAGCTACCGATTATAGCACCGATGATCAATCTTTTCGTTGACCCCTAGCTTGCCCATAATGCGCCCGAGCATTTGGAGGCATCATCGAAAATATTTCTACGCAGAATCAGCGCCACAGGCAAAACTATCCGAAGAATATATTTAGTCAGAAATTGTATTAAAACCACTATTTAAAGGTGCAGGAGGCTAAAAGGGGACAATTAATAAAAATCATAAGGGGCCTGGCAAATATGTACGGTAATTATTAGCGAACCCCTCTATATTCTTATGATTCAATCCATCATTTCCTATGCAAAGTTTCGAATCAACTACCACTCCCCGAGTGGAAAGAGATGCAGCCTACAAAAAGGATGCATTAGCGCAGTTTTGAAGATTTCCAATCTATCATATGTAGCCGATAAGTATTAAGTAGCAATTGTATTTGCATTGCTTGTTCGATTCTAGATAGCTGTCAGACCCTTTTAGTCTTTTGCATAAAGATTAGTCGAGGTGGAGTGCGCCTGAATGCCGGCCATTAGTGCGCCCCAGAGTCGGGCTCGTGAGAGGTCAGGCTGATAATGATAACGACATCTGCCTTACGCGGGAATATTAAAAAAATGATCCGATTAAAAAGCTGTTCTGCACAAAAGTGTATTATTATAGTAAGAACAGAGTTCAGTCAAAAAGGGCAAAATTCTCTTTAGCTAAAAAGAGATTCTTTAAAAAAAGGGTTTTTGGGTTCGAAAAAAGAGCGAGATTCTCTGATGCAGCAAAAAGCGTCAAATTCCCTAACCTCCGAAACATGAGAATTCGAAGGATCAACCAAAAATTGCTGGCACCCAGGAAACCCCGCTTAATTTTGACACTTTAATTGGTTTTTTATTTCGGCACTCTGAAATTTTCCTGCCTTAGTCCTAATCAAAAATAAAATCGAATATAATGGTAATAATGACGATATTTTCAAGCACGTGGTTACCTCGTGATCGGCGTGGTGACGAAGAACATCGAAAAGCGGCAAAAATGCCAAATATTGGAATTGAGTGGCGTTTGAAACTGCGCTTTGGGCCTGCACCCGGCAATTTTTGGTTGATCCTTCGAATTTTCTCATGTTTCGGAGGTTAGGGAATTTGACGCTTTTTGCTGCTCAGAGAATCTCGCTCTTTTTCGAACCCAAAACCCTTTTTTTAAGGAATCTCTTTTTAGCTAAAGAGATTGAGTACCTTAATTTTTCACCCTTTGGAACCTTTTCAGCCCCTAGCGACCAAATAGCCGAGATGCTTGACGGGCTCGATGAAGCCACGATGCAGTTCAAGCAGGACAAACCGCTTGAATGTGGCAAAGAGGCTACGGTAGGCATAGTGTTTTGCAAAAAAAAACTTTAAATCCAAAATCCTTTAGGGCGCCCCAGCTACCGTAACCACAGCCCCAACCCGATCTTCATCGACGCTCAGAATATCGACGTCTTTCCTCATCGTTCTCGCTTCTTTTTGGCTGCTACGGTAGCCGTGTTAGTTCTTGATTTTTCTAAATATTGCTCCAAATACCGGTATCAGCCCTCGGTGATGCACACGCCTATTCTGTGGGTATATTTTGGTGGTTTCTTGCAGAAATTTTCGATTAATAAAAATTGGAATAGTTCGCGCAAAAAGAAATATAATCAGGGCCTGGAAACATTAAAAAACGTTCAAAATAGCAGTGTAATTTTTTTGGCGTTAAAAACAGTGATCATCCAACGCCGCGAGATCCGGGGCAAATATTTGGATAGGGATCGGCGCAGGGGCAAACTTTGAGTGATTTTTGGCGCGTTGAAAAGCCGGAAACGGATCGATAATTTGCGATATTTTTGTATTCGGTCAAAACATCGAAACCTATACTGTAAATATATTTATTGAGGAATCTTTTTCATATGGACGTGTTTTGGGCGTGAGCGAGTGAAAATGTGGGGGGAACGGGTCGGGCTTTTCGAGAAAATCGAATTTCGAATTTCGGCAAAAACAACATTTAAAAAATTGTCTTTGAAATGGGAAATTGTCCGAAAATCCTTAATAATCTCTGCTAGCCACCCAGCGGTCCGAAAGCTAGCAGGGATTTTTTGGGAATTTTGCAAAACTACCTGTTCGTTAAGAGAAAAATTTTTCAACGGCTTGAACGCTTCTTTTAGTTCTTAAATAATCCCTGTTAGCCATCCTGAGGCCGGGCCGATAGCAGATTATTTTTTAGGAATTCGAGCCAGCTAAAGTCAGCTAGAAGCTAGAGTCAGCAGACAGCTAAAGTCCGACAGCAAAAATCCCGAAAGCTAGGATGCCGACAGCCAAAATGTCGTTTGAAGTGCACGTCCGGTTAAAAGCTATTTTATATGTCGGGATTTTAGCTGTCGGGATTTTAGCTTTCTTCTGATTTTTTAGGAATTTAGAAAAAATTCGATTTCCTCGAAAACACGAAAATCCTGAGGGGGCCGGGGGCGCGAATCGGGGGTGTCGATAGGACGGGCCCGGAGTCGGACGGGCGATATGGAATATATGTGGGGGAGTATGGTAGTGGGGAGGGGAGGGATACGGTAGAAAGGGCAATATTTCTGGCAACAAGAGAGGATCATGGGAAAACGATCGAATAACGGACGGCATTTCGGGGGCGGAAAGTGACGGAATTCGTACATAGCGCTTCGCTTCAAGAGTTACTGGCGTGGGGGAAATGGGATTTGGTCGACAGCTGGTTTGTGAGCTAGATTATTTGAGGGGTTTTGTAGATTAGAAAAAAACGATAAAAAGATGGTTAATTCTTGAGTAGTTGCGTCTCGGAAAGCGGATCCGGCGCCATCCCCCCACATAACATTTGCATATCTGTCGGGTCAAGGTGAAGATCGGCCAGATCCTGAATCGTGGCGTATTTAGCCTTTTATCCGGCGTGATCAAGAAGTTCAGCAAAAAAAAACTTAAAAAGAGGACAGCATCGACATTCCGACTTGCACCAATTTACGTATTTTTTTTAAAGGAGATTGATCGGTTTTAAAGGGTCGGCAAGACAGGACAGTAGGCGCACGTTGCTGCAATTACATAGTGTGATATATTAGGGTTTTTTCCGGGTGACTGCGTGGCATTTCGTAAGCCGAAAAATCCATAGCCCTGCCTTGCCGGTCCCGGTTCTTTAGCATTTCCGGGACCAAATTTTTCGGCCCAAGCCTAAATTTTTTCTAAATAGCGCATGCGTTTCTAAATGGTTTGTAACTAGTCCTGAGCATAAAAACTACCCACATTTTAATTAAAAAATTTAATTTTAGGTCGAAAAATCCTATAGAACCTTTAGGATTAGCGGGGGGGAAGACCCAAAATGACTAAATTTTCGACTTTTTCAAACATTTTTCTAACTTTTTTGAAAGGTTTTTCTACTTGAAATATAGTTAAAATTTACTAAAAAGAATGTGAAAACACTTTATATTTGATTACTAGGTCACCGGGAAAACCAGGAAAAATTTGGTTTCCCCCCCCCCCGGAAATCCTAAAGAACCGCCGGTCCCTTTAATCCGCCAGCAAGTACGAGAAAATTGTGCAAAAATAAAGTGCAGACAAAACACAGTACTACGATACCCTGAGAACCGTGCGCGGTCCCGCAGCGCTAACCTTTACGCCGAGTTAAGTGATATGAGGAGTGGGTTATGCGCGCTGTTGCATCTGGAATTACCGGGGTAGCTTTTCATGCCTTTCTCTCTGTCTCTCTCCCTCTCTCTCTCTCTCTCTCTCTCGCTCGCTCTAAATAATTAATTCCAAGTGAAATGCCAACCTGGAAACAATCGAGTTCCCCGGCGCCGCCATCGGCCCCCGTGAGGACGATATTCGGAATGTCGTGTACTTCGGGTGAATTGCTAAAAGTTCTCATGTATTAGAGTTCATGATTTAACAATAGAACTTAAAAACCACAACAATATAATTTTTTAAGGGTTTTAGGTCCCGTTCTAGTTGGAGAGAGGTGAAAAATCCTGGCGTTATTTCGTATATTTTTTAACCGTATTAAAAGGTGTAACGATCTAGCTTTTAGTAATTTCGATACATGAAAACTTTCTAAAACAACCCTAAAGGCCTAAAAAATTCAAAAATATCGACAAAAAACCCGTTCATAAATTCGAAATTTTCGGCAAGTCAAAAGTTTCTCGGCGGCTTCATCTTTAGAAAAAACCAGGGTTGAAAAGCCGCTTCGCTTCGTTCGCGACTTTTAACCCTGGCCCCATCTGAGCCCATGATAACCTGCACATTGCATAATTCGGCCGAATTTCGATGAGAAATAATGAAAAATGGACCTTTTCCGCCGTTATATAGACTGCCGCCACTTCCGGCTTGTGCTCTTTAATGCCTAACAAAGAGGCTGCCCGATTTTTTAACAAAAATTGATTTTAATGTCGAAAACCAGGGTTGAAAAGCCGCTTCGCGTCTTTTCAACCCTGGCCCCCGTCTAGCGTCATAATTAGAGATGTTACGAATCAAGTAATATAATGACCAAGTAAATTTGCTTGAACAACTTTATTTGCATCCGAAATCTTCAGGTAATTATAAAATTATTTTGCGCCGTTTGCTTAAATAAGCATCAAGTAAAATAAAATTACTTGATTTACTTGATCTTGATTGATTTGGGAGAATTACTTGATTTTCAGCGAAATTACTTGATTTTGTGCAAATTCGCAATGCAAATCAGGCAATCGTGCCGCGAACCCAGTAAATTAGCATTCGATCATGGCATAAAGTTCATTACCATCCGAAAAAATGCCAGAATTCCAGAAAGCTATTGTTTGACCAAGTAAATCAAGTAAATCAAGTAATCTTACTTGGATCTTTCTCGAGCGGAGTCAAATAATATTATTTTACTTGGTCATGCGCTCAGCCCGATCCAAATCAAATAATATTGTGCCATTGTATGCAAATAATCTTGATTGTTAATTGATTCTTAACATCTCTAGTCATAATAAGCTTCATTTTGCATAATTCTGGCGAATTCCGATGACAAAAATGAAAATCTCTCCCTCCGCCCATTATATAGGCTCGCGCCATTTCCGGCATATGCTAATTGATTCCTAACAAAGTGGGTGCTCCATTTTCTAACAAAAACTTAATTTTAACGTTGGAAATAGCATAATTTGCAAAATCTTTTGTGTGTGCAGTCATCTCAGCGCCATTACGCACCTAATGACGTATCATACGTTGCTTAAAACCCTTTCCCTCTCGAGATATCCTCCGGACACCCTGACGGAAGTTGCATGCAAAGTGGCACACACACACACACAAAAACACACAGACACTATTTTTTTATATATAGTAGGATAGCATAATTTGCAAAATCTGATATGCGTGCAGTCATCTCGGCGCCGTTACGCACCTAATGACGTATCATACGTAGCCTAATACCCTTCCCCCCTTGAGATATCCTCCGGACACCCTGACGGAAGTTGCATGCAAATGCACACACAGAGACACTATTTTTTTTTATATACAGGGTGTCCCAAAATTATCCGGACAAAACTGAAAACTGACTTTTTCGATTTTTCCGCTGTTTTCGGCCTCCGCATTGTATTTCATAATATTTTTTGAGGCATTTTCGATGCACCGTGCAAAAAAAAATTCTTGGAGAACGCATTAATAGCTTAACAATCGAGCGAAGAGCGTGTTAAAATTTTTCGCCTCTTAAATAACATAAAAATTGCGGTAGACTTTCAAAATGTGTTCAGACGTTTTTGTGGGCAAGAAATGACGTTTCCTGGCAAAACGGACCTAACTCCGCCAAGATTCCGACATGTTAATGGTCATTTTTCCGTTTAATACCGATTTCCATCCCATTACTGTGCAAGGTGTTTCGATGCTTGCTCGTGCTCAAGCTCCTCAAAAATCAAAGTTAGCTTAATTTAAATCGCTTGTGCATCATTGTTACCGCCAAACGTTTATGCCTCTGGTCTTTGACAATAATCATATCGCGTTTTTAGGGTTCCTCCAGGGCAAACCTTTAGGCAACCGGGCGGCGCTACCCGATTTCAACTTTTTGGCTGGCTGTTTTTTTTCTGGTGTAAACTAGCGTTTTTGGGCCGGCTAAAGTGTTGACTGGTCATTTCCGAACTCTTCCTGTGGTTTCTTCGTGCGTCCGGTCATGCTGAAAGTTTCTTATGGGATCGGAAAGCATGCGCGTTTTCAGCGTTTGCAACGAGAGAGAAATTTGGTTCGAAGTTCTCCAATTTATTCCGAAGAGCTATGACGGATTCACGCGCAGTTTTCTTTTTAATCGTATTAAATACACTTTAACGATTCATAGAAATTAAATTATGGTCTGCAAAAACCGGGAAAAAATAGGAAAAAACCGCTTTGCAACTTTGTCCGGATAATTTTGGGACACCCTGTATAGTAGGATACGAATTTATATGGTATAAATATGAATAAAATAAGCGTTTTAGACAGCTTAAGTTTTTCAAAAAGCGAGTACTGTCCCCCGTCCCCCTCTAAACAGAACGGTACCGATTCCCGTCTCTCAAGCACAAACTACAAAGTCGGCTGTAGTTTGCGTGGTTTTTACAAATATTATTGAGAAGCAGGTGCATTAGAAGCCGGACCAAACATCAAAGGACTCCCGCCCGTCTAGTAGGCCACCTGCGGACCATCGGGCTTATTCTCCCAAGAATTCCATATCGTAATCGATCCCCGGTGCAGCAAAAGCAAAAAAGGTAGGGCTCCAGATGCCCCCAGCCGGGCCTCCCATATTTTGTATCTTAGCTGCCCGTTGTGCTACAGGGCTGTGAAGTACACCAAAATGTTCGCCTTGATCTGGCGAGTATTTTGGTTGACCATACAGCCCTGTAGCACAACGAAGAACCAAGATACATTAGCTGGATGCCTGGAGTTTAGCCCAAAAAGCGGCATAGCAAAGCGGGTGGTGATAAAAAAGCCTGGTTCTTTTGCATTATCGGGGGGACCAACTTTTTTCCTATAAGTCCAGAAATGTCAAGTGACGTAATCGCAGTAATTTTAAGTGTAAAAACCATAAAAATAGAAAAGTTTTTAGTTGAACTTTTGGCCGAAAATTATCAATTTTTGGTCGAAAAATCGATATTTTTATTTTCAAAAACTCTATTTTAAGTTAAAAACCCTTTAAAAACTTGGCAAAATATTTTAATCAAAATCTTATACAAAATTGACATTTTTGTATTTCATCAAAATTTGTTAAGTATTTATCCTCAGGAAGAGCAAAAATAGTTTAGAAACATTTCCTCTTTCTATTAGAAAAAACAAATCCCTTGAAAAAAGTTAGCCCTCCCGATAATGCGAAAGAACGAAAACAAAACTTGGGAAAAGCCGTGGGGGTGCCGTTTCACCTGAAATTACGTAGCGGAGGCCATTGGGGAGGCTGTGGCTGATCGGTGAATTGTTGAGGAGACGTCGGGGCTGAGTGTGAGGTGTCCGCCGCTCCTCCCATTGGTGCGTTCAGCCTGTGCGATCATCAGTCTCAGGATAACCACCGAAAACCCCAAGCGAACACGTTCGGCCACCGTTTTTTGTGAGTCAAATACTACTGTATTTGGGGCAAAATTTAATTTTGAGAAAAGAATGGGTTCTGGTTCGTCATCGGGGGGGGAGAGGGTAAATTCCTCCTAAATTTACGGGGATACCGAATAATAAAATATAACATTTTTTGAAAGTAATTAATTACCTTTTTATAGTTCGAAAATCCGCATTTTTTTGTCAAACATTTTCAATTTTTAGTATTTTTCTTGCTTTATTAACAAAAGCTTTTTGTAATTTTTTAGAAAACGGAAGCTACTATCTTTTCACCTTAAAAAAGCATCAATATTTTCGAACAAATTCAAAAATATATGTAAAATCGTCAAAAACGGTAAAAACTTCAGTTCACTCCCCGCCAACGAACCAGAACCCAAAACCTTAAAAAACGACGGCGGCGACAGTGCAATAGAAGTCCAAAAACCCCTCCCAAAAGCGGAAGCACCCCGGTAAGCTGTGTGGTTAGGTAGGGTAAGCGTGAATCGGGGGTTTTTCGGGAAAGTAATAGTCATTTGGCATACCGTACACAGCCGGTACTGTGGCGTTGCCCGATCGGTGGATGGTAGCAATTGTGTAGTTGTGGATGGTGGGGCGGCATACTCGAGACGTTCGGAAGGGAACCGGCCATCCCGTCACCTCCCTCGAATGGTGTACACAGCTCCATTAGCCTAGAAAATGGTAAACATATTTTAATATTCTCGTAAATTCAGTTAAATTAATTTTTTCGAATCGGTAAACAGACAAAAAAAGGTTTAGAACACACTTGGAAAAATTGGAATCCTTTGAAGGCGCAAAACGTTAGTTTCTAGGATTTTAATTTGGGTAATTTTACTTTTTTATTTTAATTGACGCCTTGGTTTTGCAGTTATAGTTTAAAAGTAATTTGCAAGTTAAAACTGATAAATTTGGCTTTAGAGAAAGAGATCTCATCTTTTAAAAAAAAAAAAAAAAAAAGCCCCGGGAAAAAAAAAAAACCACAAAAAAAAAAAAAAAAAAAAAAAAAAAAAAAAAAAAAAAAAAAAAAAAAAAAAAAAAAAAAAAAAAAACCCCTTTTTAAAAAAAGAAAAACCAAAAAAAAAAAAAAAAAAAAACCCCCCCCCCCCCCCCCCCCCCGAAAACTTCCGGGAAACGATGTTTAACTACAAATACTTTTCCCATAATTTTTAGCAGAGCAAAACGACATTAACATACCGATGATCATCAATTGGCGACATCGGACCCGACCCGGGCATTCCATGGTGTCCATTGTGGGGATGATGAAGCGGCGATCCCATTTGCGAGCCCATCGGAGAATTTTGCACGCTGTTGTTCATCCCTGAAAACATAGTAGATGATTATTTTTCTGTTTCTATTTATATCGTTCAATACAGCCAATTTTTAAAGCCCTACCAATTGGAGACTGAACGTTGCTCTGCGGCATTTGATTGGGCGGTGTGGTGGCTGGTGACATGGACATTGGGGATCCCATCTGTGGTCTTCCCTGTCCCATCATACTCGTTCCCGGCTGCATTTGGTGGACAACCTGTAGAAAGGGTTTTAATGGATCGGTACGGCTTAAAAAGTTGAAATATACGATGCATAGAAGGTGAATTGGAGAGTCGAGTTTTTGGAAATTTGTACACCAACGTGGTACTGATCTGCTTGCGGGGAAAAATAATTTTGCCCAGTAATCCTGCATGGTCCTATAAAAAAGATAACCCATTTTGATAGCGTTTTGTACCATTTTTAGACATCGACAGCTCTTAAAAACCCTTATTTTACAATTGTTGAAACCGTTTTGAGAAAAATGTACGAAAAATGACCAAAAAAAGGTATGCTAAGAATATGCTACGCTGCTACGAATACATCTAACTACGTCGCGCATCAATAGATGTGTACGTACCAATCCGACGCGTGCTTTTACAAGTCGTACCAACCTGCTGAATAGATTGCATGTTGATGGAATTGGGCGGCTGTGGTCCGTTCATCTGCTGGGACATCTGAGGTGGCGGCTGGCCCATGGGACCTCCCATTGGCCCTAAAGATACAGAAATAACCACATTTTATAACAATAAACGTGTTTTAGACTGTTTTTCTCTTCTCTGCTACCCACCTGGTTGCCCCATATGTGGATTTTGTTGCATTTGGCCCTGGCCCCCGTTCATCATCTGAGGGCCCATACCGGGATTACCCTGAAAATTTTAGTTTTTCGTTGAAAAAGTTGATTTTTATTGGAATGAAGACATAGCTAATAATGTCTGCTCACTAGCCTTCCAGAGGATAGATCAAAACATACCATCGGATACCCGGGCGGCCCATTATAATATGCGGGATGCATGTGGGGTGCTGAGGAGTGGAGCATCGGATCCGAACGCGCGCGGTAGAAGCTAAAAAATACTTTAGAAAAAAACTAGAAGCTAGCTGTTACTTGGCGTATTCGGGAGGCTGTAGATGTTGAGGGGGCACCGGGGCGTATGGTGCGTAGTGGTGATGGAGTGGCGGGACGCGCTCCTGAACAAAAAAAGGCTATTTGGTACCGAAAACTAGGGTTTAGGCTCTTTTTAAAGGTCAAAACGCTTTTCAAAATTTAGAAACTTAAAAAAAATGTGTATTTATAAAAACGATTAGAGTACGAGGTGATACCCCGTACAGATTTACCGTATGCGCGCCAAGCATTTTCCATCCTTTATTTGTTTTTGCAGGGTTCGTACGGTATCATTTTCTCAGCAATTTTTTATAATAAACGCTGATTTAAACTATGTAATTATACATCGTAAATAGTAATTTAAGGTATCAGAGCGTATTTTATAGGTCAAAATTTTTATTTTGGCCCTTAGATACTTGTAATTAATGCATTACAAAACGGTGCGGCCCGTGTGAACCGTACGAAATTTGCTAATTGACGTCGATACCGTTGGCCCCTTAAACGCCTTAAACGCAACGCAGTGTAAAATCCAAAAAGCTAACCTGAGATCTTGATGGTTTGTGATAGGGATGATAGTGGGCCCCTGTTGGAGATCGTCCTCGCTGACTCACTGCCGGCGCCTCCCAATATCCCCATTGGCCAGGTTGCTGATTCTGCAAAAATTAAATTAAATAAATCACGCAATAAATAAAACGTTTCCCCGCCATTTCCATTCGCCCTTTCCAACAGCCCCTTTAATGAGCATTTCCGCGCCACTTCAACTACTCGACTTTCCCAAAATGGGACGCCCGGGGTGCCGGTAATCCGAGTGCTCTGGGCCCCTTTTGCGGGCCCCTTGTCGGGGTGTGTGAGAATTGATTCCGGGACCCATAAGGCCACCCGTGGGCTGATCCCTGCCCTGCCATTTGTACTTCCCAAATCCTTTAATCACTGCCGCCCGTCTGGGACCACCCCCACTTAACTCTACATTGGATCTATTGGGTCGTAGTGGAGGGCAGTATCCACCTCAAAGTGACATTAGTCTATCGAAATTTCCGATTGGAGCGGAATAAACCAGAAAGGTTGCTAAAAATCGCTGTAAAATTGGATCCATTACGCTACGCGCCTTTGAACGATGCAATGCCATAAAACATCATCGAGATAAAAGTTTTTGTTAGCGAGTATAGCGCTTATTTTCAGGATTGACAAAACTAACCGAAAAATTTGGCCGCATAAAACGAATATTTGGTACAAAATCGGCTTAAAGGGCTGCCGACGGCATGTGTCGATCCCCCCCCCCCCATCAACAAATTGGCAAGTAGCCAACAGGGCAGAGAGCGCGCCCAGGGGGGAGGCGCAGAGACATTTTCTTTCCCGCGCGTAATCGATTGCATTATGCCGTCCCTATCCCTTTAAGATACGCTTCTCTGAAAGCTACAACGCTGTCGATGCTTGAACAGGCAAAGAACCTCATTTTTAGCGCTTAGCAACGTTTTGTAATCTAGAAAATTAAAAATCAAACAACATTTTGACTACAACACCCGTTTTTAACGCCCCTACGCGCCCTCCCGTTTCTAGAGCTCACTAAAAATCTATATAACATGAGAGAAAAACGCGTCATTTCCAGGAAAAAAAACATTTTTTTGTAGGGCGTTAAATATGGGTTGCCTAAAAAGTGTTAAACGCAATAAAACTAGCGAAAATCTGGACAAACTAATACAAAACAACCAGAACTTTACAAAAACGCAATCACAAAACAATTACCCGCCCCCGCACTGTCCCTAGGAAACGCATAAAAAGCCACGGGGACCACACAGCGCATTTGTAGCTGTGCGAATCGGCCGGGACCTTTGTTTTTATTGTGAGAAAAGGGAGGGCTCAGTGTGGCAGAGAAATATCTCGGCATCGGCTGAATCGCCCGGATCAGCCAGATTTAGCCGCCCGGACCGCCGGGAAGACCTTTACAATGTAGGATTAAGTGAATGGGCCCCCCGGCGGCAGGGTTCAGCTAATTAATTGGAGTGATTTTATTAACCACGCACATCATAGCGGTTTCTTTGGAAGTAGCGGGAAGTGGAGCCGGAGCTGGTTCGTTAGCAGGGGGAAGGGGATTTTATTCATCCTAACGTCTACAGTAATACAATCTAAAAAAATTTGTATTTTTTTTGTGTAGTTTCCATTACTAAAAAAGGTATAAAACCCGTTTTAAAAAAAATCGGACATCTGGACAAAAAAGTGACAATTTTCGGAAGTCTTAACAATTTTTTCGAACTTTTCGGAGATAAAAAGGGCATAAAATACTATTAAAATAGTTTATATTTCATTATTTTGCGTCCACGAGATTTTACATCTTGTTTATCCCCCCCCCCTCCCACTAACTAACCAGAACCCATTTTTTTGTCAAAATTTTGTCCGGAATACAATATTCGGCTTACGAGATGTTTTAGGGCTTTGTTTTGTGATAGCGCCGATGGGAACGTAGCAAAAAAATCCCCCGCTAACGCACTAGCACCGCCGAGCCGAATCTTCCAAAACCTTTCCCCCAACCTTCAGCCCAACACTAATAAGCTTAGTTTGAAGGCGTGAGGGGCGGCCTCGGTGGAGAAGGTGAAAGGCCTCTTGACGGCCCTTTTAATTGGGTTCCTTGTCGCCATCTAGGTCCACTGTCCGCTAATCGTACGCGCGCATCCAATTTCAATTCGGCGGTGGTGGGGGCCCGTAATTGAGCAGCATTCCAGCGCTCGGGCTCCCCCCTGCACCGGAAACACCTTTTTTTTGCGTGTGTGGCGTCACTTCCGCCTTTCCACGTCAAATTACCCAAGTTTGAGGTTTCACTCAACCCGATGTCCAACCGTGACCCGACAACTGGCCAGCCCACTTACGCCCAAGTCGCTCGCGGTTACCCGAAGAGCCGCCCAAGCCCTCTTCACGAATTTCATCCACTCCCCCTCCCTCCGCGCCCACCTCCAACTTGGACCGAGGACCCAAATGATGCCAAATGTAACAATCCTGATTACCAACTTGTATTAGAAGGCCTACCAGAAGTCCGCCCAGACCCGCTAGTTACCCCGGACGTACGCCGTGGATTGGATCGAGAGATGATCAACCACATCCTCGCGTTCTTTGGACTTGACACTCGCATCGTGGGTCCTATAGGATGGGCACCTACTCTTCCTACAAGCCGCGGCCCGTTAAAATCATCGTCGCATCCCAGCATATGCGTGTAAACCTGATCGCTGCGTCACGCCGCCAAAATCGGAACGGACTCCGCCCTTCGCTCAACGTACGATTTTCCGAAATTCGGACCCGACCCGCTCCGCCTTCCATCTGAAATCGCCACTCCAGGATTCGACACACGCTCCCGACCCCGTGCCTCTACTCGACACACAACAAGATCACATGGAAGTTGATCCTGGTGTCACCCAGCCGCTCACCGACACTCGCCCCAATCTTGAGCCCACCGTCGCCCCCGTAAAGAGTGCCCCGAGGACCAGGCCTCAGAGAGTCAGGAAACCCACAGAACGGGCTCAGACAATGGATCTGGACACGACCAAAAACAAGAGAAAAGGACAATCGCTTTCGCCGTCAGCTAGAGTGAGAAACAATTCCCGCCTTCTCGAAACTCAGCGATTCGAAAAAGATGAAGCCCGCGACTAGCTGCCTCGTCTCCAACCTCAACCGTGAATCCATCAGCCGGCTCCTCCAATGAAGTACAATCGGCAGCTATAAACGCCGATCGGTCTACCCCACTCCCCTAGCAAACATCCCAAATAGCCCGGGCGACCCTTCTCTCTTTCGCCTATCATTTGCCTGTTGACAAACAACCTGTAAACTTTAGAATTTTTTCTGCAAATGTCCGTAGCCTAAAAAATAAGCTCCCCGAGCACGCGATCCTTCTCACCTCTTTCCTTTATGACGTCGTTTGCTATCAAGAGTCTTGGCTCTCGCAAATAGTCGTTGATTCACTGCTCTGTGATCCTGGCCATTACAAAGTTTTCGCGCTGACCGAAAAAGACAGGTCGGGAGGTGGCGTAATCACGTTTGTTAAGACCCACCACCCTGTTAAGGTGATCTTCATAGGCGAATTCGAAGGCTGTGAAGTTCTGATTCTAGACATATTTCTCTCTCATTGCCGTACCGATTCGTTAACGTTTATAGACCTCCCCAAACGTCTTACTCTCAAACGGAATCGCTTTTTGCTAATCTAGAACCATTTCTTTTAGCAAATTCGCTGATTTTACTAGGTGATTTCAACCTGCCTATTTTCCCGGGTCCCTCCTTCTCGGCGGGCATAGCCGATCTTTTACGCGATCTACTCTTTGAGCAAAATCTAAAACTGCTGACCACCTTCCCGACTTTTCCCCGTACGGGCAAAATTTTGGATCTTTTTGTCGCTAGCCCTGACCTAAACATCGATTGCAAGCCCCGCTCCCGCTTTTAACCAGTGCGATCATATAGCAACAGTAGCAACCCTTTTCGCCCAAAATGTCATACCTAGCTCTAGTCAAACTCTCGCTCCCGATTTTCACTCTGCAGATTATGCTAAGGCCCAATCCGAGTTATTTATTACCGACTGGTCATTTCTTTCCCTCGCTGATCCTATCCAAGCGACCTATGACAGATTTTGCCTGGAATTCGCGAGAATAATCAATGACACCGTCCCCCGTAGGCTCAAAGGCACCTTACCTAAAATCCCGCCCCACATTCAGCGCTCTCTTAGGAAGAAAGATGATGCCTGGTCTAGATTTATTGCGACGTCCGGTAGCTTTGATGAGTATCTGGCCCATTCCAAACGGCATAAAGTAAATTGCCAGAAATTCTTGAGAAACGCGGAAAACGCATATTTGCCTCTGGTAATCCCCCGCCTCTTTTTCGCCCACATAAAATCTAAGAGTAAGCCAAATCCCATCTCACTTCTCAAAAATCAAAAATTCTCCCAAAATCACAGACGAGGCGGAGGTCTCAGAGGAATTTGCAGCCTATTTCTCGCAGGTTTTTCAGCCCGCTCGAGGGCAACGTCCCCCCTCCCATCATCCCGACCCCTCGCCCCCTTTTTTGTTCACCCTAACGATATTGACAAGGCCCTAGCTTCCATGAATCCAAAAACCCACTGGACGCCCGAAAACATTCCCACTCTTTTCCTCAAGAAATGTTCGGTGATACTCGCTCCCGTTCTGACTAGGCTTTTTTAATATCACCTTACTAAAAGGTGATATCCCGTCACTGGAAACTTTCTCGAATAGTACCCCTTTTTAAGACCGGCGACGAAACTAAGGCCCAAAACTATCGCCCAATAGCCCTCACATCATCGATTTGCAAAGTTATTGAAGTTGCGCTGAAACACAAAATAATTTCTTTTCTAGATGCTAAACAGTTCTTTTCCCCGGCCCAGTTTGGATTCAGAGCCTCTCATTCTACCACCGCGCAGCTCATCAAAATGTTCCATGACTTTGCCAACATGTTAGATTCCGGTGAAAAACCAATAAGCATATATTTCGATCTAGCAAAAGCTTTTGATAAAGTCCCCCATCACATTCTCCTAGATAAAGTCGCCCAAACGGGCCTGCCTGTTCCCATATACTCGTGGTTGAAAGCCTATCTCACCGGTCGGACTTTTCATGTACAGAACGGAGACTCAGTTTCTAAGCCACGTCCTCAAACCTCGGGGTCCCGCAGGGTGTGTCTTAGGGCCCATACTTTTTTTGATCTTCATAAATGATCTCCCACCCCTTCTAGTAAACAAAAATCTCTTATTCGCTGACGATCTCAAAATCTATGCAGGTATTGGGCCGCGCTCAGGTCCCAGTCCCCACACCTCTATCCAGTCCGACATCTCTATCATAGAAAAATGGGCCTCGGAAAATGGGATGTCCCTCGCCGTTAATAAGACCTTTTGAACTTCCCTAAGTCCCGCACCTCCCTTACTTCTCGCAAATAGCCCAATCGAAACGGTCGATATCATCAAGGATCTCGGTGTTAGATACACAAATAAGCTCTCTTTCAAGCCGCATATCACTGAAATCTGCGCAAGAGCGGCGCGAATTTCGTACTTAATCATCAAAAGATTCAGGTACCCAATAAAACTACTTATATCCGCGCTTTTTCACACTATGTAGACCGATTCTGGAATATGCGAGTGAAGTTTTGGTCTCCATCCCGCAAATATCTGATTCAGAAGATCGAAAATGTCCAGAAAAGATTTACCTTTCATGCCTACTCTAAACTTTGCCCAGGGTTTCCCGTAATTCCGTATGAAGAGAGGCTAGCATTTTTTGAAATCCCCACCCTCGAAACACGCCGAAACCAAAATGACCTCGTCCTGTGCTATCGAATAATTTTCCAGCAGAGCTATCCAGTCAAATTTCTTAAACTTGCGACGCGACCTTCTAGGAGTTCCCACAGGTTCCAGCTCACTAGATTTAACAGCGTAGGAGATACCCCTAGGTCTATCTTTTCACGACGCATCATAAAACTATGGAATTCACTTCCGCCACCTCTCCTCTTAAACCCTCCGACCAGCGCGAAACGCTTTAGGAAAAGTCTTGAAACCCTTCCCCTAGCCCATAATCCCTCCTAAGCAAAAAACCTATTATCCCCGTCCCTCGTCTTTCACCCATGTTTTTTTTTCACTTTACGTGTTTATCATTTTTTGCTTACGTTATATTACCCGGTTGAATAAACCATTCATATAAAGGAACCCCGGCAAAATACTTGGAAAACCGGTCGCCGGGCGAGATTTCTCGAAGGGGAATTGATTGGCTGATTAGAGCGATGTGTGTATCTTACTCTGAAACATAGGAGTCTATTGGCTGCCCGAAAAAGTACGCCTTTGTAGCCGACTACAGGAAGGTCGGGTTGGGATGATTTCAACACCATTGCAAAGCTCTTGAAAAACGAAAAACAAGCCATTTTCGTTTGCTTAAATACGTTATAATTTTTTCTTTTACATTTTTATTTGAAACGCGCGTGTTTTCCGCGTGAAAATGGCAAAATCAACCAGTTCTAGACATTTTTAATCATAAAAAAAAAGAAATAAAATGCTTAATTGAGAAAACGAAAAAACCACTTGTTTTCTTGCGGTTTGAAGAGCTTTCGTTAACTAACTAAATCATGAAAATCGGACATTTTTCGGGACCGTTAGAGCGTTTTCTTTTGGCAACCCTATACCGTACCAACATCCCCACAGTTTAATAAGACACCTAAAAAGCACCCTCATTTCTATCCCGCAAAGCTGAACCTATAAATGCAGCCGCCCGGATTACCGGCACCGCGTTTCAGCCGCCCCAAATTGGAGCAGGTGCTAAGCATGGCAACCAGCGAGCACGGGGCCCAGTTTCGGATACACAGAAAGGCCCAGGGAGACCAAATTACGATTCAGCGGCTAGGGCCTGAGAAGCTAACGGAATCGACTAGCTAAATAAGAACAAAAACTATAAAAATCTACCAACCTGTGCAATCTGATGAACATTGGGCAGCGAACCGCCAGGTCGATTCCATTGCCCGGGCAGCAGTTGCTGGTTTTGTCCGGGGCCTGCAAATGCAAAAAAGATCAAATTATTTTTATTTTTTACGACCGACCACTTTGCTCGGGCACCGGATCGTTGGAGGTGATCGACCGGACATCACGCATCACCCTGAAATTGCAACGAGTTGAACGCGTTCAGCGATTCAAAAGGCTTGTAAATTGACCCACTTGGCAAAGGCGTCCTCCTCCTCATTCTGTTTCCGCTGGAGGATGGCGATCTTTTCCGAGAATTTGCGTGGCGTCCCGTGCGAGCCCATCTTCGCGAAACCCGGGGCCGTTCGGGCGTTGGCTGAAAGTTTGAATGGGTGCAAAAAATTAGGTCATTAAAGCGCAGGTTCTGGCATTGGCGTTATAATGCTACGTGAGCGCATATTTATGCAGGGGTCTTTTTTATCTTCGTAAATAGGGGCCGTCGTTATATACGAGCGTGGTACCTGAAGCGCCTATTTACGCAGAGAGAATAAGTAAAAAAAAAGTAGGCGTTCATAGGCGCTCACGTAGTATTAATAATCCAATGTCATAAAACGCGCTTGAAATAATGAAAATGTAAAAGTCGCAACATAGACTAAATTTTTAAAAATCAGGCGTGAAAACGGTTTCGGTCACCCTTCCCTTGCCTAATTCAGGAGAACAAGAAAACAAAAGTTAAAACTGAGGCAGAAACCGATCTCTAAATCTCTAAAATACGGCGTAAAAACGGTTCCGGTCACCCTTCCTTCAGCCGAGTCCGGCAGAACAAGAAAACAAGAAAGAAATGCCGGGCCAAAAGCCGGTGAATCACGCGGCCGGTCCGGGGCACGGCGAGGCGCAATGGCCATTACAGATGCACGGATCGATGGCCAGGGCGAGCACAGGCCTATTTGTTTCCGGGGCAAGAAATAGAAAACGCGAGAGGGCAGCGAGGTGGGGCACGACTCTTGTGGGCGGGTGGTGAGCGCGCGCGGGTGGCGGCAAGGAGCGAGCCGAGCCGAGGCGGGGAGGGGCACGTGCCAAAAGAAGAAGGCCCAGCCAGGTGCCGGGCCCGACATAGAGTAGAAGAGTCTTGCAGCGCGGCCAATGCGTCTCTGCCCAGCCAGGCCAGCCACCACCACCACACAGGCCCTGCCCCCTTTTGCCGCCCTCTATCGCTGCCTTTTGTCGCCTTTCTCTTTCTCTCTCTCCCCGTCCCCTATCCTGCCAGCCGGCCAAGACCACCGGAAACGGGGAGAGAGCCGAGAAAAAGGCAAGAAATAAAGAGGCTATGCTTGTACGCCACACACATACACACGGCCAGCCGGGTGTAACATTGATGATCAGATGGCAGACCGCCACTCTGCCCGGCCCGAACCCCCGGCGTATTCATATGTGCCCTCCTCCTCCTCCCAATCATCATCATCATCACTTCACAATTGCCAGCCCAGGGTTTCACGCCTGGAATTAATTTGTCTCAATTTATCGCCACTAAGCCCTGCTGATTTCAAAACGAGGCAGCCGCCCGTCGCTCCGGAATCTCAATCAGAAGTATTCGCAGCCTGCTGCAAAATCCTGAGTTCTTAAAATACTAATTTTGCCCCACCAGCGAAGAACTCTACTAAAAAACGGAAACCTAGAAAATAAGAATTCTCGATTTTTTTTAGATTTCTGTCTTTTTCTGTGTTTATATGTTCACGTGCACGCGTGGCTCGTTTCTCGTTTCGATCTATTCGTGGTGCCTAAATTGGACTATCCTAGAAAATAACCTTTCAAGGTTTTATTCTATTTCCAGCTTAATTTTTACCTTCAACTTTTGACGACCTTCATCAGAAAACGGAAAGCGTTTTGCACTTTTTAGGAAACGGAATTTCCGAATGCGCCAATTGACGCATTTCGCAAAAGGCTGTCCCTTGGAACGGCTCTCCCATTTTTTTCTGCAAATAAAACGCGTTCTAACGGTTTCTTCGTTTTCGATCCTTGTAGAATCACGATACTGCACGATTTCGATAAGACAAAGCGAGAATTACAATTTTTACCGAAATAGCGTTCTTGAGGCCATATAAACGAGAATAGTGATTTTTGAGAGCCTAGAACAACAAATAAGCGGTGCAGAGACTCCAGAAAATGTTCCCTACGTCCAGTACATTTTTCTTCTAAGGTTAATCGATTTTATACATTTCGAGCAAGTTGTGCCGTGCGTCTACCTCATTAAATTTAAGAAAAAGCTTTTTTGGAGGCAGATCCAGTAGGAAAAACTACAATTTGAGGATTTACGATAAAAAACAACTAGGTTTCTTTCATTTTTTTTCAAAATCCTCATTATCTTCTATGTATTTCTGTTGTCCTTAGATGTAAAATTTCTAAAACCTTCTTTCCAGAATTTTCTTATGATATTCTCATGAATGAATGTGGAACAGCCGACAACCTCAAAGCCAGAGGAACTTTTATACTTTCACAATGGCGAGACGTCTTCGTTTGCACAGGCATTATCTAAAGGTGAATAATTAATATTGTATTAACGCCTTACCTTTTTCAGCCGGCAAAGGTTCGTTCCTGATCCGATCAGCGAGTTGCCCTGGATCATATGCGCTGCTAGTGAACACTGGGAGGGTGATCCAGAAGTTCCTGATCGAGGTGACAGCCGAAGGGAAATATACGCTGGGCCCGAGGACATTTGACACGATTGAGGATGCCATTGATAGGTAAATACACTTTGATTATCAGAATGTGGAATTAGATACTATGGTCGACCGATTGCGGACAACGTATGTTTGGAAAGGGCGGTGATGTGCGAGAATCAACCAAGCACTTCGAAACTGGAAGTATCTTCACGATATCTCGGAACGGATGGGACATCGGGCTCTTCTTCGGACTTGAACCACAATGGTCTCACGACGTTGGATGATAAGAGCACCGCACTACACACCTTCGCCTCAATCCAAGCACAGCGAAAATGTGAGGATTTTTGCAGCATGCTCTTACGAAAATGCGAGGCCACTGGGTCCTAAAACAATGCCCGAGGTCATTTTTGGGGCACCGTTTAGCAAATGGTTTCTGGTTTTCTGTTTCCTGATGCAAATTAAAATTTTTCAGCACGGGAAGAGAAACAATGGAAGGCCTGCTTCATCACTTTACGCGAGGACTTGAACGGGAATTGCGAGCTGAATATTTCGGACAGTGAACATGTTGGTCTTGTTGCTGCTTTTCTTATTGAAGTTTTTTAGTCTACACGTCCGAAGCTGTCGTTTGTGTTGGACTCGTGTCAAATGTACTGCATACACCGATCGGTGTTCGGGAGGGATGGCTGTCTGTATCTCGGTCAGCACGATGCCGACTCGTACTCGACTTTCCTTTGCATACGCCCCGCACACACATACCTCGCATGGGTGGCATTATTGAGGTGTTGTGAATATTATTTTCTTGCCTTTATTGTTGTACAGTGGTCAAAAATGGATTTCCTATCGTGTTGTGGCCTCGTTCATTGATGGTTTAGACCGCGGGTGAACTGGCTTCGGTCGACCGTGATCACATCAGCCATCCCACGTGCTCTGGATACTCCGCGTTTCTCCGAGATCACCTTCTTCCGTGTTGCTATCGAGAAATTTGTGTTTGTGCTTTCACTATTAGGCCTTTCTGTCGTAGAACTACGCGTTGACAATCTAGCAATAGTTCGCTTTTAGCTCCGACAATATGCTTCGACCAGACTGTCTATACTCGGCTTCGGTTATGGTGGACGGCGTTCGTGTATTTTGCTCGCGCGCTTTCACGCCAATATCTGCCCGTAATGATAATACTATGTCGATCATCTTCGATGCTAACTATGTCTCATAGTAGGTCCTTACTCCCATGTATTCATACTTTTTAGTTGTGCACCGGTGACGCCTTACACACTCCAAATTGTGTTGTGTCCAGCAACGGGTGGCCAAAGCGGAAGCGCCTTTTCCAAGCGCGCTTCTGCATCATCACGCACATTTTTCCTTCAAGGAGATGACGATATGCATGATACACCTGAAAATGGTGGGCCTGCTTTCATTTTCTATAAATGTTTTAGGCTTTTGGGTGACTGTGAGAAGGACAGCTGTCCATGTACTCCCAGCCTCTCAATATGCACCGTTGCTGGCACTCGTCAAACAAAACAACTTTGAATTATGTGAATGGGTTTGGACAAGGTTTGTGAATTTTGTCGCGCAGTTACCTTTGTTTAGGTTACCTCCGCCACTGAGATCGCAGTTCGTTTCTTCGCTTTGGATCTTGTATGCAAGCAGGACACGCGAGTTGAAGGAGTTAGTAATATCTACCCTGAAAAGGTACCGCTTACATTGCTGTTTGTTGATGCCACGATAGGGCACTTACGGAATCAAACACGTTACGAAGTGACTCGTTCGCCACTGCCTTGTTGGGCGTTGGTCTAAGACTCGCTGCGGGCGCGCAACTCGAAGCGCAACTGGACGCCCCGCCCTTGCCTTCGATTCTGTCGAAGAAAAATGTTCAGGCAAGTTTTGTGTTCGGTTGCCCAAATTTAGTTTCAGCCAGCCGATGTCGACTTGGTCGCGGATATGTTCGTGCGTATTGCTCAGGAGCCGGCGGCATGGCGGATACTCTCCCTGGTCGCCCAGGTGTCTCTGAAGTACTCGAGCGAAGACCCTTACGTCACTATGCGCCTCATTTCTTCACTGTTCATATTGCGATTCGCCAATCCGCTTCTGATTCAGGCTCAACGTAAGACTATGTTTTGTTGCTTATTTTTTTATTAGGTGCGCAAACGACCAATCAATTGGCTAAAATGGTCCAAGCCGCCGCGAACTATGCATCATCACCGAATCTCTCTGAGGAGGACTGCTCCACGGCTGCCACCACATTCCGCAGATTCTATGAACAAACGATGGCATCCGGTGTTACGGTTTGTTCTATAATTGGATGATCTTATCCGATTTAGAGTTTGATTGGTGTGGAAACTGAATGGTCCAGTGACAGCATGGCCGTGCTTGCCCACCTCATCGCCTCGGTCGTGCCAACCAACTCCGACCTAGAGCTGCAAGAAAGTAAGCAAATACTTTGGTGCTCATCCCTACTTATAGCCAATGGTGAAACATGTCCGATAGCGCTGACTCCACACGTCCTCCGAATTCTTCGATACCATGAGAGCGGTGACGGCTAGCCTGGAAGAGCAACCGTGACTTGGATCCCTTCGCGTCTCGTCTTTGTGAAGTATCTTTTGCTCGCTGTGAGCAGTCCAACTGTGCCATCTATCATTGTTCCCATTAGGGGGGTTGTCGGCACGGAACTTGCCTGAGGTGGGTTGCGTAGGACTTCTATAATATAGCACCCACCTCTTGCCCACTTGTGTATTCCGGGTTTATGGACACCTCGTGTATGTTTCCGCTGCCTTTACAATGCTTAGCTTGTGTAGAGTTGCATTGACATTTGCTCATCGAACCATGTCCCAGCTTACCTCTCGAAAAGCGGTGTATTTTCATGCTCCTCTCCGTCTTAGGGTCACTAACCCGTATTATCTTCCCTAAAGATACTCCCGCTTCAGTCCCCTCAATTATGTTTCCCCCTCACACCCCCTTCCATGTGATCTCCCTCAGCCATATATTCCCAGATCTAACTCCCCCTGCGCTATGGTGCCTCCCTTTTTTCTTTGCTCATTGAGTTCTATCAAGTCGCCTGTATAATATGGATTATCTATTTCCAAATTGAGGTAATGTTTATCTTCCATTTGACGCTGAACTGCCTCTTATTTGGAAACTATGTAAATCCCCATTTTCTTTAGTTTTTCTAGGTGTCCAATCCATTCCCGCAAACTATTCGCGCTAGCCCGAAACAATTCCTTGGTCTTTCCACGAACCTCAGTCTATGCACCCACTTTCACCCTGAGATGTTGTTTACCGATGTGATTGAGCTAATTGAACATGTATTTGTTTCCGCTGGTCGTGACTAGGCATCCTTCCAAGTACCCTACCTCATCTGTACATCTGGGCTTGTGTGTTTTAAATTTGTATGATTCGGGAGAATAATAAACAGCGTAAATGGAGAAGCCTTTAATTGCACACGATCGGACGTTAAAACATTTTTTTTCCGGCGCTAGGAGAATATGGATTAGAAACCGTTGGGAATTATTAAGCCATCGCTGATTCTTTCGTTTTTGATTCGAAAAGTGGTTATATGGTTGGAATAGACTAGGATCAGACCCAGATTGACTCCTTTAGCTCGGCTGGCCCCGTTATCACCTCGTTACCCTATTGATTAGCACAGCAACGAGCTTTCAGCAAACATGTCGGATAAACTTACGAAAGTTTCCGATTGGCGTTGCTTCAATGGCCATCAGCAAGTCTACAAACACCATAGGTTTGTTTCGACATGCTTTATTTATATTTGTAGCGATGCAACGGGCTGCGCGATGACGTTCGGCCTCTACACGCCGGATGCCGCTTCAGAATCAAGCAAAAAGCCGTGCCTCTTGTATCTGTCGGGTAGGGCCAACAAAAAAATAAATAATAAAGTTTGAATTTAGGGTTGACCTGCACGCATGCAAACGTGATGGAAAAGGCAGGCTTTCAAAGGCTTGCCTCGAAGTACGGCTTCTTCGTGCTCCATCCCGACACCTCACCTCGTGGCGTTGATTTGCCCGGCGACAGCGACTCCTGGGACTTTGGCAAGGTTTGGCGCTATTCATATCTTCAAATATTTTTAGGGAGCCGGCTTTTACCTGAACGCCACTCAAGAACCGTGGTCCGGCCACTACAAAATGTACGACTACGTGCTCGAGCTGCGCAAACTAGCCGTCGAGCAGTTCAATATTGACCCGGCGCAGATTGGTATTTTCGGCCATTCTATGGGCGGTCACGGCGCCTTGACAATTGGATTAAAGGTAAGAACATCGATGAATATCCCGAAAAACAATAATTTTTAGAACCCGGAATTATTCAAGTCAATCTCCGCTTTTTCGCCAATCTGCCACCCGAAGAACTGTGCTTGGGGCAAAAAGGTATTTCTTTTTTATTGCGGCTCAAGTATGAAATATTTGCTTCAGGCGTTCGGCAACTATCTCGGATTGGATGAATCCACTTGGGACGAATACGACGCCGCCTTATTGTGCAAAAGGTATGGAGTGATGTTTTGTTGCAAATAATGATATCCTAGTTATGCTGGCCCGAAACGTCGTCTCCTAGTTGACCAAGGCCAAGAAGACCAATTTCTCAAGGACGGTCAGCTCCAACCGGAAAGTCTAAAGGATACGCCGAACGTCGAGGTATTTTCGAATTTATTTCAGCCGGGTTCCAGGAAGAACACTTTACTTTTCAGTCACTCTTGTTTTTATTTAGGTTTACACCCATCTACGTGCCGGTTACGATCATTCGTACTACTTCATCTCCACCTTCCTGGAGGAACACTTCGACCACCACGCCAAGGAGTTCACCCAATAGACCCTAACTTCCCATCAACTTTTCCCAGTTTCCAAGTTTCCATTTTCTTTTTTTCCGATTACTGAATATCATTTCCAACGATGTGATTTGTATTAATTAATAGTATGCGAGATGAATCAAAAAGGCACCCTTGTTTACACTATCACATTTCACGCATTTCGCACTTGACGCCCGCTTGCCTTGCATTACAGACTTGGCGGCTGTCTCGACCTGAACGAATTATTGATCTAAATGAACTGAAGCCAATCTATTCCTGAAATGGAGACGAAAAAGAGCTCAAATGAGGCGGATCGATTATTCTGGCGGCAGATCCGGATCGCGCAACTAGGAAATCTTTTCTTGATTATTGTCCTGTATACACATGCATATTTCAGAACCATGGTAGCTTACAATTTGAGATGCAATGATTTGATAAAGGGCCCATTTTGCACGACGTCAGCCCAGACGAGGATAAAGCGAGCTTCTCCAGCGCGAACGTTGCCTCAAGACTTGGAAGACTACACTGTAATTTTAGGAAAGGACACCATCATTCCGGTGTGCCAAGTAACTCTCTTTTGTAGTCGTATTTAGAAAGATGTTTTCGATACGTCCTGCTCGCGGATACATCGATATTGTGCCGATGCTGGGATGAAGCTCATCGGATTTCAGGGCCCAAGAGGTCCCCCTGGCAGTGGCGGTCCTATTGGGCCACCTGGTACCGTTTTTCGAACGGAATTTTTCGTTTCGTTTCCGTTTATTTTATTTCCGCTAGGTCGAAGAGGAAAACAGGGTGCCGTCGGACCATCCGGACTTGTTGGGGACGCCGGAGAGGAAGGACCTAGAGGCAAAGATGGTATTTATCTGATCTTTTTTCTCAAGATCGTCGAAATTAGGTAGATGTAATTGCTCAATCCCCGATATGTATATCCACCGCGTGCCAATCCCTGGCCCTCCGATTATACAGGTCAATTTATTGGAAGGTTGAGATGGTCGATTTCTTTAGATTCAAGAAGTACAAGTACCTGTTGAGGTATTGGTAGTGAAAGAAGTCGAAGTTACGAAACTTGTTCCATTCGAGCCGACGCCGCCAGGGTAGGTCAACTACTGGAGAAGCGCATATCTTTCAGATTTGCGCCGCCACCTGGCTGGCGACCCGGCATGCCTCGACCCGACAAAACGCGCAAATTACCACGGTAAAATTCCTATCTTCTCAAGATGATTTAGATAATATCATCAATAGTAATATTAAATAATATCATTATTTCAGATACACAACCAAGCCGACGCAACCAAAAAGACGAACCACTAAAAAGATAGTGACAACACCGGTCGTCAGCCTGGGTAGTCTTTTGAATTTTATGCACCAATATAGCTTTTTTTCAGCGAATGAGACACTGTTCGCCAACATTACTTCCTTTAATGAAACTGATTTCGAGACCACGCCAGAGCCCTATATGGGACCACCAACGCTGGGAACAAATTTCAGAGGTGCAGCCTTGGCTTGAAAAAAAAATTTTTAGAATGTACCCTAGCTGCTATCGGCATTCCGGTAATGCATGCCGAGTCGCAGTACGGAGATGTGAGCTTCAAGTTGGTGGTCTATATCCACTTTTAGACGGGTTCCTGGATGCGGGACGTCAAGCCGACCACTCATTCTCAGAGTGCAAAACGATGGGTTTGTCATCGACACTAGGCTTTTTTTACCTATAGCTATAAAATAAGGCCAGATTTTTTTAGGTGACCGATGGCTTTGCCAGCCCGGTGCTCTATGAGTATGAAACGGAAACAAAGCTGATGCGAAAAGAACAGAAAATCAAGTAGGTGGTAAAATCAGCCAAGAACTACGATTCCTAGGTACTACGTCGACTTTTTGGCCTCTGGCACGGGCAGCGTGGTCATTGATGGATTTTACTATTATCACAAACACGGCACTGATCAGCTTGTGCGGTATAAACAATGGGGATTTTAGGGATGAACTCCATTTTAGCTACGCCCTCGACAGCGCCGAGTACAACGAGACCAGCATCGATATGAGCTTTTTGGATTGCGATATCCTACCCGATCACACGTTCGAAGTAGGCCAACCAATAAAAAGAAAAAAAATATCGGGTAAATTTTGTAATTAGGAATGTAACGAAACCGATCGACACCCATGGCTTTACAATCGACCCCACAATTACGTGGATTTTGCGGTGGATGAAAATGGACTCTGGGTAAGCCGGAGGATAGAACAATCGGAAATTATACAATTCAATACGATCAATCTACTGATTATAGGTCATCTACATGCGCCCAGATAGCAACGGACTGATGGTCAGCAAATTAGAGTCGGTAGGCAATAATTCGAAAAAATTCCTAGCTGACTTGCCGAGGTCACCTCACCGAATTCCAGAATCTGCACGTCGTCCAGACTTGGCAGCTCGATCACGTGAACGCCACCGAACTGGCCGACGCCTTCATCATGTGCGGGGTACTGTACGGTATTGAATCGAGCAACGAACGAGACACTTTCATCACGCATGCCTACGACTTGTATAGGTATCTGTAACCCCGGTCGAAGCACAGCAATTCCGAACTTAGAAATGACACAATCCACGGTAAAGTTCCGTGGTACAACCCTTTCGGTGGGCTCTCAATGCTCCATTTCAACCCCGTCGACAAGCGGTAGGCCTCGATGACTGCGGCCTTAAAACGATACTTTTTTTAGCCTATACTTTTTCGACAAGAAAAAGCTACTCTCGGTGAACGTGCGGGTGGACGACGACTCCGAGGAGTACGAAGACGATGACTACGGTCTAATACGGAAAGAAGATGGACCGGAAGGGCCCTGAACCCATTGCTAATAAAATACCTCACCGAACCCAGACGATCAATCATCAGCCCCTGTGATAAATGGATTTATGTTTTCGTAAATAAATGGCTTTTCTCGCCGCCTAGAGTTTCATAAAGCGCTGTTTCGATGAGCCTGGAAATTTGAAAAAGCCTATTCGGGACCATGAATTTTGCGCAACGAATTTTGCGCAACTCGGGGAAAACGAATTTTGCGCAACACGCGAATTTTGAGCAACTCCCACAAAACGCATTCTGCGCAACTTTTGGTGAAAAAAATATAAAAGGCTTACAAATATGGTTTTTTCATTGCTTTTCGCTGCCGATACAACAAATGAAGGAATGTAAGAGCTAATCGAAGAAAATTTCCAACACTAGCGTGTTGAATAATGGTTATCTCGCGGATTTTCGCATGGCCGCTGGTTTTCGTGATTTGAACCTGTTTTCTGTGAAATTGAACTACTAGAACGCCTCAATAGTTGTTCTAAGGTCGTTCTTGATCAAGAAAACTACACTGCCGCGGCATATTCCCCATTACCTCGTCGAACACCATATGTCACGCTAGTCGATTATCGTCTAAAAAGCGATTTCGAACCTACTTTACATTTTTCTTACATTAAGTATGGAATACATTATTTTATTTTAATAGAAAACGCTTGACTGACAATGAAACTTCTTGTTATCAACGATTTTAGCAAAAACCGGCGACCAGGCCAAAATTCACGAAATGACCGTTATTCGGCATCCCGGAACTGAAAATTTGCTTCAATTAGCTCTTACATTCCTTCATTTATTTTATCGGCAACGAAAAGCAATGAGAAAACCATATTTGTAAGCCTTTTATATTTTTTTCACCAAAAGTTGCGCAGAATGCGTTTTGTGGGAGTTGCTCAAAATTCGCGTGTTGCGCAAAATTCGTTTTCCCCGAGTTGCGCAAAATTCGTTGCGCAAAATTCATGGTCCCGCCTATTCGCCCAAAATTTCAAAACGATTAAAAAGAAGATTTTAAAAATTGATTAAAAAATGTTAGCTCCAAAAATGTGGTTTACAAAATGCACCTTTTGACGATTTCGCCAACGTTAGACTACTATAAACACCCAATCGTACGGACCGACGCGTATGTATTTTCTAACGTAATTAATTATGAGCCCAATTTTTTTTTGTTACGCCTAGTTTTTATTTCTATTTTTATATGCTTCATCCGCGGTTTGTTCCGAGCATTTGAAGACCATTTAATCGTGATAAATCATCGAATGACTCAACCGACCCGACGTCCCTCGACCTCTCCCCCCGCCGGATCTGAGGGTGGATCCCATAACACGTGTGCCATCAGCACCTCTCGGGATGCCACATTTACGGTCCACACAGTCCAGTCCCCCTTGATCCGAGCCGAATTGATCGAGGGTCGTCAAAGGATGGCACCAGGGTGGACAATGGATGTCAAGGAACTGTCATCTGCGCCCTTTGCGCCACACATGTCCCCCCCCCCTTCCTTTGTTTGTACGCACACGTCTCATGTATGCCCTTTGTACGTGAACTATGCCCCGAAGAGAACGCTAGTATTCCATTTCAGCGTCCCCCCTTTCTTTAGCTCGTTGCAATTCCGACTTATCTATTAGTTTCTAAATCTTTGCAAACTTTTTAGACTTTTAGACCTGGTTCTCCGCCACCTTTTTATGAAACCGGCTACTTGATTGAATTAGAATTATAAAATGTAATCCATTTCAACGCTCCCCTGTTCTTTGCTTGTGGGACCTGTTAGTTTTTGCCTATTTTCAGCATCCTTAGAATGTAAGGCGAGTCTCGCTTTCGCCTAGGAGCTCCCCTCTTTTTATGAAAGGACATTTCCCCTCGAATTGGACATGATGGCAAAAAGCTGTTTAGATTATGCGAATGCCCCCATTTCGACACCCTCGCAATCATCCTCCCTCCCTGGAGGCAATGCATTTCGGCCGAATGTTTATTTTTGCCCAGCGACGGCGAATTGCCGCTCGCCCGAAGAAAGCCCCCTCCCCCATTTAACCGAGCTGCCGCCCTCAGTTTATCCCGGTTCCAAGTTCTGGCCTTGCTTTCATTAGTTTGCATCCGGTTCGCACCTCTGCTATCGTAAATGCCTTGGCACTCCCCCTCGTTCGGCAGATAAGATTTGCCCGGCTGTGACGCGGTTTAGCATAATAATTTAGTGCCGAATGGGGCCCACGCAAGGCGGAATTTGACGAATCGGGACAGAAAATGCTCCTGTCGACAATTTTTACGGACGACCCTCGGTGAACTGGATCAGTGAGGCCGAAATTGCCTTCAAAAACCGCTGCCTCTTGTTTTATGAGCAGACTCAGCGAGCGTACATGGTCTATGTTTGAGCAGTGGTTCCACGCTCCCGGCTGGCCCAGCTGGCTGCTCCTCAAATATGTAAAACATGAGTCGCGGGATCATTGCTGTTTCCGGCGGGCCCATTCATTCACTCCATTCACACGCAAATTATGGGTATTTGAAATCGATGTATCAAAAATTGGATCCTTAGCGTTCGCTATACGCCAGTCTCGTGCTTTGGAAAAGCTGCCCGCCCCCACCAGCGTCAGTCTTCTTTGCGTTCTTTCCACCCTTTCTTTGCCGATTGCTACTCCCCTTTTCTCTTTGCCCGCCTGCCGTCCAGCGCCTCCTAGCCAACCCCAGACTTGCCGTTAGTCTTATCTACAACATATGTTCTGCCACACCCATTTCTTCAATTCGCGCCGGCTTTAAATTCCTTGAATTTACTATGAATCAACCAGGTCTCACAACCTCGGCAATTTCTGAACGTAATTTACAGATTCGGGGCCGACTAACATCTTCGATCTTCCGCCAAATATGTTTCGTGAGGTTCGTATTTTATGAAATTAGCTAGTTTGGATTTTGGCACCGATGCGATGCGATTATTCTTTTACTTTAGGTCAAGAACATCACCTGCGTCGGGGCCGGTTACGTGGGTGGACCGACATGTGCCATGATCGCCAATAAGTGCCCGGATATTCGCGTTACGGTCGTTGACATGAACACGGAGAAGATTGCCCAGTGGAATTCCGATGAACTGCCGATCTACGAGGTACTTTCCGCTGTAGATTAATAATTGTGATTTAGCCGGGCCTTGAAGAGGTCGTCAAAACACACCGCGGCAAGAACCTGTTCTTCTCTTCTGACGTCCCGAAGGCCATCCGCGAGGCCGATCTGATTTTCATTTCCGTCAACACTCCTACGAAAATGTACGGCCGTGGAAAGGTTTGAAGAAGCACTAGACATTAAAATTTTGTCTATAGGGCATGGCTCCGGATCTGAAGTACGTTGAATCTGTGGCACGGACGATTGCCGAGCACGCCGGAGGGCCAAAAATCGTTGTCGAAAAATCTACCGTACCCGTCAAGGCTGCCGAGAGCATCACCACCATCCTCCGTGAAGCCCAGAAACACAACGCCGACTTGCATTTCCAAGTTGGATTTTATTTTTATCCAGGAATCCCGTTTTAGGTCTTGTCCAACCCGGAATTCCTGGCTGAAGGCACTGCTATGCGAGACTTGTCCAACCCAGATCGCGTCCTGATTGGTGGAGGTTTGTTGCATTTTTCTCTACCTAAAAATCTCTGTAGAATCGAGCCCTGATGGCTATGAGGCGGTCAGCCACCTCGTCCGCGTCTATGAACATTGGGTCGACCGCTCGAAGATCATCACCACCAACACGTGGAGCTCGGAGCTGAGCAAGCTGGTAACCTAAACGAAGCTGTTTTCAGAAACCGATTTTAGGCGGCAAACGCATTCCTTGCTCAACGCATCTCTTCAATCAATGCTATTTCGGCAATCTGCGAAGCAACTGGAGCTGATGTCGGAGAGGTACATTACATTTTGTCATTTTATTCAATTTGTAATCAGGTTGCCCACGCAGTAGGACACGACTCGAGAATCGGTGGAAAGTTCTTGCAAGCCTCCGTTGGTAGGGAAAGCCCTCCGTTTCAATTATTTTTTTTTTAGGTTTCGGTGGCAGTTGCTTCCAAAAGGATGTCCTTTCCCTGGTCTACCTCTGCGAGTCACTAAACCTTGGCAAGGTCGCCAACTATTGGCGCGGCGTAAGTGAAATTGTGTTGTTTTTACATTTATTATTTAGGTGATCGAGATCAACGACTGGCAACGGCGACGATTTGCCGACAAAATTGTCGGAGAGCTCTTCAACACGGTGGCGGGCAAGAAGATCGCCATGCTCGGTTTTTCCTTCAAGAAGAATACGGGTGATACTAGGTTCGTTTGTTTCTGTGGAGAAATAAAGCCCCCAATTAGGGAATCCTCTGCCATCTACGTTGGAAAGCATCTTCTGGAAGAGTGTGCAGAGCTTCAGTTCTATGATCCGAAGGTCAGCGAGACGCAGATTCGATCAGAGCTCGCTTTGGTTTCTGGAAAAGAGAGCGGTACGTTTTATAAAATTTAGCGCTTTAAATTTTTGGATTTAGTTGATCGGCTCGTCAAGGTCCATTCCTCAGCTTATGAAGCTTGCAAAGGAGCGCATGCAATCGTGATCCTGACCGAGTGGGACGAGTTCAAGGTTTGTCCGCTATTTTACCTAACTCAAATCCCTGTAGACGTTGGACTATAAGCGGATCTACACGACAATGGAGCACCCGTCGGCAGTGTTTGACGGAAGATTGATTCTCGACAAAAAGATGGTAATTTTCCAGTAATTTTCCTAACTTTCGTTCAGCTGCGTGATCTGGGCTTCCGTGTCTTCGCCATTGGCTCAGCCCCCGACCAAGCCTACAACATGTTCGGGACGGCCGGATGCGGATCCGGCGGTGACAGCTCCCCGAACCGCTAACTCTCCCTTTCTCTGTGCCATTCTCCCCATATTTTAGCACGAATTTGTGATGTTTACAATTCCATGATTTATGCCTTGCCTTTCTCCTTTAGTCCTTGCTGTGATCCCGCATTATTTTCATAATTCTAATTACGTGTAATCTTTTCATGTTGTTCACTGTGAAAGCCTTGATAAAGTTTGAAAGTACACACTTTATGCCTTGAATAAGTAATATGCTGAGGCAGATCGTTAAGTATACATTGAATGGGGTAAGTAAAGAGTTGATAGCGCCTTTGAAGCAAGAAGTAGGGTAAACTTGTAAGCAGTTTCTGATATGAGGACTAAAGGTATATACATCACATTTTGGACCGTAGTGAATGTCGGAATTTTGACCTATATAATTACAAAGGTCGTGAAAGTTAGGTGCTCGGACTAAACAATTTGTCAATTACTCCGGCGAGGTCATCTACCGAGTAACGGATTAATTTTCCATCCACTCCTTCCGATCGGCATCGTTCAACGAGCGCTTTGTAGCGGCTGCCCAGTAGTGTTTTTATCTAGAAAGGAAATAAGCTTAATTTTACAGCTCCTAAGGGGTAGACATACCTTTCCGCGTAGTTCCTGCACTCGTCCATTATCGGAGATACAATAAAGTCGTTGCCGTGAAATGACGGCGTCGAGATCACGGTTGAAGCTCTGCATGAAATTCATGGAAATCGGTTCTCAACTTACGTATAAGATGTTTCCCAGAGAATTCCGGTCGTGCACTCGATCTGCAGAAACCAGGATCGAGACGATGCCTTGCCAGCTAGAGACTCAATCGCTAGCTAAGTTGGCACCTACCTTTTTAGATACTCCTGCTCGTATTTGCCGATCTCTGACAGATAGAATTCGAGAATTTGATGATTTTGCTCGGAGATTACGGGCAAGAGGGCATCTTCCTCGTCTTGTAAGCTCTAAATTGGGGCGTAAATCTTTTTATTTTTGGTCTACCTTAGCGATGTACGTGTAGTTGTTGATCATGAATATCGTAGAAAGAAGCGGATCCGGGTAGAGCTCGCTTTTCCGTGACAAGCAAGTTCCAAGTGCGGATAGAATTCGTGCTAAAATAAGCCTGATGTTGTCAACTAGTTTTTTTTGAAACCCACCAAACAATTTTGGGAGGAGTAAATGAGTGTTTTGAGGGGAAGAAGCCGTTGGAGCCAACAGCTGCTGCGTGACCGTTTGCCGGTGCAGCGTCAAATTGCAAAGCAGATTTAGGGTCTAAACAATACTGGTAATATGATGGGAACCTACATTAGCAGTCAATGGGTGCACGTTGCCATCCTCGGGGACAAATTTGTCCACTTCCGTCTTCAGCTTGTCCACGCTCTCGTTGAGAAGCGCCGTACACTTGATCCGCAAAGTTCGCATCATTTGTTCAAAAGGCGCTTCCAAATCGCTGTTCTGCAATAGGAGATCATAATTTCTGCATATGCACTTACCGAAGCCAATGTCACCAGTTGGTTCTGATGCACATCCAAAAAGCGCATCAGCGGCAAGAACGAGAGAAGCGAATCCACCGCATTTGTTGCTTCTCCAGAGATACGGATACAGAACGCTAACGGTTTGCTGATAATTCCCCGATGAACCTAGTACTCGAATAACATTTTTTTTTTTTTTGTCTTACCTGGGCGCGGACTGTGACATCATCCAAGATTTTTTCTAGGACACCTTCTTCCACCTCGAATAATTTGTTGAGTTTTATTTAAATGCTTGATCGGTTTACCGTTACGAGGGCCAGGAAGCATCCAAACAGCAGATGGGCAACATTGGCCTTGTCGTACGCATTCGCAAAATGTTTGTGCTCTTTTTCGGCCTTCTCCCCTCGTCCAGCCCGTTTCGGTACCCTAAAAACGTCAGTCAGTTAGACATGAACCAACGGTCGAACTAACATTTTTAACATCCGGGTTCCCGCGGCGTTCTGCTGTTTGATTTCTTGATCATAGACCGCCGCCAATGCCTGTCGCATATTTTCTCCACTAAAATAATTTTATTTTTTTCGCTCTCCCTTGCTTACCGAATGTTTGCTAGATGGTTCAGGAATCTCGGTTCTCGGCCTTTTGACAGCAACCAAGACGAAACCCTTGCGATTTTGTCGGAATTTTTTATCGTTTGGATAGTCTTTTGATATCCAGACAGCAGATCTAGAGGATTATTTCTCGGCGAACCCGTAAATTCTACCTCCGTTCTCATCCAGGCCCTCGCTCAACTGTTTCATATTAGGCTTCATCGAATTATCCGAGATTATATCCCGGAATTCGCGTTCGATAACGTCAAAGCCACTTTCTAGAGTCATACGCTGAAATTAGCGGCTTTTTTAGAACGGGAAAAACCCTACCATGTTTTCCACTTGACCCCGTTTCTCAGGATAGTTTTCGAAGAATGCGATTGCTTGGTAAAGGGATTCCATCGATTCGATGTAGGCCTCCAAATCTTGGGAAGGGCTTCCATCTCTGAATAGGTAATAATTTAAATACCGCCAGGATACCTAATCTTGGTCTCCAACTCGTTGGTCTTGCCGAAAAACTGAAATGTGGTGTCGATGGTTTTGATGAGTCGTTGAATGTCTAGAATTTCTCCATATTGGGAATGCTTCCGAACTTACTCTGTTGCCGCTTCTGCAGTCGCCCATTCTTTTCGTGCTTCCCCATCACATTCACCTGAGAATAATAATTTTAGCTTGAATTCCAGCACACACCTGTAGCTTTTGAAGCCTCGCTCCAAACTGATCAAGCACTTTTGTCATGTCATTGCGTAATTGAGCACTTTTCTTAAGATTTTGGTCGAGAGTGCGCAGCCATTCCTCTTCCTGAAGAGAATTGACTTTTTTTGATTGGCCAGATACCTGTTGAAGTCGCTTATTGATAGACTCGACATTCATCTAGGCGAGAAGAAGGCTTTTCCCCCGATCCGCCTGTCGTTTCCGGGAATGTGTTTAGAGATCAACAATGCGCTTCTGACCCGACCACTTTCTTTTACTGACCACCCGTACAAATAGCGCCTCTGCACGGCGAGCGGCAACTCGCATCAACCCGCCGAGTCATAGCCATCACTGACCGATTTAGGTTCTTTGTTCTTAGGTGGCTTTCTCGGTTTTATTTTTAGGTATTTGAAAGCCATTAACAAACTGATTTTTCAGAACTACGGAGAGATGGCGATCGCTGACCTCGACGAAGCCCAATACGCCGAATGCCGGGAGGTCTTCTGCTACTTCGACGCGAAGGGAGACGAAAAGATTGCCATATCCCAGGTACTCTTTTAACAGTTTCCTGAAAACCGTTTCCAGGTCGGTGATGTGCTGCGTGCGCTCGGCCAAAATCCTTCCGAGAACGAGATCACCACTTGCTGCCACACGTGGAGCGACTCAAACTCGCGCATCTCCTTTGAGGAATTCATCCCCATGTACCAGACCGTTTACAAGAAGCGTCAAAAGTACGTTTAAGTATTTTGGAGCGTATAGAAGAAATTTAGGAACAGCGTTGAGGACTTTGTCGAAGGTCTCTCGCATTTCGACAAGGAGGGCAATGGGATGATCAACGTCGCCGAGCTGCGCCATTTGCTGACGACTCTCGGAGAGAAGCTCAGCGACGAGGAGGTAAATCCCTTGATTTTCTGAATTTCATGTTCTTTCAGGTCGACCAACTGTTGGCCGGACGTAGCGATACCCACGGGAACATCAACATTTCCGACTTTGTCCGCCAAGTCATGAATTCTTGAACCTTTCCCCCTTCCTGCTGTGTATATCATTCATTTCACTTAAGCATTCCTCGATTCCTCCTTGTTTCGCTTATTTATTCCCCCAAATGGAGGCCTTGTGCATCCTTTTCTTCTCCGACTTGCCAGTATGTCATCCCCAGTGATTCCACGCTTTCCAACATTACCTGTCTTTAACATGTGCACAACATTTCTGCAATAAATTTTTTCAGGTAAAGAGATGGTGCGCGAAAACGGCTGGCCGGAAACTGGAGAAACGGCGCTGCGCTCCTCGATTCCATCGCAAGTCGCCGAGTTGGGCAAGGAATGCCCGCTGAGACGCGCGCTTTTGTTGTAGGTTTTAGATGCCGATTTACGTATTTGAATTTTAGGAGACATGTCGGCAATTATACGTTTGCGACGAAAGATCCGCAGACGGAGCGTGATACTTCAGTCCAAGCGCGATTCCAGAGGATGAGAGAAGAATATGATGTGGTAATTTTTATCCAAGGTCTTTTTGAAATGGGTTTTTGTTTGGACTTGTTTGTACTTTACTGTCCATCGATTGGGAATCTTTAAGGTTGGAATGAGGCGGTCGGTTGAAGCGGTCATTGTTGTCCATGAACACTCGCTACCGCACATTCTACTCCTGCAGATCGGCACATCCTTCTATAAACTGTAGGTTTTTTAATTATTGAAATTTTAGACGTTTTTTTGCTATGCTTTTTATCTATATTTTATTGTTATTTAGGCCTGGCGGAGAGCTGGAGCAAGGCGAAGACGAGCGCAAGGGATTGTCTCGCCTTTTGGACGAGGCGCTCGGAAACCCTGAGGGTGATAAGACTGAATGGAAGATCGAGGACGAGATCAGCAACTGGTGGAGGCCGAATTTTGACCCACCTCGGGTATCAAATTTCACGCTTTTTCGAAGTTGCTTTTTTAGTACCCATACATCCCTGCTCATTGCACGAAACCAAAGGAGCAGATCAAGTTGCTCCTCGTTCAGTTGCCAGAAAAAGGTAGATTTATTTGTTTTTCTCTATAAACTTTTTTTTCGTAGCCACCTTTTCCGTGCCGAGGAACTATAAACTGATCGCGGTGCCGCTTTACGAGCTCTACGACAATTCTACATGCTACGGGCCACTTATATCTAGTCTACCCACAACCCTTTCCAGGTAAATTTTCTGTACTTGGCTTTGATTTTCTGGTTTTGTAGGTTCAACTTTGTCTACTCTTCATAAATGCCCTGGGCCTTTGAAGTCAAGCAGAAATCTTCTTACGTTGATCTCAACTTTACCACCTGAAAACTCGTCTGCGAGATGATATTGTTATCTTCGATGGTTTTATTTATTAAATACTTGGGTATCATTTTTGCATATACATACGTGACACTCGTGTTGGTGGCACAAATTTACAGGTCCGTTCATGGCGTAGTTTGTTTTTCCTCGATCGGTATTTTGCACCGCAGCCGAGAATGCAGAAATATCGGGGACTAGATCGAATGAGTTGTTCTAGAGGAAAACTACCTGGCTGCCGAATGCCCCAGCCTCTGGTGGCTTCTAAGTTGTGTGATCGTTGCAAACGACAGCAAGCATCCATCAGCCATACATATTAAATTCTAACGGGGTTTTCACTACATGTTTCACCTACTTCATCAAAATGCGAATTCCGATGGGAATTAAGGGAAGACTTGCGGCCGAATTTGGCACCGCATAGCTCGCATTGGTGTGGCTTTTCTCCACGGTGCATTCGGAGATGTTCCTAAATTAAAGGGATACCGACGGCATAGTCAATCGATTACGCGCTGGAAAGAAAAGGTCTCTGCGCCTCTCCCCGGGCGCCTCTCCTGTTGCAATTGTTGATGGGGGTCGATGCCGTCCCCTTTTGGATTTGTTTTGATTTACACTGTCTAATTTAGGGCCTACCTGTATTCGGGATGGGTATTTGATCCGTTGGCCACATTCACAATTGAATATCTCAGGTTTCCGTCGGTTATGCGGACTAGCCTCATCCACGGCTACCCCACGAGCCACGGCTTCAACAATCCAATCGATATTACTAAGAAAGCCTGATGATCCGTTTTCATTTTTACCTCGGTTTACTTTTAATTTTTCGTTGTATAGGGGCCCTGTACAGTTTGCCGTCCGTCAGGATTTCAGTCTCTAGCTTCTCCCCCGGGTCGGGGCTTATCGCGGAGGCTTCTGCGACTTCGCACTTGTCCACGTAGTCATGGTCGAGAAAATGCGCAGGAACGTGAATTGCCGGTTCTTCGAACGGATCGTCGTCCACGATCACGATCTCCTCGGCGACTTCGAAGAGTAATCGGTCGGCTAGGGAAAATTAAGATTTTAGCACGTACCAACCTTGATCGTAGCTTTGCCACGCGCTATTTTCCGCCACAGTGACCTGAATTTATATGAATTTTAATTTGCCTAAAAACCTCCCAAATCGGAACCTACCATTCTTTCAGGCGACTGCAAATATTTAATTCCCGGCGAGCTGTGGCAGATTTGCCTTGACGAAGACGGGTTTCCACAAATTGCAGAAGCTCTCATTGTTCCGGTGCCACGCAAGTGTCCCTAATATTTATATTTCATTGATATACTTGGCAAAGTAAAACCAGTCAGTGCCATTTCTTTCCTTTAACTTACCTTTTCATGCATGCGATGCTGTTGCGCGGAGACAAAACATCTTGCACAATAAGCGCACTTATACGGTCGCTCACCGTTATGCATTCGAGAATGGCTCTGTGAAAATTGTTTCTTATTGAACTACCAAACTAACCTTTAATAAGTGTTTTTGTGTAAATCTGGCCGGGCAAATTTCGCAGGCAAACGGCCGTTCTCCGCTGTGGATTCTCAGATGCTCTTTGATCTTGGAAGGGTATCGGAATTCCTTTTTGCAGATATCACAGAAATGGACCGTAACCGGGGCACGCTTGATCATACGGTACGGTTTTTTCGTCTAAATTTTGTTATTGTTGTAATTTTGTTGGGTTGGAACTGCCCTTTCTAGAGCGGATTCGCCGTCAGGAGGGTCGGTGAAGCTGATCTCTCGCGGCTAAATAGACGAGTAAAGAATGTTGGCCGGCGTACCTCAAAATCGGCGTTGGCTTCATGAGCCGGCCCCGCCTCAGAATCGAAATTTTCACACGAATACAATAAGTCAGGCGCGTCAGGGACGACAGAAACCATTTCCGGTTGATAGCTGGAGCATAGTACTGATATCCGGCCATTATATCCCGAGCACTCATGAAAAAAAGTAGCGAAAATCAACATACATTTTGAACAGCACTTAAATTTAAAAACTTTATTCATGTATTCGATAGGCAGCTTTACGAATAATATTTGGTGGCGCAGGTTTAAACTTTGGTAGCTGTATCTTGACTATCGGGGATAGGGGCTGAGTCGTTTTGATGGCGGACGATTCAACGTCAGCTAAATTGAAAATGAGGGATATTGAAAAAAACATGGTTCTACCAGCTTTATTATGTTTTCGCCGAATGTGGGAATTGAGACTGCCCCTCGTGGAAAATAAATCCCCGCATTCGTCGCACGAAAATTCCTTGATGCCAAGGTGGATTTGCATGTGGGCCTAAAGGGAATTGATTTCTTTAAAAATAAAGCCATACTCTAATTTTGCTCGGGTATTTTAGCGCCAACCCGCAAAACGAGCAAGTCGTAGTTGTGGCTGCTTTCTCGAAACTTGGAAGTTGAAGCTGTTCTTCTGGTATTTCAGCGACAGATTCGAGAGTAACACTGACAAGAAAAAATTTGGAAAATTACTAGCAAATTACCACGGTTCATCTTGAATTGGAATGCTTTGCTCGACGTGCGATAATTCCACCATAGCCTTCTGGGGGATGGCGGGTGCGAAAGGAGCGTCTGGGGCACTGAAATTTTAAAGGTCAAACTATTGAAACTACTAATGCCCACATCATCTGAACGGCTTCAGTTGGTTCTATTGGCGGCTCTTCAACATAGGTGACAAGCAGCTTCTGGGGCTTCAGGTGAGGCCTTGGAGCGCCACGTCGACGCTAAAATAGCTGTCCTGGGCCGGTTCTATAGCTATTTTTTTTTCTTCGTATCGAGAACAATCTCTCTAAAAACGCAAAATCACCAACCAATCCCTGGTGCAACAGCTCGTGCGCGTTCCTCAGGCCCTTGCTCGGAAATCCGCGACCGCATGTCGAGCACATGAAAGGCGTATCTCCCAAATGTTTCCTGTAGAAGGAATCTCAATAAGCCGAAAGCAATTACTTGACATGCATGCGCCACGGGGTCCGCTGAGTAAACCTCTGACCGCAGAATTCGCAAGCAAACGGCTGTTCACCGGTATGAGTGCGGATGTGGGCCTGAATCACCAAGTAAAATCCCAAAAACCTCGCTGAATTACCAAAATCTTTGATGGATGCATCAGGACCATTCCACAGATTTGACAGTCGGCAATCGTCGCTTTCGGACTAAGAATATGGTTACCTAGAAAATCAAAGCGGTCTCACTTTTTGTTTGATGCATACGGCTGCTCGATCGAATGTTCCGGTATCAATTCAGCGGCCGAAGTTGATGGCGTAGCCGAAAGGAGCGGATCTTCGAATCTAGAGCGAAGCCATAGAAAGACTAGAAAGGCCAAACCCGAAAGAATCCTCGTCGTATTGACTGTAGAGCTCGGGCGGGTCGGTTTCGTAGAGGTACTAAAACGAAAATTTATTTTTTTTTGCAGAATACCTCGCCGTGTTCTTGAGATTCTAAGACCCAGCCATCTCCAAATGATAGGTCGTCTGGTTCCAACATCTGAAAGAAGCCAAAAAAAACCCTTGAATTTTGTTAGCGTGGAGGGAAGAAGTTCTAAACCATAAAAAAATAGTTTTTTTTTATTTTACGTATTCGAAACGTCAAATGTCTTTTTGCGATTTTTCCGGTTCAAAAGGTAAAAAATGTCCTTTTTTCGGAGATTTTACTGATTCTAAATGTTGCCCTTGCAGTTGGTAATAGATTTTGAGCCCCAGGCCCGTCTTTTCAAGGTTTTTGAAGAAAAAGCTTTGTTCTAATCTTACTTCCACCTTATAAAGTTTAATTTGTTCTAAACGTTGTAATTCCTTCTAGTTTTCAACTACTTTCGCTTCCCCGGACTGTTTTTCAAGCATATTTCTAGCCCTTCCTCAGCTGTATCGATTTTACAAACCTATTTTGCGACCACGAACTCATTAGTGCTTCTCTAAAAGGTTCAAAGTTGCTAACAAAGCTAATCAGCTGTCTCTGTGACCCGTACACCATCATATCCGCTCCCATTCGACTCTGCGCCCTGTCCATAGCAACGCCGCGTAGTCACCCATCTGTCGATTTTTCTCGAACTCGAGCCCGTTGCTCTTGCAAAAGAAATCATTCGAACCTCTCAAACTTCCACTCCCTTTTTACTTACGTTTAAAAGATAATTTAATTACATTTTTTCCAGGAATGGTGAAGGAGACCGCCCTCTATGATGTTCTCGGTGTTGAACCGAGCTGCACGGAGTCGGACTTGAAAAAGGCATACCGAAAACTTGCCCTCAAGTATCACCCCGACAAAAATCCCAACGAGGTTCGTCTTACCTTTTTTCGGGACCACCCGGCTTTGAAGTAGATTCTCTTATAACTGCTTACCTTTTATTACGGCATACCTTTCGGCATCATTTATTTAGGGCGAACGCTTCAAGAAGATCTCGCAGGCTTACGAAATCCTCTCGGATAAAGAGAAGCGTGAAGTTTACGATCGGCATGGCGAAGAAGGGCTTCAGGTATGAATTATCTTAAAACACATTAGATTTTTAGGGTGGCGGCGGTGGTGGTGGCCACAATCCAATGGACATCTTCAACATGTTCTTCGGTAACGTTGAAGAATTCAGCTTTAATTGTCACTTCAGGTGGTGGCGGTGGACGAGGTCGTCGTGAGGCGCCACGAGTTCACCCGACCGTCTACCAGCTTAGTTGCACCCTGGAGCAGCTCTACAATGGCTGTACGCGTAAGCTGAAGGTTTGTCTTCAATTTTATTGCGAAATTTGCCTTGGATTTTGCCAATTGACTTCACATGACTGTTTTTCAATTCCAGATCTCCCGAAACATCCTCTGCAAGGGTTGCGAGGGCTACGGTGGCCCCAAATCCGCCGTCAAGCAATGTTCCGAATGCAATGGGCGCGGTGTCGTCATCCGAATGCACCAGCTTGCTCCTGGTAGAGAATTCTCGATGTCTTTACGCTCTATTTTGTTCAGGTTTCGTCCAGCAAAGCCAGCAAACCTGCCGCACATGCGATGGCGCTGGAGAGATCATCCCGGCCAAAGACAGATGCACGAAGTGTAAAGGCGAGAAAAAGGTTGGACACTTCTTTCTTATACGTACAACCCAAATTTCAGTCCAAAGATGAGAAGATCTTCGAGGTGCACGTGGAGAAGGGAATGAAGGATGGCGAGAAGATTGTTTTCAAAGGTATTTGTCTAATGAAAATTCTACTGTAGTTTTAGGCGAGGGTGACCAGGAGCCCGGACTTCCAGCGGGCGATGTGATCATTGTTCTCGACGAGAAGGAGCACCAGAGCTATGTCAGGAAGGTAGTGTAGTCGTCTCAGTTTTCCATTCAATTTTTAGGGAAATAACCTGATAATGAGCTTTGAACTTCAATTGGTGGAAGCCTTGTGTGGGTGCTCGCGGAACATCAAGACGCTCGATGACCGGATTCTCCATTTCAACTTGTTGCCCGGTGCGTGATTTGCGGAAAGAGATTTTTTAGCAGTTTTGCACTTTTTTTAGGAGTTTCTTATACATATTTTTTCCTCCTTTAGGTGAGGTGATTACGCACAGCGAGCTCCGCGTTATCCACAACGAAGGCATGCCAACTCACCGCGATCCGTTTGTCAAGGTAATTCCTGCTATAATGATATAATTTTTGTTTTAGGGTGACCTTATCCTGCAGTTCTCGGTCGAGTTCCCCAAGAAATTGGAAGAAAAGAGCCGCCGGGTTTGTCAAATTTTTGTAGACTAATTTTCCCCGCTTTAGTTGATTGCTGAGATGTTGCCAGGTAAACAAGCGGCTCTTCCGATCGATGATGATACGGAGGTTTGTTCTTTTTATAATTAATGGGCATTGGACTGTTAGCGAGGGACGGGCTTGCTGAAGCTCCGATAATGAAATAGGCGCCGTTTTTCTAGTTTTTCACAAATTTTTTTTATGTAGAGAAAGTTTAGAAAATCGATTAATTGGCAATGGAGCGTGATTTTTTAATCAAAACATGCATTGAAAAAACCTTTGAAACTTAATGGTTTTTCTGGCCTTTTAAGCAATCCTAATCTACTAAAAACTACAAAAATACACTAGAAAACGCTAAAAATTCCGTGTTACGGGCTCGTTATCCCCTCAGTCTAGTACCATTTAACGCAATTGGAGCTTTTTTGAATAATCTATCCATTCTTTTAGATTATTGAACTGGACGACATTCGCGGCGAGGAGGCTCCTCGAAATGGCCATTCGCACTACATGGAGGTGGACGAGGACGATGATGACCCGCGTGGCCGAGCCGGACCTGGTGTTCAGTGCCAGCAGCAATAGGCTAGCCGCTTTTCTACAAACATTGGTCTCCACACGGTTCTCTGAAATCTCCCTTTCCCCATGAGTGCTCACGATCAGATCATTAGAGCACGCTATCTACATTGACTATCATAGGGGCCCTCAACTTTCATTTACGAACCCCAAAAACACGTCCAACCCGTTGTTCGCCTCCCATTTCGTGATCATACAACTTCCCGTTGCTCGCAATGTTTAGGCATCGCTAGTCTCCTACACACTCAGACACTCCGGTTCATTCCCGCCTCGAAAAGCTTTTCTAGAAACGTGCATCTCACCCTCGATACACAACACAGACCACATCATACTTAGGCTATCCAATTCCCCCTATCCCTCATTATCCCCCCTTTGGATATTCGTTTGGCATTGTTTCTCGTCAATTGTTTGTTCCTTTCCACCATTTTATATGGTCTTTCCCCCCGATTGTTGGACTCTTTAGCTCCAGCGCATCACCCTTTTAGATGCCCACCACCCTTTGAAATTCCGGGACCGTTTTTATGTGATGAATAAAAACGTTTTAATAATATACCCAAAACTGCACACTATGTGGTGGGGATGGGGACAGGAGATGAGAACACATGATCCAGGTTATTTGTTGTCTGCCCGGCCCAAATGGAGCTCTCACGGCTGCATAACCTGATTAATTTGCGTGGACCATCTTCTGTCTGCTGAGATCTGGGCAATATTCCGTTTTTTGGCATGATTGCTTTATTGGGGGACGTCCGTACGAAGCGTGTTAGGCTCTACTTCCCCCATCCGCCTCGATTGAATGCGCACGACGGCTCGAGACATGTTTTCCAGGTTATCTTGTAGGGGGTTCAAGGTATCTCGATTTAATCCAATTACCGGCCTGGGTTGAGGATGGCCGACTGGCGGAGTTTGTTTGATACGGACTCACCGATCTCGAGCCGTCGTCTCGGAGGGGATTTTCCGGGCCGAAACTCGGTACTTGATTGTTAGCGGAGGGGTTTAACTTTTGCCTATCGCTCGTAGGGTCCCAAATGCCGATCATTTATGCACCCTTCTTACGCTTCCTTTCGGCTTAGTAAGTTAAAAAATTAAAATTTTCGAATTTTGGTCAAATCTCAAATTTTTATTCGCTGCGTAGGTATAAACTAGATAAATTTTCCAATAGCGCCAGCCCCCCCCCCCCGTTAACAATCCAGTATCCACTTTTCAGGTTCCAGACCCGGGTCCCGTTTTTACATGGTCAGCAGCAGCGGTTTATGGTTTTGCGCGGCTAGACATCCGCTTTTTATGGGGCAGCATGAGCGCGCGCCCACGGTGGCATTTTCGCTTTTTCGCGGCGCGCCGAGGTCGGGATAATTTTGGGGCTAAATTTTGGGATACGCGCGCGGGGTCGCCCGGCTGAAAAACGTGTGCAGCGCGCGTGTGTCCGGTTCAAGATTCGCCGGCAGGTTTTTCGATTGGGGGTTTTTAGGTTGATTATGATATGCGGTAGATCATTAGCGAGGTTTTGTGATTTTTGGACCGGGTCGGTGCCCCCCCGTAAAACGTGAAATGTTCGTCGATGGGGGAACCTGGACATGGAGACAATCCGACTGAACCCAATTATGCGCGTGTCGATGCCGCTCCCCTCACCGTTACCAAATACTGTCCCCACCCCCGAACGCGTATCTTTCGATTTTTTGTAAATTGTGACCCTGAAAACGTACTTTTTCCGGGGTTTCAAGTTTTCAGATTTTACGGTGCTCATGCATTATCGGGGGTGTTTAAGCCAGCAGAGATGCCTATTAACACATCATCACGTACTTTAATGGATTTTTTTAGTAAAATTTAACCATATTTGAAGTGTTTATTCCCGAAAAAAATATCTAAAACTTAGAAAAACTTTGCATTTTGAACAATTTTGCTTGGTAATAAATCCTTTAGGAATTGTTGCTGCCTCACCAAATTCTTTAGAAAAATCCATTTTTTTATGCAGATTAGAGCAATTCTATGCAAATAATTTGCCGCCCCTCCCCCCGTAATGCAAAAGCACCTTTTTCGACCTGCAAAAATTTTTTAGGACACGCATTTCTTGGAAATTTTTTTGTGCTTTGGACCCGCAATTTGTTTCCCGGCGTTACGCATTTTTTTTGCCCTTAGAAATATATTTTCAATTTAGGGGTCGCGATATTGCCGTGAAGCCATTTGCCGATTGCGAGCGGCGAGCCCCCCAAGCTGAATGGGACGTGCCGAGGAGCGAGGCGAGGCGTCGGGTAAATTTTAAAGGGGCCGGGAATTTCTGGGCGGTTAGCGGTGGGGGGTATCTTCCCGTAGGGTCATAATAATAAAGTATGCATCGTTTAGTTATGTTTACACTGTTTTTAAGCGTAGAAATTCATAAAAAATAACTTCCATTTCCAAATTTTGAGTTTTTGTCCAAAATGTGTGGAAATAATGAAAAATTTGAAATTTTTCGTTTCTAAAATTCGTTTTTTTTGGACAGTTTAAACCATAGAGCGCTAAAAATTGTTAGCTAGGTTGACGCTAGATAGATTTTCTACTCCCCCCGCTAACAGTTCAGCACCAACCGGGATTAAATTCAGTACCAGAATTAAATTGAAAACCGGGCGGCTTAACGTATGTGTTGACAAGGACGATGCCATGTTTCTGTACAAGTGGGGAATGGCTGTGTGTGGGGGGATGGTGGTGGCAGCTGAGGGGGAGGAAGAGCTGACAACCGGATCTGTAGCCTCATGATCCCTCCCTATGACTTCAACTCTTTCATTTCTCTCCCCTCGGGCTATTGAAGCACGCTACTTCCGCGGGCTAGATTTACTCAGACATTTTTGGCTCTTTTTTTCATGTCAAGCCACTTTTTGCCTATGGTCTCCTCTTTTTATGTGGAGCTTTGTGTTTTTGTATGTTTTTTTGCTGTTTTTTCACAATAATTGCTGCATTTTTTTAAAAACACCGATTTCGCGTTAAATCCGCAAGAATTGTAGACCCTTTATACCTTGAAGAGCCTTTCGATTTTTTTCTTAGGTGAAATGGGGAAAAATTACTCATTTTTGTTTGTTAGGCTTAGGCTTAGGCTTATTTTAAGCACTGTTTTTTAAAGGGGAAAAAGCTAAAATCCCGCCGCGAAATCCGTAGGCTTACTTTGAATTCTGTGTACCTTTTATCACTTTTTTACTTGATTAAAATATGTAATTTATGTGTTTTTGGCGTATTTTTCTGTAGCTTTTTAAAGACCGAGTTTCAGCCCATTACCTTCAATAGTCCAAACTATAAAAACGCTAAAAATTACTGCTTGCTAGCTTTTCACTACCCCCGCTAACAACCCAGTTCCTGCAAGCCCTACGATTCCTAAAACCCCGAACATTTCCGCGCGCAACCTTGACGCTACTTTTCGCAAACGGGGCTAACGACTTTGGCGGAACTCGGATGCGACCAATTCGAGCGTACCGAACAAAGTGGGTCGTTGTCAAGGGGGGGCATTACACGCTACTATCAACGGTTGCATCGTACGAAATTGGCCTCCTCAAGGCTGTGGACGGGCATCACGAAACAGTGTAGACAATGCAGTATTGGCAGCCGTTATGTCCTCACAATTGCCCATTCACAGTGCCAAGAATTTCAGGAAAATGTAGCAATTTTCGTGCAAAAATCCTGCGTTTCATCAAGTTATAAAGATAACTTTTTTTAGTTTACCCCCCCCCCCCTGCTATCAGACCAGTACCAACTTTACCCCTGGTGTCTGCTTGCGGCTGTATTTAGACGTAATGTCATAGTTGACGCTTCGAAGATAGGCGGCAGACATGGAAAACGAGTTCTCAATCGAAGCACACCACCGAACAGCACAGCCTCGGTGACGATCACCCCTCTTTTTGCAACTCTCAATTCGACCTCGCCGAACGTGGCAGTTCAACACACATTCCGTGTTCCTCCGGAATTCCAAGTAGCCCCGGCAAAATCGTTTTTGGCCTGGAAAATTTTTGTAAATTTTTAGGCCTATTTCGTTTTTTTTCTGGGTAGTCAAAACACTGGTTCTGGTTCATTAGCCGGACGATAATTTTAATGTTTCCGCAGGCGTTCTCGAACGACATATGAGTTGTTTAATCGAATTTTACGTTTTTTTTGGACATAAAATTATAATAGTTTTTCAGATTATCTATATCTGCAGCAAATGTAACTAAAAATCGTTTCGAATAGATGAAAAAATTTTGTGAAAGGCTTCGAAAAGTGTAGATTTTTTCCGTAAAAATTTCCAAAAATTTAATCTTTGTAATTTAGTTCATTCAGTTATTTTTGGTTTCATTATGAAGTTTTTGCGACTTTTTGGCAATCTGACTCTACTATAATTTCTATATGAATAGCTTTCACCCCCCCCCCCCTCTTTACCTTCACTTTGCAAAGGGGAAAAAAATGAAAACGCCCTCTTCGTCCCCTTATAAGTCGACTCCCTCCGGTCTATGCTAATTATTCCTAAAAGTTAATTTAATATCGAAAAAGCTAATTTTTTAAAATCTGATATGTGCGCAGTCATCTCAAGACCGTTGCGCACCTAATGACGTATCACACATACTTATCCCCCCCCCGACAGACCACGGAGAGAAACACACACAATATTTTATATATGGTAGGATTACTATGGAGGTTACAGAATAAATGGATTTACTCACCGCCCCCCGCTAACGCACTAGCACCGTTTTTACCATCTATCGTTTCCGATATTTTAGGAAAACAAATCTATTTGGCCCCCTGTTTAGCCCTAAAACCTCCCGATCATCCCATCCCCGGAATTCTCGGCGCTCCACCCATTCCAGGCGCAATTTTTTCCATGTTTTTATCGGTGAAAAATGGCGACAGATAGATGATACCCAGGCGCGCGGCGCGTTTTTGCGTGCCCAGAATCACCCGGGGCAATTCTTGGGGAGGCGGGCGCGCGCGAAACGATTAATCAGCTGATCCGCGCACGCTTCGCGCGTCGATAAAAATAGTCTACGCGCCCCTGGTGGGGGATACAAATGTTGATCGTGACGAGGAGGAGGAGGGGATGATTGGTAGAACTGTATGTCTCTTGTTTTGTTAGATCTGAGCCGGGGTTTCGAGACGTATTGATCTTTTTTTGGGGTTAAACTTTAAAGGTATCGATTATTAATTTAGCGTAGTAGAAATTATGTTACAGTTAAAATACCTTTTTTGGGGGGTCCAAACTACCTAAAGTTAGGTGGATTATGGCGCTGGTTCATTAGCGAGGGGATGAAATAGTTTTATTCAGCCTAACCACTTTTATCACAAAACAGATGATTTTTATCATGTTTTAGCGGTTCTTAATTACTAAAAAAATTATCAAAAACCTTTCATTGCAGAAAACACGCTGAATTTTTTGGATCATGGTTCTGGTTCGTTAGCGGGGGAGGATAAATTTGCTTTATTCGACTTAATCTCTATTATCATAAAAAGAGCCTGTTTTCATAGTGTTTTTAGTATTTTTCGTTTGCTAAACAATATCGAAACCTGTTTAAAGTGTTAAAATTATGTTAAAACCTTTAGATTGCATGATTCGGGGACTACGGTACCAGGAGAAAAATTTAGCCCCCACCCCCTGCTAACTCAACAGAACCTGGATTATAACTTCAAGCTGGTCGATTTTTGTTAATTGAACACATTTTTCTATCTCCCCTTTTGTGGTGTCTAAAGGAGCGTATTGTTTCTAAAACATTGTCAGGCATTTTTTTCGGCGCCTTATGACTATTCCAAAAATTCCCATGCTGAACCAGTCTCATCCTCCACCCCTTTTTTGACGATTTAGTCCGAGGCTCCACCCCTCGTTGAAAGTTCCGTTATTTGCTGATTGTGGGGACAGTGGAAGAGAAGATAGACAGGTCTCTAGATGGGAAAATGGGCCCCTGTTTGGGCCTTTTTGGGCCCTCTCCGCCCCTCCATCATCCGCCTATAAGGGCCACGGCTCGTCTGTCTCTTTCCGCCTATCTTCTACTTTTGGTCCCGGCGCCCGCTTTTTGTAGGGCCACACGTAATCGCCCGGCTCTGGCTAGGCTAGCTGGTTTTGCGGAATCTTTTTCGGGGGACTGCGCTGTTAGCGGGGGGCACTTTACCCATTATGGGCATTAATAATGAAATAGCCTTTATTTATATAGCTTGTGTTTATTTTATGTTGTAGAAAATTCGTCAAAAATTGCTTAAAATTTTCTAAAAATATTTTTGCCTGTTTAGAGAACAAAAACTACTAAAAACGCTATGAAATCTAAGAATTTTTGCTAGCTAGATAGCTCCCCCCCCCCCCCCCGCTAACAGTTCAGTACCGTTTTTCTTTCCTTTCCTTTCCTTTCCTTTTTCCATTTAAAAAGCGATTTTTTTATACAAAACTTTATGCTAAAATTATTAACAGTCCTGGAAGAACGCCCCCATAGGACTCGCCCAAAAAGCGGTACTGTGCCACCGGGGGGTGTTTTTGTGCATGGGGAAGGCGCGGAATGCGCGGAACCATCTTTTGTGCCCCCCAACTCCCCGCTTACCGCCCCAAAAAAACGCATCAAGAAGGAAAAAACGGCACTTTTGCGCGGAAAAATACCCTCGAATGATTGTCATATTTTCTCCCCCGTGTTGTCAACGGTCTTAGGGTTTTTTTTGGTGCAAACGTTGTTTTTATTCTTTTTGTTTCCTTTTTTAATCATTCTTTTATTGATAGTTATGATTGCATTACGTAGTAACGATTTATCTAGCAATGAAATAAAGCTTGGTTCTTTAGGATTCCCGGGGGGGGAAAGTATTCCCGGGGGAAACCAATTTTTTTCCTGGTGGTCCCGGTTGACCTAGTAATCAAATATAAAGTGTTTTCGAATTGTTTTTAGTAAGTTTTAACTATATTTAAAGCAGAATAACTTTCAGAAAAATTTAGAAAAATGTTTGAAAAAGTCGAAAATTTGGTCATTTTGGGTCTATTTTTCGACCTAATTTTTAATTTTTTACATTTTTTTGGTTAAAATGTGTGTAGTTTTTATGCACAGGGATAGTTAAAAACAATTTAGAAACGCATCCGCAATTTATACAAAAATCTAGGCTTTCGCCGAAAAAAATTTGTTTTCCCCCCCCGGGAATACTTTCCCCCCCCGGGAATCCTAAAGAACCTAAAGCTTTATTTTCGGGCGTTCCTGTCCCTTTAAAGGCGATAGGAAGCCTCAGAATCGACAGCTACGCAGAATTGCAAAATACGCGCGCTGCAGCTTTTTTAAGCAATAAAATGCGTTCAAAAGAGCAGCTGGAAGGCGAAGTTCGCATTCGCGTAGCTGTCGACGCTTACAGACTCTCACTCTCCAGAAACCTCCCCAGCTCGAAGTTGGACTTCGATTAGCCATATAGCCTATCTGATGCAGTTTTTCACGCTGATAACGATACCGATATTTATTTTTGCCGAGCGCCACAGGAACATTGTTAAAAATCGATTTAAAGTTTTGTCATGTTTGGCAGCCCCGCCTCAAAGCCCTTCCCCACGGGGAAGGATCCATCGGCGGCGTGGTGTAGTCGGCAAGTACTTGGCATACCAATCTAGAGGTCGCTAGTTCGAGTCTTGTCGCTGACGACTTTTTTGCTTTTTGCTTCAAAAGTGCTGTGAAGGTCCTATCAGTCATCAAGAAATATGGTTTTAAGTTTTTTTGAACTTTTGGTCACCAATTCAAGTTGCTCGATTCGATTTCTCGGAAAGACTGTTTTTCAGCCGAAGACATTTGGAATTATCGGTGGATCACCAACTATTTAATGCACCAGCCACTCTTTTGAAAACTTTTTGACAAAAAGGAAAAAGAGATACTAGGTACTGTCTTTAAGTTTTTTTACATCTTATGTCAAGCTTCATTTCTCCACCAAGGTAAGCATTTTGAGGTCAGAAAATTCCTGAGGATCGTATCGAGACCTGTGATTCGTTGTAGCCATAACTACCTGAATTAGCGATCAAAAGTGCAAAAAAACTTAAAAATATCTTTCTTGATGACTTGTAGGACCTTCACAGCACTTTTGAAGCAAAAAGCAAAAAATTCGTCAGCGGCAAGACTCGAACTAGCGACCTCTAGATTGGCAGGCCAAGTACTTGCCGACTACACCACGCCGCCGATGGATCCTTCCCCGTGGGGAAGGGCTTTGAGGCGGGGCTGCCAAACATGACAAAACTTTAAATCGATTTTTAACAATGTTCCTGTGGCGCTCGGCAAAAATAAATATCGGTATCGTTATCAGCGTGAAAAACTGCATCAGATAGGCTATATGGCTAATCGAAGTCCAACTTCGAGCTGGGGAGGTTTCCTTGTTAGTTGGGCGTCGGGCGCTTACTAGCCCGTTTAAACTGTTCGTAAGGGCGGACTCGTAGCTTTTTGATCGAATAACATATTTTCAAAAGTAATAATAATACCATAATAATTTTTAATGAATTTTATTTTTAATTTAGTTAGAGTTAAATTTATTACATTTGCAGCCCTAACACGCCGTGAGCAGACAGATCCGCTGCTCGACGGCCGAGTCGCCACCGAAATGGGACTCATCGCCAATATAAAACAGTAAGTAATGGGTCTTTTGTTGTTTTTACAGTACAATTTGAGGTACCCGGCCTCGGTGTTCTACATCTTGGGCAATGAGCTCTGCGAGCGTTTCTCCTTCTACGGGATGAAGGCGCTGCTCGTCGTCTACCTCGTCACGGAGCACTCATTCCAGGATCAGTGCGTTTTATTTAATACCGTAATCGGTTGGAAATTATTTTTAATTTGTCTACTTCCAGCCAAGCAGCCTTCTTCTTCCACTTCTTCACTTGTATCGCCTATCTAACGCCCCTCGTCGGCTCCACGTTGGCTGATTCATATTTTGGACGGTGAGTTCGTAGTTTGTAGCTTTGGAATGAATTTTTTAGTTTTAACGTCATCTTGTACGTTTCAATCTTCTACGTCCTTGGCCATGTTCTTCTATCATTCGGAGCTATTCCATTGTTATCACAGAGTACGTCTCTCGGATGAAAAAACCGGTGCTGGTTCATTAGCGGGGGACCCTAAGCTTCCTTTATTCAGCCTAACCTACATAGTAACACAGTGTAAATTATTTTTATAGTGTTTTTTAATAGGTTCCGCTTACTACAAAAAAACATTAAAAGATTTTTTAAAGTTAAAAATGTTGAAATTTTCGACCATTTTCAGAGATTTTTGCGCAGAATTCAAAAGCTTCCTACGTTTTAATAATCGTTTATAAACTTTTTCTCTTGAAGAAGGGCGTAAATTGCTAGGGAAAAGGTTTTATAATTCATTATAACACTTCGAAAAACAAGAAAAATTAGGTTACCACCTCCCCCGCTAATAAACCAGCACCGCAATGTCTTACCAAAAAAATTACAGTACTCCGGTTGTGCTTCGACATGTCTGGCCTGTTGGTCATCGCCATCAGCACCGGCGGCATCAAGCCGTGCGTTAGTGCTTTTGCGGCAGATCAGGTAGGAAAGTTTCCTTCAAAAAGTAATAAACCTTTTTAGTTCGAAGAGCACCAGAGCGATCTGCGGGCCCAGTTCTTCTCGTTCTTCTACTTTGCCATCAACGCCGGCTCGTTGATGGGTGCGTAGCGTACAGTGTTTGTTGTTGACCAACCGACTTTCAGCCTTTGTGATCACCCCCCGGCTGCGGTACGACGTCAAATGTTTTGGGCAGGACCAGTGCTTCCCCTTGGCTTTTGGTAAGGAGTTAGACGCGAAGAAATTAGCTTCACAAAACGTAGAATAAAGAAGATGAACGTGATATTTTTAGGAGTACCCGGGCTGCTGATGTTGCTCGCGCTGGTGTTGTTCTTGCTGGGCTGGAAGCAGTACAAACGATGCCCGCCCAGTCGCGAAAATATGGCCGGCATGGTGGTGCGGTGTATTGGGACGGCGGCCTATCGAAAGAATGCAAAGTGAGCGTAAAAACTTGAGCATTGGCCTCGCCACCTTCTGAAGAAACGGTTCTTTCCTATTATCGGGGGGGGGGCTGTAATAATTTAATGATATTTCTGAATTTTGTCCACGATTTTCTAGCCATTCCTAAGCGTGAAGTTTACACCTTTTATGAAAGGCTTGAGAAAAGATTTTCGCTTTCGACCAGGTGACCGATTTTCGATAAAAATTTACAATTTTTGGACATTTTTCAAAACTGTCGCAATAGTTTTCCGCTTGAAATTTGGCTAAATTAATCTAATATAAAAAATAGTGTCTGTGTGTGTGTGCCACTTTGCATCCACTTCCGCATCGTTGTTCCAGGCGTATCTCTATAGGGGAAGAAGTTAGGAGTGGGTACGATACGTCATTATCTGCGTAATGGTCTAGGGATGACTGCCCACATATCAGATTTATAAAAATCAGCCATTTTCGATATTAAATTTAAGTTTTTGTAAAGCCCTCTTCGCTAGGAAAAATTGGCATTGACCGGAAGTACAAAGTCGCCTATATAAAAGGGTCAGAAGCGAATCATTTTCATTTTTTTGGTCATCTGAATTCAGCGCAATTATGCAACGCGTAGAACAGCATGCGGTCCAAGACGAGGCCAGGGTTGAAAAGTGGCGAAGCGGCTTTTCAACCCTGGTTAATCTAAAATCTTTGCTATGAAAATGCCAAAAACTGGACTTATGGGAAGAATCCCCCCGATAATGCAAAAGAACCAAAGTATCTGATCCGGGTTTTTTGCAGCGTCTAACGCTTTTTCAGAACCCATGAAAAAGGGCAGCACCAACACTGGCTGGACTATGCTGCACCGGATTTTACTAGATCTGAGATCGCGTCAGTAAAGGTATTTTTATCTTAAACTATTCAAAATCTTCGCCATTCCCAGAGTTGCGTGGCCGTGGCGCTGATCTTCGGGCCATTGGTGTTGTTCTGGGCGCTGTTCGATCAGATGGGTTCCACCTGGGTCTTGCAGGCGCGTCGGCTTGATGGTCAAGTCGGCTCGATCACCATTTTGCCTGAACAGGTGTGTTACAAAAGAAAACAATGATTGTGATAGATTTCCCTGCTGAACCCGCTGATCGTGCTGTTCGCCGTGCCGTTGTTTGAGGGCTTTTTGTATCCGGCTCTCCGGCGTGTCGTCAAAGTGACCCCGTTGAGGAAGATGGCGGTTGGGGGGCTGCTCACCGCGGTGTCGTTCATCATTGCTGGGCTTTTACAGGTATGAGATTGCTAATTTTTTTATTAGGAGGGACTAGGCCATCAGCGGGGGGGGTAGCTGTCTATGTCATATATGGCCAAACTTTTCGGTGTTTGATGGTGTATTATATGGGTTTTAGTAATTTTTGAGCTCCAAAAAGTTGGTCCTTAGAAAATTCATAAATGTGAAATTTGGCCACTTTTCCAAAACCACAATTTTTTGAAATCTTAGAATTTTTAGAAACTTTTTATACTTCAACCGACTAAAAAGCTTTAGAAATCGCGTGTAACCTATTTTTAACTTGTAACTTTTATCATTACTTATATTTAGCTAAAATTTGTTGATTATTATCCGAAATTTTAGTTCAAAGTAAATGGTACAATGGAGACGATCCCTCCTCTCGGCCATGCCCTCGTCAAACCATGGACCGCTGGACTATCCCTCGACTCTTTGCAAGGCCCTGATGGCCAGAGCCGTAGGTTACATCCACTTTAATGGTTAACCCATACCTTCAGATCAATCTGATGGCTCATATATTCTCCCTCGTGCCCTGTACAACCTCACACTCGGAGGACACCCATATCAACTCAACACTTCCAACTATGGCGAGGCGTTCGCCGTGGGAATTGTGACCACGGCTGGGGAGTGAGTAGTTTCATCATAACAAAACTGATTTAATTGTTTATTTTCCTAGTATTTTATTTTATTAGGTGTTAGACTTTTAATCAACTTTAGTAAAATCTAGCTTTCTGTCAAGTCGAAAACTTAATTTGAAAACCTTATAAAGCGTTGGAAAATTTTTATTATTTTGTTATAAGTGTTGTACGTCTAGAAATAGGGAAAATAGTTTAGAAACGGATGCGATTGTGCAGGTAAATTAAATTAAACCAGGGTTGAAAAACCGCTTCGCGGCTTTTCAACCCTGGCCCCGTCTAGGACCCGTGAAAGCCCTCAATTTGCATGTTTCTTCCTGGATCCAAGCAAGAAAAAAATGAAAAACGGTTCCTTTGTCCCTTTATATAGGCTCTTCCTGCTTCCGGCGCATACTAATTGCCCCTAACAAAGAGGTTTTTAGAAATCTTTACAAAAACCGAATTTTAATAGCGAAAACAGTAATTTTTCAACACTTTTATGTGTGTGCACTCATCTCGGCACCTTTACGCACCTAATGACGTATCAAACATACCTTAAAAACCTTCCCCAGAAGCTGTAGGTGCGGTACATACTCACGGAAGTTGCATGCAAATATACACACACACACACAAACACTATTTTTTTATATATAGTTAGATACCTCGATCTATATTGGAAAACCTGGATACCAAAACCCCGCAAAAACGTTGTTTTTCAAGACCCCGCCTGTGTGCCCTCAACTATACGCTGGAAAAGAACAACGGCTTCACGCGGCTCTATATGTTAGTGCTAAACGAGACGCTGCTGGGCGGCACCATCCACGTCATCAATGATTTGTACGTCTCAGCTGAGCTTTTCAATTAGGTGCCTAGAGATGAGGTGGTGCAATCGAGGCCACTACACAGCGGCGAACACATCGACATCAAGCCGAAGCTGATCTCGCGGCCCCACTATCGCATCGCGTACGGCTTGAATTGCAGTGGTAGGTGATGGCCGTGAAATACAACGAAATTAGGGCATTCAATATTAAAGGCTTTCAGGACTCGATTGCCCGTATAAAATCCCGTTCTACGCACAAATGGGGTCCAGCCATGTTATCGGAATTGACGGCCACACAACCCCCACCATCGAGAAACTGGTAAGTAAAGGAAAACCAATACTAAATACTTCTACGTTAGGTGCGCGGAAATGAGGTCTCCATCCTGTGGATGATCCCACAATGCATCGTGATCACAATCGGCGAGGTGGGCGCTCCCTACATAGTAAACTAACATGATCCTTTTAGGTTCTCCTATCAGTGACTGGCCTAGAATTTGCCTACTCGCAAGCGTCCCCAACAATGAAAAGCATGCTCCAGGTATGCCCAAACACAACGATATCCAGTAAATTTTTAGGCCCTATGGCAGCTGACCGTTTTTGCCGGAAATGTCATCGACATGCTAGTCTCAGGTAATCCACACCCACAAAGACATACCCGCACCATCCAGGATCTCACATCATCCACGATCCTGCTTGGGAATTCTTCCTCTATGCGGCGATGATGGCGGCTGTCATGATCTTGTTTATCTTCTTAGGTAGGCCAAATGAACGCCCGCAAATACGTCTAAATTTTTACAGCCGTACGTTACAAATACGTGGAGAATGCCGATTTTTCTGACATCGAAGAGGACGAGCATGAAAAAGTAAGCTAGTGCCAAAGTGCCGCATCATCCCCTACCAACTTCAGAAAAACGACATCGCGCTCAGCAAGACGGGTAAAGATATAGTTGAGGAGATGCAGTAACTAGCTACAATTGCGAAGAGCTGAACCGACCGCCCCATTCGTTTCTCACCAACCATAAGCCAATGACCACGCACTAAAGTACCACTTGTTAATGTCACGATCTCACGACTCATTATAGCCTGAGCGATCAGATTGCTCCACAAATGTACATTTCAATGTTTTGATGTATCATCTTTTTAATAAATAACGAGAATCGGTGAATGCGTAGCCACGTGGTGGCGGCACCGGGAGGGTCGATACATATTTTTAAATAACAACGTAAAAACTAACTGGGGGATTGAGAGACTGGGAAAACATCGTGGGCGTGAATTTAGAAATGGTCAGTACCAGACTGACCACGGGGAATGCATGGGGTGGAAAAGACAGCCTGTTTCGAGAAATTAGGAAACTAGCGGTTGAGGGGAAGGGTATGGGGATGGGGGGCAAAGTTGGGGGAATTAACAAAAGGGGATGCAAGTCGTAAATTTTGATAGACCAGGGCTAGGCGAGGAAGTTACCATTCAGCTTTTCCTGCTGTTCCTTGGCCACCTGGCTGAGAATGTCGAGACTAAACAAAAAAAAATGTTACAGAACGGGAGAATAGGCTTACCCGGCACCAGCGTGATTATCATGCAGCTTGGGCGGGCTCTTCTGCAACACGGATACAAAATGAATGAAACCAAAATCCTACCACTTCGGCGACGGCGCGAGTGAGCACCTGATCCAAGACGTAACGGGTGACCAAATAGACACCGGACAAAGGCGACAACGTGTTGTTTGCCTTGAGTAGAGCAACGATCATACTGTGGATAAGATCAGCGGCCTGTTCATCTGTAAAGAACACTCTCCATAAACGGGGCAAGGATTATTACCTGTAATGCGACCCTTGACGTCGATTTTGATTTCCATCGAGCTCACAGGCGGGACTTCCTTGAGGAACACCTGCTCAGTCTTGATATACTAAAACAAGGATTCATTGAGGTTCAAAAATCGGGAAATATTTACGAATAGCAAAACGGTGAGCGTTCAGTTCACCGATTTTTTTAGCCAAAATAGCGCCACTTTCTTTGGTAAAACAGATCTCGCCAAGGAATTAAATCCCCCACAAATCAAAGTGTTCGCGCAGGTAGCAACCGCCTAGGCGTAGGCTTAGATGTACGCTTTTGAGGAAAATGGCTAAGAAGACCGGCGAAATGAATGCCAATCCAACAAAAACCAAACAGCTAAAACAAGAGCCAAATTACCTCGGGGAAGATCTGCATAGCCCGGTCGAAAACCTGCTGCGCAATTGTCTGCTTCAGCGGCGCTTGGTTCGTCGATTTCTTGGCGGATCCGTTTTCCGAGCGACGGCGTTTGGGCGGCACCTAAAAAGCAGTTATAAGGAAGAGAATAGTTTTTCCCCACGGTCTTCTCCTCTTCTTCGGTCGACGAGCCGGCACGGCCAATTTGAGCGTTTGTTGGCGGGTCCTAAATTCGGGTTGCGTGAAGCTAGGAGAAGCCCACCTGGCCCTGATCAGTGTCCTTCTTGCCGCGCTTGGCCGAACTGTTTTTCTTTGTAATCTTGGCCGCCGACAAGTTAACCGCGAGCTCGTTTTCGTCAGAAATCAACTTTTCGCGCTTTGTGGAAAGTTTCTTTGGCGAGGGCTCATCGCCCTCATCGTGCTCCTCGCTTTCGGGCTCATCAGATTCCGACTGGGCACGCTTGGCGGAACCCCTCTTCGCGGACTTGGGGACCTTCGTCCAAATGGCCCACTCATTGATCTCATCCCAGTCGATGTCGTCCTTGTCTTTCTGGTCGACACGCTCGAATTCCGATGCGTTGGAGCCCTAGGAATAACTCTAATGGATTTGTAAAAAAAATAGCTCACCACAGATTTCCTGCCCTCCTTGAGATGAAGAGCAGCCAAGGCCCAAGCCTGCAACAACTCATCCTCGCCGTTATTTTTGAAGAAATCTTCTGGAATCTTGTCTGTGGTGCAAAGACGATGGATTGTCTAAAATGAATATTATAGCATTTTCCTGAGCGTAATATACCGAGTGTTTCGCACTAAAGACGCGGCCCTTCCTGCCGTCTGTCTCGAGCGGGAAGAAGACGTAACTGATCTTTAGCGGATAGACACCGGTCACCTAAGCACAAAATAAAGTGTATGAAATATTATCTGACTTTCGACGGCCACATCTTGCCGCGCCACGGAGCCCACACGATGTCGTCTTTTGCGATGTTGTGCTCTTTTGCTAAATTGCTTTTTACTTATCAAGTTGGGGGGGGGCCACTTTGGGTACCTATTAGGACCTTTCCCTCTTTCCCCTCTTTCTTGGGGGTTTTTTTACGCTGGGTGCGAATAGAGTCGCAACAGCATGCGAAACGGTTGGGTATATCCAGAAAAGGTCTAAAAATTTATTAATAAAAGGTGTACTCCCGCACCCATCCGAAGCGACAGGCCCCGGGGCGGCCTTTTTTAGGCTCAAATTGGGTGTAAGCATCTCTAAATCTTAAAAACGTTTAAATAATTGTGTTTTACTACTCTGATTTTGTTATATCCGAGACCAGCACAAAAAACTAGCCTAGAAAGACTAAAATCGAAAACCAAAGTGGCCCCAACTTGGCTGTTTTATGTAACGTGGAAACCTTACCGGACATACTTTCGGCTCACAAAATCGTTAGACACAACAATTCGTTGGAGATGCTATAAGTCTGGATATAGCATCAAAAAATTCAATCAGCAGAGAGAAAAACGCACCCTTGAGAATTCGAGTTGGAGGAAAGGCAGTTCTTTTGCTCCACGACCCCTAACTAGCAAAAGTTATAGGTTTTTTTTTGTTCAGAAGCTAGCGGTTGCAAGAAAGAACCGGTACAATTTTGCTTCTCAGAAGCGCTTATAGTTCAAGACCAAGCTTCGTTTTGGCAAGCGCCACGCTAGCTGGAATAATGAAATGCGGTGTGACCACTTTTGCGTCGAGACGATGTGGGGATAGAATTTTGTGCGCTGACATATAATTTTTTGCAACTTTTTTCGCAGATTGGCTTACACGCAGCAAAGATTGCGCCGGAAAAATTCGGCATAATTCCCAGCGCCCAATGCGGAGGGTGGTATCGGATGAAAGGGGAACCGGAGCGTAACGGAACGTAACCAAGAAATCTGAATAGTTTCAAACAACTGATCGATTCAGCGATAAAACCGATGTAGCAATTTATTTATTTTCGTCAAGCGGAAGGCACATATATCTATTGGTAAGGCGTTGGACAAGATCACAGTTATCTAAGACTGGCACAAACAAGGCGGGTATGCACATCAATTACAGCAAAAGAATCGAGTAATTAAGAAGAAGAAGAAATAGGGATTTTACGGAAAGACTATGTGTAAGTCGAATGGAATCGGAAAAATGATTGAGCAAATGCGCAGGAGCGGGATAACCGCGTTTTCCTTGGATAAACGACGACTAGTTTTCCTAAGATGAAAAATGACAACTACTACTAATCGGCTAATTTTCTAGGTAAGACGCTAGATCATGCTACATTATAGAAAGATTTCAGTAAGTCGAATACGTGGTCATAGGTGGTGAACGAGACGCCAACCGCGATCGGTCCTTTCACCCAATTCATCGAGAGACCCTAAAAAATCCAGCTTGATTAAGAGGAAAAAAGGTGTAACCTTGTAAAGTCCACGACGAAGGCCCTCGTTGCTCAAGATATTCGAGAGGGTTTCCAGAACACCCCATTCTCTGGGTATGCGACCCGTCTGCATTCGACGTCGGACAATGTCCAATGGGTAGGAAGATGATTGGCCTAAAAAAATCCAACTTGATCCAAAAATTGCAGTTAAAACGCACCAATCAACCCTGCCACCGCACCGAACGCCAGCCTCCATAGTGGTGTCACCTAAATCTTCGTAAATCCAACTGAAAATTTTACTACCTTTTGTCCGGCTTCCTCTTCGTACATAATCTTCAGCGTTTCATAGGTAAAGAAAGAAGTGCCGGCGTAAGGGATCACTCCGAGCAACGTCGGCCACATGCCCCTGAAAAATACTTCTAATGAACTAAGGATTTTTATACTTTCAAAAATTGCAGATGAGAACGGAACTTGACGAGGGGAAAATGCTTCTAAGAACCACAGAATCCTGTTCTAAGTATTTCTTTCCCAAAAAATAAATATGAAAAAGCAAAAATTAGCGGCTTCTTTGATGCTACGGCCCATAATTGTCATTTTTCATGATAGCCCTTACGAAAATCGTACCGATAAAGTGGCATAATGCCTCCTTGTTTCCAGGTTTTCGTGAAAACGGAGGTGAGGGTGGGATAATCCACGCGAGTTGACGTCGACAACCGTGCCTTCGCCGTGTCCAAGGGAAACGTAATTATTGTAGCCGAGACGGCCGCCAGTGAGCCCGCTATGTATCGCAACCCGGGCGTCCGAACACTAAAACAAAACAAAAAGCATAAGAGAAGCAAGATAAAACGATACCCGTTCTTGTCCACCTGCAACAAATTCTTCCACTGTTCATGCGCGCAAAATTGAATAGATGCATAGGGGATAACCCGAGCCATCGTTGCCGAGTTACCGCTAGGCAAAGTATTTTGTCAAAATTCGGGAATACCGGAAAAGCGCCAGAAAGCCATCATTCACATAGGTCAGCTTCACGAAGCGGAACGCCGCTTTGAACGAGTAACGTTTCGTTCGGGAGACTAAAAGGCCTTACAAAAGGAATTTGAAGGGAGGATACCTTGAAAATTAATTTTTGTCCTGTCCAACGGAGCAATCACCGTCTTGGCTATCGAGCCGGCGATTCCACCCGAGATCAACGAGGGAATAACGAGTGTTGCTGAAGAGGCCTCCTGAAAAAGATTTAGATCTTTATTGGTGCGGAATTTGCCTTGCAATTGGTCTCAAAAGTTACATTTTCTGAGTGGCCCATGGAAGATGCGTCTCAGTCGCATCAAATGGCTCATAGACGACGTTGCGGCCAGCAGAGGAGTGCCTAGAAATGAAAATTTTATTGGAGCCGACGGCGTGAGGTTTTCAGTCCATAAATTGGCCGTTTAGAGGAGGAAAAGAAGTATACGGATAGTTTTAAAAGATATATAAGGACATTATAGTCCTTATTAATAAGAAAAATAGATAACAAACTCTTAGAGTCAGCCGCTAAAACAGGTTGTTGTTTTCCGGCTGGCGGGAAGAAGGCGGGCGATCCGGCCCGCCATCGGGTACGGGGCACGACTATTGACGCGGCGGACATCACAAAATAGGCCTCCTAATGCTTGACCAGATGGCAGCTTTTCCTCTCTAAATCCCCTTATTTTGCCGAAATTTCTCAAGAAACTGTACAATTTTGCTAATTTTAAACCTTTGGCCTCATTTGCCATCATTTTCTGACCCTTTGGCTAGCTTCAACGATCGACAAAGTCCCCATACCCGCCGAAATAGGTGAAATTACGTCAAACATCTACAAAATCTTTGTCGCGGATTTCGTGCCGAATTCAGTCATTCTTTGACTGTTGAACTGGTTTGCCATCATTTTTTATCCTTTGGCTGGCTTCAACGAGCGTTAAAGCCCTCATACTCGCCGAAAAGGTTAAAGTACATGAAAAATCTTTCAAGATCTTTTGCGAATTCGATACCAAACCCATTTGTTTGAAACTTTTGGGCTTCTTTTGCACCCTTTGCTGATCATGTGGCTAGTAATAAACACAGAAAGCAGAACCCGACAGAAAAAAGAAAACCCGAAATCTGCCGGGCTGGATCTTAAACCTTTTCTCGCTCTTCATGCCAACCTATTCAGCCCTTACAAATAATTTTTCAGCCTTGGGAATTGTAAGAACGGGACGTGATGCCGCCCAAGCCAGCTCCTTCTAAGAAGGTCGACGCTAAGAAGAAAGAAAAGGTAACCCATCCACAATTTTCCACTAACAGTTTTTCATAGGTCATCGAAGACAAAACGTTTGGCCTGAAGAACAAGAAGGGCGCCAAGCAGCAAAAGTTTGTGCAACAAGTCACGAATCAGGTTTCAGATTGGCTTCTGACTGCATGTGTCTGTTTTTTAGGTGAAGCAAACGTCCGTTGCGAAACAACAGGAATTGTTGAAGAAAAAGGCCAAGGACGACGAGCTTGATGATCTCAACAAGCTTCTGAAGCCCGTGGCCACTCAACAAGTTGCCAAAGGTTTTCTGGTCTGCTAGATAGCAATCTTTTTTTACTTAGATGTCGATCCGAAATCGATCTTGTGTCTCTTCTTCAAACAAGGGATGTGTCAGAAGGGCAACAAGTGCAAGTGGAGTCACGATTTGGCGATCGAGCAAAAGGTATGTGGTTTGGAATTCTACTGACTTTGAGTTTAGGTCGTGAAGCGAAATCTCTATGTTGACTCGCGTGATCTCAAAGAAGGAGAAACTGGTTTATCAATTGAATCGAGCCATTGATAATCGATTTTTAGAAAATATGGACGACTGGGACGAAGAGAAGCTTGCTGATGTCGCAGAGCAAAAGCACGGCGAAGCAGATAGGAAACGGCCAAACCAGACTGACATCGTGGGTTTCTGTCTTCCTTGTATAGTAATGACGTTGTAGGTCTGCAAATATTTCATCGAAGCCGTGGAGAACTCGAAATACGGGTGGTTCTGGCAGTGTCCAAACGGGGCGACCTGTATATACCGACATGCTCTCCCTCCAGGCTACGTAGGCTTTTCGTTTATCGCATAAAGCCCAACATTCTAGATCTTGAGAAAGGACCGTAAGACGTTAGAAGACTTGAAGAAACAGGACGAAGTCTCACTTGAAGAATTGATTGAAAAAGAGGTTGATCTCCGAGTATTGTCTAGTAACTTGGTTTTTTTAGCGGTCCGCGCTTAGCTCGAAGAATCTGACCAAAGTGACCTTACAAACGTTTATCGCCTGGAAGAAGCGGAAGTTGCGCGAAAAGAAGAAGGCTGATGAAGAAGCGGAAAAGGCGAAACAAGCTAAGGCCAAGATGGGCAAACACGTATGGATTAAAAAATTGTCTTTATTTATTTTCTTTTAGGGCGGCATGTCCGGGCGTGATCTCTTCACGTACAATCCCGACCTCATCCAAGATGACGACGAAGCAGACGACGTCGCTTATGAGCGCGAGATTGAAGAGGGAGACGAGGTTCGTTATTACTTTTCTTTTGTATTATATGTTTTTTAGAATGCCGGCCCCGTCTTCGAGATCGATGAGAACACTTTCTTCGGGGTGGACGGCATGGATGTGGATGGTGCGGATGAGCCTGGACCCAGTGAAACCGCCGATGGTAACTTTACTAGCACTGACACGAAAATTCTTTTAGGAGTCGCGAAAATGTCAATCGACGCCGACCTGTTTGACGCCGACGGTGTTGACGAGCTCGATAGCGATTCTGACGAGGAAGATTAAAATATGTTTATCTAGCCCCTCCCCCGGTACATTCTGATACGTGATATTCCTTTTCCTTGGAGTCCTTCTTACTTTTTCCGAGATGTGACGAAATTATCTTTTTATCCTTGTGGAATGTGCGTGTATCAACCGTTAATCTTTTTTGTTATAAATGGTTATATCATTGAGATCTCGAACCATATTGGAGGTTTTCCGTGGATGCCAAATTACAGAATACTCAGAATTTTGTCGCTTCGCCGTCCAGTTACCTACAACGTATCTTTTTCAGAGCTTGAGTTTGGTGAGATCAAGCTTGCGGTAATTATGACCACCGTTGCCCGCGAGGAACCTTATGCTGCTGTACTGGAAACACCGATCTTGCCCACCCTCTGCAGCGGCTGTTTCAAAATGTTCTAAAATCGCGTTAGCTATTATAATTTTTGTAGAAACACTGACCTGAGCCCGTGCAACAAATGTAAGACCGTCTATTACTGCAGCCACAAATGTCGGGCATCTGATGCGGCGGAGCACCAGGTAAATTAGTTTGTTTGAGCTCCAGTCAACTGGTGCCTTTTAGACCGAATGCGCAGCCCTCATCAGGGTGAAGCCCCATTTGCCGAGTTCTGCTGTCCGCTTGATGGCACGCATTTTTTGGAAGCTGGACCGTGAGAGGGTCGGCGAATGTGCACCAACGGGCGCGGCATTCAATGGGCGTACCTTTGACAATTTGATGGAGCGTGAGTTTTCGCGGCTAGCCATACGTAATTCTTAGACGCTGATGAGATCAGAAAGGATGAGGAGGCTTGTGGCGACGCCTATCATCTTTCTTCGGTATATTAAGCGTGCTAGAACGTCAACAGTCCTTTTTTAGATCGTGACTCAATACGTAGGGAATGATGTGATGCGAAACAGTGTTGGTTTGATAACCGTTTTTGGCAAGGTCAGGTGTCTTGGATTGTTTTTCAATTTTGTTTCTTTGGGTGAGGACTAATTCTTTCTCAATCCTGGGCGAAGACCTTTCGGAAGTGGGTGCCGGGCTTTACCTTGGGTAAGCTTAAATGTTCTGCTACACTTCTCCCAGGCTGGCTGTTCATGACCACTCCTGTACTCCGGATGCTTTTGTGCTATTCGATGGGAAGAAAGCCTTATTGCGCGTGCCGAAGACTGGAGCGGTTTATAGTCCTGATGTAAGGATTATTACAAGTGACAACCCCCTTCTTATTCAGTTGAGGATTTGTTACGTTGATATGATGCAGAAAACTAGCGATCGCAGAAAGAAACTGGAGAAACCGTACTATTTCACATGCACTTGTGCGCTCTGTACGGATTCGCAGCGGGTACGCGAGTTTTTAAGCGGACTGATTGTAGAATTTTCAGGACGCACTAGCACTTTCGACCAAGTGTGAGCGCTGCCAGACGGGTGCTTGTCCATTGGACGAACGTAAGGACCAATTGGTCTGTAAGGATTGTGGGCAACCGCAAAAGTTGACCGTCGAGGAGGTTTGTGGCCTGTTACATCAGATTATTTTTCTAGGCGCTTCGGCTCAACCAACAGCTTCATTTTATGATCTCTCATAAGGACAGCACTCCTTTAGCAAGTAGGCGTTTTTTTCCTAGTACCAATTTGTTTAAGGTATGGACCTTGGCCATGAATTGGCGACCATGGCGCCGACCTATGATAAATTTGCGAAAATCTTGTCTCCGTTGAACATGGATCTGGCCGTCTATGGTAATCGTCTACTGACCGCGGCCTACTTGTCGGGAAGGACCGATATATTGGAAAAATATGCATTTGTGACAGTTCGAGCGTATAAGTGGGTTCATCCTTTGAGCGATTCGTATTTCTAGGGAATACTTGCCGCTTGGGCATCCGGAACTCTCGGCACGCCTTCTTCTTGCGGCCGAAGCAGCCTCTTGCGCCGACTATCTCACTCAGGACATTGTCAATATCATTGATGATGTAAGTCACTTTAGGTGGTTCCGTGTCACCGGAAGTGTTTTTGTTAACGGGGGATCAACTATTTTGATGGCATTTTACTTTTTTGAATATAGAAAAACTTGTTAAAACGCCGAAAGTGTGGATTTTTGTCAAAAAATTCGAATTTATAAGGTCTCTAAAAATTTTTTAGCGCTTTTGTGATGCGAAAATACTAACACAGTAGAAAATAATTTTTTTTATTACTCGGTTAGTCGGCTAAATTCAAGACAATTCCGCTTGCTCCCCGAGGTCAACACACAAGAACGCAACCTTCTAGAAAATCACAAGTTTTTAGGCCTTTGGAGCTTATGTGGTCTCGCATGGACGTGACCATCCGTCTACCCAGATGGCCGAGCACATGCTTGTCAATGTGAAGACGCGGCTCCAGAATCAGGAAGACTGCTAGGCCGAACCCTCTTAATTTTCACTTATGTAGTCATGTTCCATACGGTGTGCTCCTCACTTTGATCTCTCTACCCCCAGTGTATACGAACAACCCCGTGATATAATTTGCCCGAAATAAAGCTTTTTACCCACTTATTGCACTGAATTGCGAGCGCATCAAGAATTCGCCAATGTCACTGCATCGGATTGAAGCATCAGAACAAGCGTTGTTGATTGCTCACCCCTAAATTTTTTTTCAGATGAATTCAAGCTCCGGGTCTTCAGACGTTTCCCGTCGGCTCGCCGTAGCTGCGGCGGTGGCTGTGGGGGCGGTTGGCGTCGGCGCCGGCCTCTACTATTTGAGCAAGAAGAAGCCAACCGTGGCGGATAAGAAAAAGGAAGCTGCTGCTAAAAGCTTGGAACAAGTAACTGACTTCCGTTTGACGCCTATGGATCATTGACAGGAGTCGACGCCGAGTAAACTGTCGCGTATGACCGCCTTGGAACTGAAGGAGTTGGGCAACAAGCTGTTCTCGGTCAAGAAATATGAAAGAGCCATCGAGGTGCTGGAAACTTATTGGTTTACATATTTGAATCTAGATCTTTACACACGCCATCGAAAAATGTGGCCCAGGAGATGAGGAATTGGCCGCTGCTTGCTTTCAAAATCGGGCTGCTTCGCGCGAGGTTTATTCGCAGTTTTACAAAAATGTCTCTTTAGTTTCTTCCGAACGCTTCCCTAGAGGAGATCATTGCTGACTGTCAGATGGCCATTAACAATAGGCCAGGATACGGCAAAGCTTACATGCGCAAGGCCCGGCAGTATGAGAAGCAAGGGAAAAATCGGGACGCTCTAATCGGTCCGCTATACGCATTATCTCAGCTGATTCTTTAGAACTTTTCACCGCAACTCACGTCGAGCCGTCTCTCGACAGCAATATTGGGGAAATGTTGGGACGAATTGCCGGAGTTGTAGCCGAGGTTTATTTTGCGGGTGGCTTTGCAATATTATTAGGAAGAGAAGAAGCTTTGGATCGAGGAAAATCAGCCCAAGAATCAGCTCACCCCCGTTAGACATGAAAAGGTTAGTATTATAGGTGGGGGTCCATCATGCTTGTTTCTAGGTTTATGCTTGGCTTCGTAAATTCGGCGAGCACGATCCGGTTCGGTGTGATATCGTCAATGGAGTTGTGGCTGACGGGTTTGCTCTGTTTATCCGTTTTATAAAAAAACCCACTTTAGCCCGTACTACGATGCGCTGAAATTGATCCGTGATAGGAAGTACGATGATGTGGTTGACACGCTGACGCCGGTATTTCGGATTTATATGACGAAGGATAGTAATTTAGGTTGACGAATCCGAAGTCACGTTGGCCGACTACTTGAAAGTGCTTTTGCTGCTCGCTCGCTTCCAATACTGGCAAAACCGAAGATCCTTGGTAATTTTTTGCAGTTTTTTACATTTTGAAACGGTTTTTAGGCTGATGACTCTCTGATCAAATTCGAGGAGAAGTTTGCTACATTGGCCGAAGTGGACAAGGAGATGTTCGGCGACTACATGAAAGCACGGCTCTGTTTGTCCATTGAAATAGCTCGGGATAAAGATGAGCTGAAGCCGTGAGGATTTTGCCCTTATTATAGCACCACAGTTTCAGGCTCTTCGAGAAAGCGATTGGCATCGACAAGGAGTACATTGACTTCTACACCACAGCCGTAATTCGCTACACTCAAATGAATGTAAATCTTTATACCTAGGCCCTTTTCAGTGTTTTTAGGAAATCGAGGCGGCAAATGAGGTTAGCTCCAGCGAAGGAATCGTTCCAACGACTAACTTGAGGTATTCTTCTGTAGCTAATAACTAATTGCAGTTATAGCCTCGCCAAGTTGATGGTCGGTATCCTGCTGGGTGTGAAGAATCAAGATATGTCCCTGGTCCACAATGGCATCCTGGCCCTCGGAGAACTATGTGAAGGCGATGGACAGCCCGACGCCTTACGCGCTCTCATTACTCTCCAAGGTCTACACCCTCTTCCAAAGCCCCGCCGATGCCCTCGAGAACATCAACAAGGTCCTGGAGATGGAGCCAAACGAGAGCGCGCACTACTTTGAATCCTCGTAAGCGGTCGATTATTATTTCCAAAATGGCAAAATTTAGGTTAATGTCGAGTAGCGAAGATGAAATGTGGACTCGCCTGAACCGTTGTATTGAGCTCGAGCCGCATCATGCCGAGGCCAATCTGATGCTTGCGTCCCTTCGCGTCAACAAGGGCGGAGCGGCAGCTATCTCTTTGTAAGTTTATTTAAATATCCTGCATTATTCTATTTTTAGGGAGGATTACAACTTCTGCTGTGCTTGCCTCGATCGAGCGATGAAGGTACATTTTACTGTAAAGCTACGAATCTTTTCTTTAGGTCTTTGTGCCGGACTCTGTGGACTTCCCGGTCGTCGACTCCGTCTTCCAGATGATGGCCGTGCTCAAGACGAAGCGTGAGGCCGGCGTCCGCCTCGGCGTCGAATAATCTCCATTTCATTCTCCTTTATTTGCCCCGATGAAGTGTTTAGCCAGACTAGTAACCACTTTACTTGCTCTTTCATCATTTCGAGTGATTGTTGCGTGTTCTCTCCCTTACCGTACCACCGGTCCGTTGTTCGCTAAAGTTTTATTTGTCACCATTCCCCATCGCGTTTTGCTTGTTGCCGCTCGGTGCGCTAGAGTCTTTATTTAGTTTTCGGTTAGAAAGTCAATAAAAATTATGATACCATGGCAACCAATTCACACAATATATCCGTCAGTTTTAGGACAAGCACACCAAGAATGTGAGTAATTGGAGGAGGCCACTAATACTGGTTATCCAGCCGCCGTGATTTGGTAGATAATAGCTTCTGCCATCATATTCATTGCAGAGATGGCCTTGGCAGCATCTGGTTGATGATTTTAAGTAGTTTTATAGGCGTAGTTATACCGGGTGCATTCTTGTGTGAAGAGACCGTATCCCCGTTCTTCGCATCCTTCTGCACATGCTTGGGCGCAGTCTCGTTCCACGAATGTGAAGAAACCGTTCAAATTAGTTACCGTTGACTATAATTATTACTGGTTTAGAAGAAGAAAATCCTAAAATTGCCGTAGAGATCCTCGTCTTTATCGGTTCTAACACTAGAAGCAAATTAGTACCCACCCTGCAATATTTCTCCGTCGACGTGCACACTCGCTGCAAATCAGTCCTCGAGCCAAATTTCAGTTTGTTCATACAATCGGGATCTTGGTCGGAACCTAAAGTTTGGTTGCCTAACGGAATTGCGAAAACAACAAATCTCGAATTTTCAGGAATCTGCGCTCTCCGGGGAAAAAATTTAGATATTCAGAAAATCGAGATATTGAAAATTCGAGGATGAAAATCTACTTTGAACTTCGATATTCCGATTTCGAAAGTCCGATTTTCGAGATTCACATTAAACTAAATCTGCTACACTAAATCTGCCCCCACCCGTTTCAACATCTGTCTTCCGTTGCGAATGAACGCAGTAGTAGCAGGAGAAGCTGTCTGCAGCCCCGTCTTGAGCCGATGCAAGCACCGGAAGCAGAAAGAAAAATGCTGAGAATTCACTGGGCAACATAAATATATACTAATCCGGGTTCCAGGGCCAGTTTTGACGTACCTCGCGAGTAAAACCCCCCCTTGAACCAACGAGCTCAAAAGGCGGCCCCGCTTCCGGCCCATTTACTTCTTGACACATGTGTGTGCGTCCCTTTAATGACCTCTTCTTTGGTCCTACCCCCCGCAACCCGCATTCAGGGGATTTGGGCAGCAACCCCTGCTGCACTTTTCGGACGCTTATGATAGTTTTGGTCCTTTTGGGGTTTGGGTTCAGCGGATTTTTAAAAATCCTTGCAGGTTTTTAGACGTAGCGGCTGATATTTAACGTAGATTTATAGTTATTAGCTGTGTAGATGAGATGCTAAATAGGAGCTGAAGGCTCTTTTACGTTATCGAGGGGGGGCGGGCGACGAAAAACCTAAATTTTTTCTGATAAGCGGTTATGCATACTAACGCAATCGCCAAGTTTTAATGGTGTTTTAGTAGAAATTCACTATTTTTCAAGTAAAGACACAAAACTTCGACAAGGTTTTAAAAGTTTAAACTATTGGTTAAAAATCTGTTTAAAATGTTCTCGTTTTTACGTTTGGGATAAGAAAAAAACCGTAGAGACGCAGTTAGGATCTTAAGGAAAAGGCTTGTGTTCCCCCTATAATGCGAAAGCACCAGGTAGAAAGTTATTTTTAAGCTTAACTTTAGAGTTTGTGGTTCTTTTGGGGGATCTGAATTTCGCGACGCTTATTAATTTTAAGCAGATGTGACTGATGACTTTTTAGAAAAATAATTTTTAAGGATTGACGATCTCTTAAGTTAATTTAACCTTTAACATTTAACAGTTTAATGGACTGTAAAATTTAATTGTTTAAAATCAGACCATAGCTCTCAAGATTCCAACATCTGACCGCCCCCATCCAACCCAGCTACTCTTCCTCCCCACCCACCTACCCACCATGTTCTCCTCCTCCTCCACCCACCGCCCTCCCTTCCCCCCTAATTCTGGAAATTTCATTTTTTCAAGGGCCTCTGCCCCGTTGGGTGGCCAGGGATGGGCCGAGGACAAGTTTGGGGGCAGAGAAGTGGCCCTTAGGGCCCGTGGGGTCTCTGGGTCCCTCCACATCGATCTTCTTCCCCCACCCCCCACCCCTTCGACTCTTCAGTTGGTGGAGGAAGGAGGGGCAGATGAAGAAGATGTTAGGGGAGTAGACGGGGAGGAGGAGGAGGAGCAGGAGGAGTTGTCAGTGCCCCCAGGGCACATCCTTGCCGAAGACCTTCACTCACTAGCCTCCGATCATCATCCCCTGTCGTCGCACATCACTTCCGTGTCTACACGCGAATTAAAGGGACTAGGAATTGTCAGAAGCTGCTACCCCTAGATTTTGTTAGGTGTTGACAGTTAAGTGCCGCCTGAAAGCGCGAAAGCGACCTTGCTTGTCGTTTTGGGGCTGGTTCGTTAACGGGGGGGGACGGGGACGCGGGGTAAGTTGCTCATATATGTCCCCGTAGACGTCGAATATTGATGATATATAAATTTTTGAATAGCATTTACGCCTTTTTCATATTAAATATTTACTATCAAATTGTTGCTTTTTACTTTTTTATATATCTTCTTTTTAAACTCAAGGCTATTAAAGTGATGCTTTGGAGTGTTCTGTAGCTGTCGACACCCGTCGGCGGAGCGGGTCGCTTCCGAGCTTTTAAAACAGCTTTTTCAGGGTTTCGATTTGGGGTTATTTTTTACATTAATAAATCCTTGATTAGTACCTTTCTGACGTCTTTTATAGACCATCGAAGCCGCTTTTGAGTATATATAAAAATTTGCTGATTATCAGTCCTTACAGCTGCTTAGGAAGCGGTTATTTATTGTTTTAACTATTTTTAACTTTCATTGCTGATTTGGACGAGTTTTGTATAGGTATACTCTTTTTGATGAATTATTGTTTCTTACTTTTGAGGGGGAACCCCTTTTTTAAATTATTATTTTTAAAATTTTTAATTTAATATTTTTTTTAAAATAAAAAAAAAAATTATTTTTTTTTAAATTTTTTTAAAAAAAAATATATTATTTAAATTTTTATTTATTTTTTTTTTTAAAAAAAAAAACCCTATTTTATAAAAAAGGGGGTTTCCCCCTAAACCCTAATAGCTTTCTTGCTTTTTTTACTTTACGCAATTAAAGCTGCTCCAGATTGCCGGCGAAGCGTTGAGGTGAAGAAACCGCGGGGGCGCGCCAGCTCGTCCGTGTCTGGCTATATTATTGTTGATGTGAATGGGCCGATGAACGAGCGACGCGACGGCAGTGATGAGGCCGATGAGGGCGGGGGTCGAACATTCTACCCATCAACCCCTCTACAACCTCAAATATCCACTACAACTGATCCAGCTTCTCGCCTTCATCGCCCCGGCTATTGCACAACAGCCGCCACCGCCCTGTGAGCAGCCACTCAACGTTCATCACGACAATCCTACTACAGGTTTTACTATTATATATTCTACTCTTTTTAATTAGAGAAAACCACAAGTTCAATATTTGGGCATTTTTCATAGAATTCTGGGTATATGTCGGCTACGCGGGGGGATTTTACGCGGGGGGGACGGGACAGGCAGGCCGTTTTGGATGTTCTCGTTATTTTCTCGGAATTTTTTCATCGGCATTCGATAGAGCACCGAAAAATATACTAAGAGTTTTTGTTTTAGCTCAAATTAGTGTAATATAAAAAAGTTATGGCAAATACAAAAATAAGCTTTGAAAATCGGTTTGAGCGGCTGTTTTTTGACATTCGCGATATTTTTTCGACATTTTAAAGATGCCATTCGATAGAGCATCCAAAAATATACTAAGAGTTTTATGTTTAGCTCAAAATAATGTAATATAAAATAGTTATAACAAAAACAAGTATTAAACGTTGTTTCCATGGAGGACATAGAAGGAAATCAAGTTTTCGACATTTTCGACATTTTTACAAAATTTCTTTAGTGCCATTCGACAGAGCGTCGAAAAATATACTAAGAGTTGTGTTTGTAGCAAAAAGAAACGCAAAAAAATAGTTAGCTCGGCCCCAATAGTCCGTCCCCCCGCGTAAAATCCCCCCGTAGCCGACATATACCGAATTCTGGACAGTTCATAGAACTCGAAAATAGTTAAATTCTATCAGAAACATGGTTAAAAACTTGCTATCACATCCTTGGGCACATTTTTGACTTGTTTCCATCAACTTTTTGGAATAGTCTTCCATTTAAAAATAGCTAAATTTCTTCAAAAAACGAGAAAAATTTGCCATTAAATTTCTGTGCAGATCTAGACATTTTTTAAAATCTTCTGAATAGTTTTTCCACTTAAGATGGACCTAAAGTTTATGAAAACCCTTATAAAACACAGGAATATTGATATATTTTTTATTGAAATAAATTTAAATGATAAGGTTTTTATTTATTAAAATAGCTTATTTGTTCATTTCAGGGCTTCTCTACTCCCCAAATTGGCCGGACCCTTATCCGGACCGAGTCAACTGCGTCTACAATCTTTCTACATCAACGTCGAACGTCGTTAGTACAAATGCCTATTTTGCCACCTTGTTTTCAGATCCACTTGGTGTTCCAACAGTTTGACGTGAGCCCCAGATCGCCTCGTTCTGGCCAGTGTCTCGACGCCTATCTCTTGCTCATCGTCATCGATCGCCAGGGCCGTCAGCATATCGGTTAGTTAAAGTGTTATAGATTATTATTTTCAAATGTCGAAATGCCATAATACCGAAATTTGAGAATGCCGAAAATTTTGGCATATGATTTGGGGGTTCCCTGTGAGATTTACTTATATTATGAAATTCCGGTATTCTGAAACCTCGTCATTATTAATTTGGACGTTATGAATTTCGACATTCTGATAGCAGCAAAATCTATATCCTCTTTCTAGGCGAGCGTATCTGTGGCGGTGACCAATTTGACAGGATCTTCGAGACAATGCAGTCAAATGTAATTTGTTCTGGATCGTCGCCTCGAGTTAAAAACTCTTTAGATAATTCTCGAGTTCAACTCGTATTCAAACGCCGTGCGCACCGGCTTCAAAATCGAGTACCAATTCATTTCCGAAGGTATGCTTTATTCGAACGGTTTTCTACGAGTAATTGTAGGCTCGATTCGACAGCCGCCTTCGTTTTATTACGACGCTGATCGAACGTATGAGGCGAGGTGTGGAGGGCGAAATGAGGTTTGTATTTTTTAGAAGCGTTCCTACTGTTTTTTTTTCTGGTTTCATCGTGCATTTCTACATTTCATTCTAGGCTGGGGCACTTTGGGACGAGGTGGTGTCGCCGGGATTTCCCCTCTCATACCCCAAAAATATCTCTTGCTCATGGCTAATCCGGGTCGAGCCCCACCAACGAATCTACGTACGCCTGCTCCACCTCAATATTACTGATATCAGTACGTTTGTTTCCATTTTCGACATTCATGTTTTGCAGAAGAATGCGATTTTGGAGCTCTGTGGATAGCCGATGGTTTCCGCCACGATTCCGCGACGCACCGATGGGAGGAGCGTCGTCTTGAACATTCGGAAGTCAAGTGGGTTATTTTCTAAAAAGTGTACCTTAAAATAGGTTCTGCGGCAACGTCAAATTCTACGAGGAGGAGGGGCTACGCAGTTATATCTCGGCTGGAAATCGACTTTTGATACGGTGGGCCGTTTGCCTGTTTTGTTTCGTAGCGTTACGTAGGTTTTACGTTACGGTTTTACGCAAATCTTCTTCGATAACCTTGTAGCTATTGCAGAAACTCAATGAATTCTGGGAGAAGTAGGACTGAGAGGCCAGCGATGAGTTGTGGGCCAATTTGCGTAGGAGGGGGTCGGAGGATGTGGCTTTCCAGTATTCCGCACTCTCTCTCTCTCTCTCTCTCTCTCTCTTCTCTCCCTCTATCCATCGCCGTTCGCATTCTAATCTCATTTGATAGAACCCCCGTCCAGATGGCCCCCGTGGGTATCCTTTAGTGGGGAAGTGAACAGCAGCCCTAACAAGGCCATACACAATTTTAGGCCGTAAAAAATTTAACGATTTCTTAGCGTTTCTAAACTGTTTGCTTTTCCAAAGCGTATTAATGATATATAGCGTATAGCCTACAAATGATGAAAATAAACATAAATCCAGATTTTTGTAACATCATTTCAATTTTCGAACAGTTTTTAAGTTTTATAAATAATTCTCCACTCGAAATATAGCTACATGAAATACTGAAGAACCGCTTGCGCTCAAAAAAATTGGAGCTACCTATTAACGTATACCATTTGGCAGATTCCAAACCGGGGCCCGCACTCCTCTGCGTGGTTCTGAAGAATGGAAAGTCGGCTTCAAACTCATCTGGACGGCCATCAATGGCATCATCGATGAAGCAGTGCTAGCAGAGCCTGGAGCACGGTAGGATCAGACCAACCTATCTGATACCACTCCAAAATCTACACCCTGAGCTACGCTTTAGGAAGGAAACGTGTGACGGCGGCTTTACGTGTCATGGAGGCCTGCTATGCACCGATCAAGGGCTCGGCATCTGCTCTCCACGTCAGCAATTCTGCATCGATCCGTCGCTCGTCTGCAACGGCGTGCCGAATTGTGCCGAGGGCGATTTTTCCGATGAGTTCCATTGTAAGTCTTTCTGGTTACGGTTTTTAGTAACCATTTTCAGGCCATTCTACCGAGATCTTTGTGACGGGTGGCGTTGCTTTTTGCGTTCTGCTGCTGGTGATCGTAGGAGCGTTGTTTTGCGAGCGAACGCGGAGAAAATCGGCGCTACGAAAGGCGGGTTTCGCCGGTCTAAAAATTTGGTTTTTATTGGTTTTACCTGATACCCCAAATTTTAGTTTTCAAGCATTTTAAAACGGTTTGATGCCTCAAATATAAAAACAATCGAACTTTGCTTGCCGGCGCTATAAGGAAAATATAATTGCAGAAAACCAACGATACTAAACTATTTCATTAGTTAGTCTCGCTAATGGAGATATCAGGGGTTTTATCACGATCACAGCCGATATGCCGATTTTCAGGCCTTGGAAGCCGATCGGCCGTCATCGTCAAAAAACGGACGTCCCGTTTGGGAAGACCGTAGACCCCGGGTGCCGCCCCGGTGACAATGTGAGACCGAGCTGTAGCCCACAAACGACAGCTCACAATCAAATGCGGATACACCAACCGTTTGTCCTTAATGTAAGTGCCTGCTCTCATTCCATTCATCGATCTTTTATACTTCTCATTTCGCGACTGAGCTATTTTTCGCTCCATGGGCTTGCCTTACTCTCCCCTAGCTTTTGCTTATGCATGAGCGGCGGATTTTTGAAAAATAAGGTATCTAATTCTGGTCTTAATAACTTAAATCAAATCAAAATCATAGTTTTCATTTGGCATTTTTTTGAACCGAAGCCTTTTCCACTAATCCGTCCCCCTAACTCGCTGCGGCCCAAAATGCGAAACTTATCCCGGTCGCCACCCTGCGCTACATATCTTCCGATATCTAAAAATGTTAAAATATATGAAAACAATTCAGCCCCCCCCCCTCAGCAATATAACTCCCCAAAAAAAGGATCCCACGCAATACGCTCCGTTTTGCTCAATCCTCGCGTTCCTCCGCTTACTCAACGTTTTCCTCTGCTCGACTTGAACTGTTATTATTTAATCGAAGCGATCAACTGTCCATAAAAAGCTTCCGACAAAAAAGAAACTAGTTTTGAATAAATAATTGATATCACAGACGATTGCGGGGATACAGTGAGGGAACACAGTGAAATAAGACACATTTAGACCCAATTGTTTTGAAAGCGAGAGAGAAAACTGTTACAAGCGCAAAAAGGTGGTCCTAATTGCCGAACCAGCCGCCGGTGAAACCAGTCACCTTCTCGTACATTGAGGTGAGGGACGGGGCGCTGCCTGAAGAAAATTATGCTTTAGGGATTAAGGGAAATACCATACCTTTGCCCCTGCCATCTGTTCCGGCTAGCAGCTTGTTCGTCCGCACGTCCCGTGACCGCATCTTTTTCAAGCCATTTTCGCCAATCTGAATGAACATATGGTTCTTTTGCGTTATCGGGGGAAGGGGGTAAAACCAGATTTTGGAATAGTCAGAAAGGTGTAGAAGATGCTTCTGTTTATCCTAGACAGGTTGCCTCCTGACGAAAGCCTCCCTTCCCCCGATAATGCCAAAGAACCGAATAGTACAAAAAAAAGATTTATTCGATAATCCATTTTGTCTCTAAATATTTTTAAAAAACCAACCGATCTATCGAGTCGCGGGATGGCCGGGATACGCTGGGGATGTTCAGAAGGCCGGGGCAACAGGTCAGTGACCGCCATGAAAGAGGAGCTGACCGTCGACTCCTTGATCGGCATAATGTCGGCCGCTAACCCCGACCAAAGCAAATAAAAAAAAAAGAATTCTCCTCAATTTCCAAAAACAAACCTGCGCCCGAAGCGTCGCCTGTCGCACATTATTGGCAAGCGGTTGAGCCAAGACGGCCAGCTCGAACGGGTCGATTCGCGACTCGAACGCCGCCGGGATGGTGCGTAGCCTGTCGTTCGGCATTATCGAGAAGGCAATCCGGGCATCGAACAAAACCTAAAACTCAAAGTACGGAGTAGGAAATTATGCAAGACCTGGATCCAAACGCGTTGCGGCAACGTGACGTTACTTTCGACAATCGACGAGAAGAGATCCGCTAGGCGATTGGCCACCGTGTCGGCCAGGGAAATGCGAACGGAACGCGAGAGGAGGTGGAGGAGGGAAGTTGAGACGAGGTGCTGGTTCAGCGAGCACAACAGGGCCATCAAGACTGACGACGGGGCAATCGGTACGCCGAGAGTACCAATTTCGGGTACTTCCATTTGTTCCCATTCCTGGAAAGCATCGATTTTGATTTGTACGGTATTAAAACCCCGAAGAAATTTGGAGATAACTTTAATCATTCGGCGAGAAGCCAAAAGAAGAACTTATAACTCAATAACATCAACTTTTTAAAGAAAAATTAAAAATCCCGTGATAATTCTTATTCTACTCGTCAGAAGCTTTATAAATATTTATAAAATCTTATAAATGGTGAAAATCAAGTTCGCAAAGAAAACCATTGGTTTTGATCCGACAAAAAAAAATAAAAATCCAAAGAAACCCCCGGAAAACAGGATCCCATAGGTCAGAAACGAGGCAAAAACGCTATAGAATCGCTATACCAAGCTTTGTAGATGGAACCAAAGGCTAAAAACGAAGAAACGGGCAAAAAGCAAAAAGTTCGCGGCGAGCAGGATTCGAACCTACGCGGGCAGAGCCCATTTGATTTCGAGTCAAACTCCTTAACCACTCGGACATCGCCGCATGGGGACAGGGGTGCGGGAAAGGGGCCAGAAGGCAGAGGAAGCGGGTGGAGAGGGGATAGAGAGGCCAGAGCACCCCATCCAGCCACAGCCCAGGGAGGCAGTTGCGGGGCGTTTTTTCGGCCAACTGTCTTAGGTTGAGCTTAATTTTAGGATTTGTGTAGCTCGTAACAAAAGGAACCTTTCACCTCCGCTTATAAACCAGCCTTCCCATAACTTAAAAATCCTCTATCGCGTCGGTCTGACGTTATACTAGGCTTTGAAAACCACGTGCTCCCTCTAAAATTGAAAGTATTTTTTCCAGCTTACCGAACAAATTTCCAACGAAGCCAGCGGGTCGCTTAGAGTGGCTAAGTAAGCTCTGAAGGCTTCATCAGTAAGCAAATCCTGCGCCATCTTCTCCACGTGGGTTCTGGAAAATGGATAATTTGGTGCAACGCCATTCTGCAGATTATTTTATTATTATTTTTTTTGCTAGAACTACATAGTATTTATTGAAACCAGACAGAATAAAAATCAAAGGTCTCCTATTAAACCAAAATGTTTCGTGTATGCTTTGATGCTTTATCGAATGACGTTCCTCACAAGCCGAATGAAATGAGGAACCCCTCGCTTTTTTATCATAGCTATTTTATATTTAAAAATACGCTAAAACAAAATATTGGTTTATTTTTAAGGCCAATTACGTTGACTTTCATTGATTTCCGCATACCCCGTGGTCCAACTTTACGAAACAAATGAACTAAATCTTACGTCAAGCCCTGTTCAGCGGCCGAATTCAGCGCCTTCGAGCACTTTTGGATCAGCGCTGGGTCTCTGTTGAGAGAGCCGCAAATGGACGTCGGATCGACTTGGAGAAATGCGAGGGCGATACGTGCCAGCGTTAGCCCTCGGATGTCAGCGTGATTCGGGAGACTGCATTTTAATCTGTTGTCCATCAAGTAAAAAGCACCTCATCAAGCGGGAGGCCAGACAGTTCGCCAATGCCACCTTACTGCTCGACGCTTCGCCTTCGAGACCATACTACAAGTTTGAAAAGTGTCCCTATCAAAAAACCCACAATTTTTACCTTTTCATACTGTAGACAAAGATCACGGAGGGCATGAACAGAGTGTAGGAAAGTGAGGACGGATCTAAAAATGGTTTTAGAAAGAGTTTGGAACATACTTTTGCAATTGCTTCGAAAGTCCGGTCGCCAGAATCGTGTCGTAATGATTTGCGGCCCGTTTCTCGAATAATGGCGGCGGGGTCAGCTGGGTTGTCTCGAGACTGGCCAGCACTTTACTGAATTGTGCCTCAACCTCATCCGTCAGCAACTCCTGAAGCACACCGATTCGGACACACCCTCAAAGTTTACCTTGAATTTGTTCAGCACGGCGACGCCGAACATCTTCTGGTACAGGCTCGAACCTGAGATGACGTGAGGCCAATCCTGAAAGTACAGTTCTTGAGAAATCAAAATTCGTGTTTACCTCATTCATCACAACAGCCAACGCTTTTAGAAACTCCAAAATCGAGGTCGGTTTTTCGTGATATTTACAAATTGTATCGACGGAGGGGTGAACAATTTCACAGATCCCGTCAATCCAAGTCAGACACTTCTCCGAGATACGCTGCGTTGTCAGATGGGCAGTCCTGCGGTCGATTTGAGTTCGCAGAATCTTAGAAGCGATCAATCCAGAAAATTCCGCCAACCTTGCTCAATTCGTCTCTCATGTAGCCCTCAACGGCCAGCGTCTGATCAGAGAGCAGCTCGGCAAGGAGAGCTAGGAAAAATATAACTTACAGGATATTTAGAGTACCTGGGCAATATTCATGTGAGGTCACCGCTTGAAGCAAGCTCGACAAGTCACCACGTACAAATAGTCTCTCGACTACCTGAAGAAACGCTATATACATACATGGCTCAAAAAGCAACCTGGAGAGTGAATTTGATTTCTTCAAATACGGAGAGCAACGTCGAGTCCTCTTCTTTCAGGAAAGATTGAAGCTTTTTCTAAATAGTGGGTCAGGCTCCTTTTTAAAGCGCTCACCTTCCTGGCCTCCAGATAAGCATCCATCAACTGCTCGATGCCAAGGTTCTGGACAAGGGCCATGGAGGCAAGCTGGACAGCAGCCCAATCCGGCCTCGACAGTCCAGCCAGCTCTTCCGTCATCTGTCCACAGAGCCAGCGTCGCAGTCGTGAGATACGTGGTGCGTACGTCGGAAGAACCGCCGTGATCTAAAAAAAACCTCAATTATTGCGTGAGAAGAGCCACTTACGGCTGGTGGATGAGAATCCGAAAGCAGTTGCTTGTGTATTTGTTCGACCAATAGCAGTCCGAACGCATCCGATAGGCCATCTGCATTCTCAGCTTCCTGAAAAAAAACATGTATGCAGGCAATTCGCCGAAAACATACCGATCCAATGACGGGAAACAGGCGATTGATTGCGATAAATGAGAGCAGCGATCGCACTTCATCGCGATGATGCTTCGGTGGATCAGGCGGTGCCAGAGTGCGAGCCTTGGCGACGAGATCGGCAAGTTTGGCCGCTTGAGCGTGGGTTTCCCGGAGCTAGCACAAATTTTGTTATTTTTACGTATTTTACCTGCGTACTGGCCTCGAGAACATCCCTGTACCTGCGACCCACCATTTCACGTAATTCCTCCTTTTTCTGTTCCATTTCTTTTCTAAATAAAATTATTCACGCATGACTTGAAGAATCCTACAATAAGCTTCCATGGATGTTATCAAGCTGTTCCACGGTCAAATCCTGCATCAACCGTTCGACATCCATTTTGACTAAAAATTCGCCTTGCCCCTGATTCCACGTGTAAAACTCCAAAAACTTTATCGGAAATCTACCGAAATGCGTATAGCGGACCTTTATCGAAAATACAATTTATCCGATAGGCAAAATTTCACCGTACAATCTGGAACACATTGACTTAATAGCACATAAATTAAACCGTATTCGCGTGATCCGAAAAGGGCACAGGATGGGTTGCTAGCAAGATGAGATACGATGAAAGAACGCCGTGCAAAGATAGACTGGTTTAAGTACTGATATCAAAATGGTTGAAGAGGACATCGGGACGATTCAATCAATGGTCGACTTCACCAGCCTTTCCGGAGACACGCTTGAAGTCGCTCATGTTCATGGCAGCCAGGGTTTGTCCGATGAACTAAATCAAATAATTAGGGAATTTCCTCAAAACTCTAAATTTCTGTTCAAAAATTATAGTTTTGGTGTTTCGAAATAAAAAGTTGTTTTTGACGTTCAGGCATACTAGAAACAGGATACTTCTTCCACAAATTTTAAGCATACCTTCAAACCGCTTAGCTCGGTAACATCACCACCGCCAAGGTTGTTCTCGATAAAGAGTTGGATGTTCTGCACATTTTGGAACTTCACATATCGCAGCGGGACCGATTGACCATCGACTAAAGTAACTAACTAAGAAGAATGCATTAAAACTAGCAAACCTGATTTCGAGGAGTCATCGAGCTCAATTTCTTGCACGGCCTCAGCGCCCAACGCGTGGTCAAAGTCCAGCGTTTTTGGGAGGTTGATGAACAAGCGCACTTTCTTCGGTGCTCGATCACCAGCGCCCTAAATCAGCATAATGACGGAATGGGAATGATTACCTTGACGAGCAAATCGTGGATCTTGACGGGCTGGTTGAACTGGATCGACAGAATCAATTGCTCATCACAGTCTGATCGCAAGTTGCAACGGCCTAGAAAGAAATAGATAGCGCAAAATTTGAAGAATAGTTTTACTGCCCTAAACTTTTTTAAAAGGTTGTCAATTTTCCGAAATCATACCTTCCAAAAATTGATCTAGCGGAGTGTCATCATCGTTGTTCATCGCCTCGGACTGATTCTTGTTGATAAATGAAGACAGGTCAAGGAATCCAGCAGCCTAGAACAGCCAAATTGGTCCCAAAAACAAATATCACTTACGTCAACGCTCGCCCCAGCATCAGCATACTTCTTCACCAGCTCCTCAAGGGCACTCGGATCAGCTCCCCGGAGTGTTCCGACTTTTGCGCTAAACCCAAGAATGCCCATTTCCGAAAGGCACCTACTTGTTGACATACATGTTGAAAGTGGGCATGGCGCTGACCGAGTTGGCCATGGCGGTGTCTGGACAAGGTCTAATAAATAGCGCACCAAAGAATACCTGGGCACTTGTCGACGTCGACCTTGATGAACTCGACGCCGGGATACTTGTTGGACAGCTGCGCGAACACCGGGGCGATATTTTTGCATGGGCCGCACCTGAAAAAGGGGGTTGTTTCAGGCAATATTTAGTCAATTCTCGAATGCCTATAATTCCAGATCTGCCCTATTTCTGAGAACAATAAGTTCTATTTGATATTTGGCACAGCCGACCAGAATATTATCCACTTTGGCCGGTAAGAGATAGCTATTCTGATTCCAACTGAAAAGCACCCACCACTCAGCGAAGAAGTCAACGATGTAGGGCTTGCCGGCAGCGCCAGCCACGGCGGTATTGAACTCGGCGTCGGTGAGGCAGTGCTTGACGGGCATTTTTGCTCTAGAATTGAAGTATTGTTCGGTAGGGAAAGAAGGGAGAAAATGGAGGCGTAAATAAAATAGCAGTTTGAAAAAATAATTCTGATTCGCCTACAAATCGAGACCGAACGTATTTCCGAGTCCCAGTCATGATTGGAAGACCAAGCTCTCTGAAATGACCAGGATGATATCCGCTGCGGCCGGTACAAGGCAGCTGTGGAATTTCCACGCAACGCATTCCCCAACGCGCATTCGGGGCGAACGGCCCGAGGAACAGACTGGAACAATGGCAACTAAAGGGATGGCGACCCATAAAACCTGAGAAGGCATGTCAGAAACAAGACTCACACGAACATTTATCCTTCGAACCGGTAATAACGTAACAAAATATCAAGACAAGATGAACTGTAATGTGAAATTCGATTTTATTTTGATCGATTCGATTAATTCGATAGAAATGTTGTCCCTCCGACCGTATTGGTATTGAGATCAGAAAAACCTAAAAAAATGATTTAAATGAAAAATTTATCAATCTCCCATACCTGCCCTCCTTTTCGTCTTTTTCGCGCTGCTCCTGGGCCAAATGGGCGGTATTCGAAAGGAAGGCCAGCACACCCTTGTGACATCGATTGGCGTAATGACCCTTCTCACCACACTAAATCAACAGTTTTGCCTAGAGAAAAGCAATCACCTTATAGCAGGTGACTTCTGAAAGACTCTTCTTTTCTGGGATCATCGAAGCGTCGAAAACTCGGAATGCCTGCTGCGGAGCCGCCGCCGTACCGCCCTGAAAGTGTGTTTCAAACTTTTGCTTCATCAGAATACCTGTTGCGAACCCGGCAATCTCGGGCAGAACGTCGCTTTGTGGCCCTTCTCGTGACAATTATGACAAATAATTGAAGCATTGTAGAAACCCCCCCCCGTTTACTAAAATTATAGATTTAAAAGGCCATCCGCGGGTCACTCGAACAGTCCCCATTATAGCTTGGCACAGTTTTTTTTCGACCCTGTTTTTTTGACGGCATCGGATAGAGCATAGTCGAATTAGTAGGGCTGCATAGTTTTGAAAGTTTAAAAAGTTAGTTTTTAGGGTTTAAATGGGCCTCAAAGTTGCCGACCCCGAAAAACTATCTCGAAAGCCACTGCACCGAATTTGCTGAAAACTTGTGACAATACCTAATTTGGCATGAGGATCATTTCTCTAATACATCGCAAAGCGCGAAAATGACGGGAACATGGTTAAATCGAATAGTAAAAACAGTTTTTTAAGACTTTCGAATTTTTAGTATTCCGAGCGCAACCTGAAACTAGCATAGAAAGATGCGCGAGACTTTTCTGCATCGATTGGTGTATCATTTAGCTTGCGCGAGGAATACTAACATTGAGAAAAATCGCGATTTGTAGGCGAAAAACGCGGAAAAAAATGTCCCATAAAAATACAAAGTTGTTAATTTTGTTAATCTGTAGTATCAAAACGCATCTAGAAGCCGAGCTGAAGCGATTGCAAAAAAGAGCAAAAAGAAATTCCCTTTCTTTCGATGTCGCGGAATCGAACCCGGACCCTCCGCCTGGGAGCCCTGTGGCGCAATGAGTAGAGCGTCGGCGTGCCAATCTAGAGCCGCCGCAAGTTCAATCCCAGCCCCCTCTCAGAAGCCGAATTTCGTTTTGCTCTTTTTTGCAATCGCTTCAGCTCGGCTTCTAGATGCGTTTTGATACTACAGATTAACAAAATTAACAACTTTGTATTTTTATGGGACATTTTTTTCCGCGTTTTTCGCCTACAAATCGCGATTTTTCTCAATGTTAGTATTCCTCGCGCAAGCTAAATGATACACCAATCGATGCAGAAAAGTCTCGCGCATCTTTCTATGCTAGTTTCAGGTTGCGCTCGGAATACTAAAAATTCGAAAGTCTTAAAAAACTGTTTTTACTATTCGATTTAACCATGTTCCCGTCATTTTCGCGCTTTGCGATGTATTAGAGAAATGATCCTCATGCCAAATTAGGTATTGTCACAAGTTTTCAGCAAATTCGGTGCAGTGGCTTTCGAGATAGTTTTTCGGGGTCGGCAACTTTGAGGCCCATTTAAACCCTAAAAACTAACTTTTTAAACTTTCAAAACTATGCAGCCCTACTAATTCGACTATGCTCTATCCGATGCCGTCAAAAAAAACAGGGTCGAAAAAAACTGTGCCAAGCCTATTTCGGTCCACCCGCAAACGGCCTTTAATTAGTGTCGAAAATGCTTACTTATTGGTGATCGGATTTTCGGCGGCTGGGAGCTCGAATGTTGGATGGGCAAATTTGCACTCTTTGCCTGTACAGAAACCTAATTTGGTTTCGGAAAAAAGACAAACCTTCTGCACAGAATCCGAAAACAAAGTTGGGGCAAATGACACGCCTTCGATGCCGATTCTTGCAGTAGGGGCCTGAATAGAATATAATCTAAAGAAATGCTGGTGCTGCGTTACCGTGTCTGCAAAAACCGCGATCATACCATGGACAATCTTTCATCTTGCTCTCCGGGTCAATATGGCGGAAAGGGCATTCACGATTGGAGCAAGCCACTAAAAACCATAAGTTTCGTGAATGTAAGCTTACTATATTTTGAGAAGAAGAAACATTCCGGCATTTTTGTTAGATCATACTCGTGGAGAAACTCGCAACCATCTCCCTAAAAACGTTCAAATAGCCCATTTCGGGAAATCTTTGCAAAGAAGTCCATATCATAGTTCCAGGATCCAAAAAATTACCTTTTTACACAATCCTCGGAGCCAATGCTTGCAAACCACTTGCTTGTCGCCAACGATATGTCTGAGGGAGCATTTCTGGCCGTACGGACAATTGCCCTGTTGATGCCATAGGCAGACTCCCTTACCAGTCTTGTCCATACCCGAAAACGGAACCTGAAAACTAGTGATTGTTGTTTACAAAATCTATACCTCCTTCAGGCCCCGTTGTTCCAACAATATCTCCTCGAAGTCGAGGGTCTTGCTGGTGACCTTCGCGATCAGGTCTTCCATGCATTGCGGCTGATCGACTTGAGCGTTCCATTGGTTTGTTCGACTGATGGTTGTCGCAACAACCATCTGAAAAAATAATGTTAAGTGAGTAAATAATTTCAGCCCGGTTTACGAGTTTCCGAGCACCTTCACGCCGGCTCCAGGAAATAAAAAGCATAAGAACATAAGAGAACAGTTTTAAAAATATAGATAAGAATAAAGTAGGACGCAAAAGGCCTTCTTTACCGGTTGCCCTCAACAAAAATAACAAGATTTTAAACTTCGAAAACCAAGAATTTTAAATGCAATCTTGAAATTTTTTTCGTTCCTATTCGATTAGCTGCTCTAAAGAGAGCCGAATTGCATGCTTCGCATTGGGTAGGGCCGTCGCTAGTAGTTATTCGTGCAACAATTTGTGTAAACTTTTTTACAAACTAAAATATTTTAATCGCATTTCGAGATGGAACGAATTGAAGCTGCGATCGCAAACGCTATAAAATATCGACCGTTGAATGCCCTGATCACGGAGACGTTTGATTTGGCTCGGAAACAAGCTCAGAACGCGATCAGCCAGGGCATAAAACCGTTCCCGGTCGTCATCAAGGACTGTTTTACGTGAGCAGCAGCTTTTAGAGTTATTTATTGACTGTTTAGTGTTGAAGGCGTTCCGACGACATGTGCCTCCAAGATGCTCGAGGGTTTTATGCCGCAATATTCGGCTACAGCCGCTCAGAGGTTGATCGATTCAGGTACCTTATTTATAAAAAATGAGGGGGATTTATATTCAGGCGGCTGCCTTATCGGGAAAGGTAATATGGACGAATTTTCGATGGGTACTTCATCTTCACTTGGTCATTTTGGGCCGGTAAAGGTGGGTAATTCCTTCAGAGATCGTTAGGGCTGCCTTTTGCAGAATGGATTGTCGAAGGTCGAATCGATTGACGAGGATTGGATTGTTCCGGGTGGATCTTCGGGTGGGCCCGGTGTGGCTGTACAAATGGGGATGGCTGATTGGTAACCAGAAAAAGTTCTTTTTTAACTGAATGTTTAGTGCTTTGGGCTCGGATACCGGTGGTTCGGTGCGCAACCCGGCAGCTTTCACCGGAACCTTTGGCTTCAAGCCGACCTATGGAGTAAGTTTGACTGTTTGGAATGATGTGCGGTGTGAAACTTCACTTTAGAAGCTCTAACAAAATGTACAACCCATTTTAAAAAGTTTTTTTTTAGCGGATATCCCGCAGCGGTCTCATCCCGTTGGTAAATTCACTCGAAGCCCCTGCGATTTTTGCTCAAAGTGCATCGGATTGCGGAAAGTATTTTGGTGTGTCATATAAGCTCAAGCATTTTTTTGTCGTTTTTAGATGTAATGTCCGGAATCGATGCTTTGGACGCGACTTCCATCAACGCCCAGAAAAGAGACCAATTTGACTTCTCTGGAAAAGTTATTGGAGTCCCGAAGGTTGTCTGCAACCGCGAATTTTTTTTTTATGATTTTAGGAGTTTCACAACGAGTCGCTGTCGTTAGAATCGTGGCAACTATGGAACAGGGCGGCAAATATTCTGTCAAAATTGGGCGCAAAAGTGAAGACAGGTATGTAGGTTTTTCATTGGCGTATAGTTTTAGTCTCGTTACCGCTGACGAAGTATTCGCTGATTTGCTATCACGTGGCTTCAGGCGGAGATATTGCATCGAATATGGCTAGGTGAGGTTAGGAACTCAAAGTTAAGTTCTTTCTTCAGATACGATAGCGTGGCGTATGGTCATCGATCCTCTTCGGACAGCTCGACGTTCGAATTGTATTCATCATCAAGGACTGAGGCGCTCAATTCTACAGTAAAGAAGCGGATACATTTTGGGAATTACTTCCTGATGAAAAGGTAAGGGATAATGGTGATTTCACGAATTTTTGATTTAGAAATCGTGGTGAATATTTCGAGCGAGCCCTGAAAGTACGTCGACTAATAGCGAATGAAATCTACAAGGTTTTTGATGAGGTGAGAGTGTGGGCTGGCGCTTCTCTTTAGCGGGGCGCTGGTTTTATTTTAATAGCAGTTTTGTTTCGCTGGATTTACAAAAGAAACACATTATGAAGATTTTGATGGTTCCAAAAAAATTGGCCTTTTCCCCTTGCGTACATTTGAGCAAAAAATCAAAATTCACTTTCATGCGTTTTTATATCTTAAAAACCGTGTGGGTCCCCGCTGAACGGAAAGTAGAGCACACTGCAAATTTTTATAACGTTGTGTAATGGAATTCTTTTTAAAGTTACCTTGCAGGTGGATCTGCTGCTCACCCCGGTTGCACAAGGAGCGCCACCCCTCTTCTCCCACCTACACGCCGGCAACTTTTCCCGCGAGAGCACCGATGATTTCTATACACAATCTGTTAATATGGCTGGTTGGTGTGGCCCTCGTTTTTTTAATATAAATTCTAGGCGTTCCGGCGATCAGCATCCCGCTGGGCGAAGCTGAGGGACTGCCGTTGGCTATCCAGCTCATAGCGAACAGGAAGGAAGACGAAATGTTGTTGCAAGCAGCACAAGTCCTTTATCAAGCTCGGTAGGATTGTAATAGGTTGTTAGGGAATAAATAGGATACAGTTTGAAACAATACAATCCACCACTTAAAACAACGCTTGATTTTCACATGCAAATCATTTCCGGAAACTTGCGACTGCGCTTTGTTGGGTACTGTACTTTTAACGGGGGGAAGGGGTGAGAGGAGCTACCTAGTTTTACCCGCTTATCGAAAGTTTTAATATATTTGCCTATATTTAGTGTTTTTTATAGAATTTTACTGGGTTTTGCTTATTAAAAAGTCGTAAAAACACTTTGTAGGCTAATTTTTTTGCCAAATTATGCTTTTTCGACGAGAAATCCGAATTTTAGTGATCCTTTATGAGCTTTCTGACGTAAAAAACGTAGAAACCACGCAACTGGTGTATATTTATTTTTGGGACCCTACTAGGAGATCGACAAAAGGGGGCGTCCCACTACCCCCCTGCTAACAGTCCAGTACCCAGTTTAGTACTTTATCCATACCCTCCTCGGAAACACGTGCTGCTGTGCTGTTGTTATGGCAAGAGATGATTTGGGGCCCACAGTCAGTGGCCATGAGTTTCAATCTCAGTCCCGGGCCAAGAGCAGCCGGGGGCCCAGCCCGGGAGTGTGTATGTGTGCAAACACATGTCGCACCCAATCGGGCCATCCATCTCAGGTGGGTGGGCCCCCACCTCAAGCTCCCGCTCAGCATCCAACCAGCCAGGAGGGCCAACTGATTGCGAGGTCCTCTGCGGTTGAGCCACACCAACCAGCAAGCGCCCCATTTCGCCCAACCACTGTCACACACGCGCCAGCCGGCCCCGAAGGAGGCCTTGGTATCGCAGGCCCACATCCCTCATTTCCGGGCCCCACCACTCGAGCATCCCCGACCGCCTGCCCCGGTTTATCGTGATTTCGAAGTCACCCGCCTATCTATGTTTATCAACGCAACCGTTTGGCTTTTTTCTTTGCTTTAAAAAGATGATTATAAATTCTAGCCAAATTTAGGAATGTGGTAATCCTACTATATATAAAAAAATAGTGTATGTGTGTGTGTGTAACTTTGCATGCAACTTCCGTCAGTATGTTCCAGTAGTATCTCGATAGAGAAAGGGGTTTAGAGCATGTTTTATATGTCATTAGATGCGTAATGGTCTCGGAACCACTGCACACATGTCAAATCGCCGGAAAAGTGCTATTTTCGATATTAAAATTAGGTTTTTAGTAAAACTTTCGGTCACCCGCTTTGTTAGGAATCAATTAGCATGCGCCGGAAGTGAGAAAAGGGTATATAAAGAGACCGAGGGCGTATTTTTCATTTTTTGGCATTGCGGTTCGCGAGAATTATGCAGATTGCGAACTCTCATTGGATAAGACGGGGCCAGGGTTGAAAAGTCGCGAAGCGACTTTTCAACCCTGGTTTATCGTAATCACGCTAGCTTTATAAAGTATGTATAATTGTGTAAATTAAGTTAGGTATATGTTAATTAATGGCAAGCAGCGTTCACCCGGTATCTCTTTCCGATCATAAAATTAGTCAGATTGACGATAAATCATCGTAATTAGCAGTTTAACGTAGCAGTACCTGTTTTATAGCTAAAATCAGCTGTGTTAGCGACCAAATAATATTATTTGTTATAACTGCAAGTTTACGAACCGTGTAAAATCAGCTAGTTTTCAACCAAAAGGATACGGCGAGGTTTTTAGGCTTCGATTTAGTCTGATGCTCAGTCTTTTTGCGAAGCACCCGCTTTTGGACATACAGTCTTTAGATGCACTTCCCATCCCAAAACTCTCTTGCCAATTGCCAAATTTTTGTGTCGACATTCTACGCGCGTACGCCGATGCCAACGCGGTAAACACGTTGCTCGAAAATACCTGTTTTATCTAGACGTGGCAGCAAGCCGAGGCAAACTCGTCGGCTTCAACCTAGCGAAGATGTCCTTGAAATCCGCTTATCACCTTAGCTTTAAATTATGAATCATGAATCATCTAATGCCCTGATCACGTGTGGGCATTGCCAAATTTCCCAATTCTTACGAGTTGGGGCGGTTATAATAACCGCTTGGGGTGGCCACCGTAAGCAACAGGTGGAAGAAGCCATCGCGGGCAGCGTTGGTAGCAAGTTTTTGGGGGGCGGCGCCTCATTTTATCGGGGTTGGCCTGTGGGCTGGCGGTTCGAAATTACGGGGCATTTTCGGTTGGTTCATGCTCGCGTTGCGAATAAAAGGTACGATTTTCACTTTTCGACCTTCGGCCTCAACACGATTGTCCGATTTCGTGCAACACCGCCGATGTCAACCAAAATTATCGTTGCTTACAGAATATAGAGCCGATTTTTAGGTTTCGCCTTCGTTTGACTACAAGCTACAAAAGCTTTTTGCTGTTGTGATAGGGGGATAGTTTTTTACCACAGACAATTTTACTAATCGCTTTTAGCATCAATTACGTGTTTTTTAAAACATATTTCCAAGCGCCAAAACCATTTTGCTTCCACTGGAGTCCCCTATGCAATTTTCCGGACCCGCGGCACGCAACGCACGCGATCGCTTTATGTGGCTTAATCGATTTGTTCCGCTCACGGCCGCCAGGCGTCGCGTGTCGACGGTCTTTTAGAAGGATAAACCTTTCCGACCTCTTAAAAAAGGGATAAGTAAGGTTAAATTTGGCGGTGCCGCGACACGCCACGTACGCCTCCCTCTTGCAGTGCGTTGCGGATTACGTAGCTTGCGCGTTGCGTACATTAAACTATGCAAAATTTGTCATAAATCCATAACTTGCCTTGCCTTGCCGGCCCCTTTAAGAGTTAATGCTGGTCCCTTGTCGAAGCTATGTAGTTTCCCCGGCTCTCCAGGTGGTCGATTTGTCAGGAGAATATTGGGGGGTGGTGTGCTGGTCTTGTTTGAGGCCTTTGGGCGGCATAAGTTGTTATGAGCTGTGGAATGGGATATGGCTCCTCCTCCTCCTCCTCCTCCTCCTCCTCCTCCTCCTCCTCCTCTAGGTGGATAGGAGAGAGCGAGAGAGAGAGAGTGAGAGAGAGAGGCAGGCGGTTACCGTATCCCTTCCCATTCCTCAAAGCGTACCGCCCCCCCTCTTTTGCCTCGACCACACCGAGGAGAGTCCTCCTTTCGGGGCATCTGGTAGATTATGGCTAGCCGCTCGTGTCCGCAGGTACCGCAAGTTTAAAGGGATCGTGCCAGCTGGCTGACCAGTTCTCAAATGAACTCTTCTGGCTTGCCTCGGGACTCGTTTTTACCTTCAACCTTATAATTTTTGTTATACGATTAGTTAAAATTTCCGGTTATTGCAAAATTCCCCAATGATTCTTGCTATACTGCTCATCTTTTTATCCGGTTTTCCTCCTTGTTTCGTCCGGTTTTTCCGGTTCCGGCTAATTTAGCAATGCGGAGCTTTAACTTAGGGTTTAGCAGGCTTAGTTTTATTTAGAGTTTGAGCGCGGGCTTAAGTGCTTCGGCATAAATAGGGGCTTTTTGAGCGTAGTCTCAGATTCGGCCTGGGCTGGACTTTAAGGTTGAGACTTGGGCTTAGACTTGGCTTCGGCTTGGGTTTGGGCTTGTTTAGCTTAAGGCTGCAGTTTCTTAGGCTTGTTTTAGGCTTCGGCTAGACGCCTTTCCAAGCTTCATGAGACTTAGATAGGCTTATGCATGGCTTAGGCTTAAGCTCAGACTTAGTCTTAGGCTAAGGCTTAGGCTTAAGCGCATACTAAGCCTCGACTAAGGCTTTCCCGCGCCTATAGTAAACTGAAGTCGTTTTCCCCCCACAACTCGATGGCATCTCGTTGCCAAATCTGCCCCGTTCACCCCCCTTCCCTCACGTGAAATACAGTCCAATGGCAACGCAACGGGGCCTCTTCACTCACTTTTTCTCTCTCTCTGCTCTCCTAATTGCCCTGTTCTTTCTCTGTATCTCTCTTTCTCTCCCTCGCCTTTTAACCTCATCGACCACCCGGCTGTCAACACATTTTTGGCGCGCTTGCGGGTGAAAAAAGGGAACGTGTTAATGAGGTGGGGGAAGGGAACTAGGGGGGTTTTGTAGCTATTTTAAAGGGGTGGGTAAGGTAAGGGATTTTGCCGTGCCCGCGACACGCCACGCGTCTGTCGCTACGTCGCCGTAAAACAGTTTAATCAATTACGCAATGAAATGTGGCGTGTGCTCGTTGCGTTTCGCGACCACGGCGTAAATTCATACAGCGTCCGGGCCATTTTTGATGTTCGGAGTGCTTTTTTAATACCCATCCATATATCTGAGCAGGATTTAATGGATTTTTACGGTGATTTTTTACCAATGTTCAGCCAGATTTTCGCTGTTTTTGTCGATTTCTAAGCTTTATACTAAAGTTCTCGGTCCCTCTCTCTCTATCTCGCAATCTCTCTCACTCTCTCGCTCTCTCTCTCACTATATTTCGTTTCAGGAATGTCGATCACGGCGGCCCTCCAAATGGTGCGCGACCACCTCCAAAAAGCGCCGTCGATCAAATTCCACCGGGCCCAACCCCATATCCTCACCTCAGAGCTGCCCGAGCATTGGCGGAGTCCGTTTTCATCAAATTATAAATGCTACACGAGGCTCCTATTGACTGCAAAAATGATGTAGTTCTTCTCACGGGTTTTATTTATTTTACGAAAAAATTATTCTGTAATTTTTACTGCTTTTTGACGTCGTAAAACTTTTTACGGCTTATTTTTGGATCTTTAACGCCCTTTGTAACTCGCCCTTTTCAGGCAACAAATCACTACAAATCCCGTTCACCGTCCTTTCGTTAATGCCCGTACCCGATGGCACAAAGGTAATATTTTCACATTTTTTTTTCTTTTCCTGCTTGATTCATGAAGCCTGTTTTCTGTTCGTTTCTGGCAGAATACCCCATTGAGCGAGCAAAGACACCCCAGGGATTTCCGAGGTTTTATGGGGGCCCGATTTAAGCTAAAATTTCGTGGTTTTGACTGCGGGGGCTGATAAGGAGGGCGCGTGAGGGGGAGGAGGGCACGTTTGCAAATTATGTGCCTTTCTGATGGGCCGGTGGTTTTACGCTAAAATGGAGGGGGTACGACGTGACGTTTGGTCTGCTATATGGGGGCAATAATACAAAGTTTCAGCTGAAGAAAATAGGGGTCAACAGGTGGGGAATTTTGGGGGGTCAACTAGCGGAGATCTTTGTGGAGGCGAGGGCAAATTAGCAGAGATTCTGTCTCTAACAAACCAGATGGTTACAGTCGCTTCGCGACTGCAACCATCTGGCCTTCGGGCTATGTCCAACTCCACAACATCCTTTACCACCTCCATCAATACTCCCGATAGCCGGAATCCCCTTCAAAAACTACCTAAATACCTTCCCGATGGCTTAAGATACCTCCCCTAGCCGAAATCCCCTTCAAAAACTACCTAAATACCTTCCCGATGGCTTAAGATACCTCCCCTAGCCGAAATCCCCTTCAAAAACTACCTAAATACCTTCCCGATGGCTTAAGATACCTCCCCTAGCCGGAATCCCCTTCAAAAACTACCTAAATACCTTCCCGATGGCTTAAGATACCTCCCCTAGCCGAAATCCCCTTCAAAAACTACCTAAATACCTTCCTGATGGCTTAAGATACCTCCCCTAGCCGAAATCCTTTTAAAAAACGAAAATAACGACCGACCGAATGGAATGAGAGAAAAAAAGAAATGAAATCCCCCGTGAAAATTTTCATCGACGAAACGCGCGCCACCTGGCTCACTATGTCCAAAATCACCCCAACCTCCGTCCCCCACCCCTTTTACTAAGGAAAAAACTTTCAAAGTTAATTTTAATAATTTAAATTAAAACTTTTTCATAATTTTTTTATCAGTTTGGGGGTTTCTGACCACGCTCTATCCGAATCCGAAGAGACCTAAGCTCTAGCTCCTTCCCCCTTCGAGTTGAATTCGGGACATGACGGACAGACACCACAGCAAAATTATTATAGTAGATGGTCGAGATTTGGGGCAATCCAGCGGAAATTCTTGCGGATAGTAATCAAATAGTAGCCCAAACTCTGGGCAAACCAGCAGAGATCTTTTGAATGCAAGGGTAAGCTAGCAGAGATTCTGGCCGATTTTAATTGAATTCAATGAATGTCTCGAAGTTCCGGGCAAGCAAGCAAAGAACGTTGGGGAAATTCTTCAAAATTAGCCAAATTTCCCTTTTGCTGAAATAAAAGGCAAAGGCAAGTTAGCCGAGATCCCTTATTAACTATTCATAAGACTAGAATTCCACAAAAATGAATGCATCACAGCGGCCCGGCGCCTAATAAAACGTCCGGTAGAATTGGAAATCAAGAAAGACCGCAACGCGTGCGATAGACGCGTCGCGCCATTGCGAAAGCAAGCCTGCCCAGCTAAAATCATGCTGCTATTTCGCGCCCCAGGCAAAAACCCGTACAGTACGCCTTTTCCCGGGAGCCATCGGGACCGAACCCATGGGCGGTTGTGGCATGCTAACAGAGATTCGTTGCCAATAATTACGTTATTATTCTCTCAATTTTCAGATAACCGTCCATGCCGGAAATGAAGAAGCCCCGTGCGGCGAGATCCGAAACGCTCAGTCCGAGTTTAAGCGTCAGTGCGCAAAATTTAGCGATCTTCGCTTCGTCGGGAAAAGTGGTAGAGGTGGGCCTAGAATTCGATACTTTAAAGCGATAGTGCCGCGAGGAAAACGTATTTTTTGTCAAAATCTTACATTACCTCGTCTCATTAATTTTTTGTCAATACCTGCAATCTGTGTTCTCTCTCTCTCTCCCTCTCTCTCTCACTCTCTCTTTCGCATCGTGGATGGATGTTAATTGGTGGGATGGGGTGGTTGTGGAGCATCTCATGGTGCTCCCCTGGCTAGGGTATCGACACCACGATCTGCATGTCATCTTATAGAATGGAATGGTGGGGGCGAGAGAGTGGGCAGAATCGAGAGACGCAGACATGTCGAAGATCTGGCCGTGCCCTCAGGTTATGGGGGTGGATTCTATCGGCCGCCGACATCTTTCGGCATCGCGGCTCACATTTATGGATATGCGGACATGCGCGGAATTCAGAGCATTAAAGGGACGGGCAGGGGGTTGGTTAGGGGTTTTATTCCCCGGGATTTATTGTAGGCTTTGCCGCGCTGGCGACACGCAATGCGTCCCAATTTCCATTGCGTAATCGGTTACGGTATTTTTTACGGAACGGAGAAGTAGCGGGTACGTTTCGTGTCGCGCTGGAACACCAGGCCGTTTTAGCGGGCCCAATTTTTGGAGCCCCTAAAGAAACCCTGCTAGCTGCCCGGTGAAGCGGGCACCTGTCGCCCTCAACCAAATCGAGCCGCAAAAAAATTTATGCCGCGTTTTTTCGGGTGGTGGACGGCTCATTAAAAAGTGGAGGGAGGAGGAGGACAAGCAGAGCAATAAAGACCCGGGGCTTGATCGGGGGCATCCGCATCGGCAAAAAAAGTTCGACAAGTCGTTGAAAACTCGAACACGGCCAAATCTATTTGCTAGTTTTGTCCGCGCCGCGATACGCAAAGCGATCTCCCGGACTTTAACGGCGTAACGGAACAAATTTAACCAAATTTTGTGCGTGTTCGTTTCACGAGAAGTTCAACTCCATAGATAATTCACAGCCAGAAAATTCCTGAATAACCTGAATAACCAGATTTATAACCATTTAAAAAGTACGATTTTTTGCTAATCAATCCAATCAATTAATTTTCACCTTTCTGCTTTTCCCGCACTACCGTACCACTCCCGCCCTCCCTCCCTCCCTTTGACCCAACCCACAAACAAAGCTCTGCGGCTCGGCGGCTGCACTTTGGCCCTGCCCACCCCCTAAAGACAAAAAAGGAAAACGACGGTGCACACGATTTGGCGCCTTTCTTGAGGGTGGAAAATGGGTGGTGGCTGGTCGATGCCGCCGGTTGAAAAGGGAGAAAAAGCCCGGTAGAAGAAGAAGAAGAGTTGTGTAGATAGGAATCTTCCCCCCCCCCCCCCCCTTCCGCTGCTGCTGCCAACCGCCTTACCGCGGCCCTTTCCCTCAAATGGCACGGCAGACGCGAGGAGGGGAAGGAGGGAAAAACAGGAAGCGATCGGGGGGCTCATCTAACCTCTACATCTACAAATGACTGAGGGATAGGGGGGAAAGTCGGTAGTTTGCGGCATTCGAAAGTTGACGGTGGGGGGAATTTGGCGGTGGACGCGGTGCCGTATACATAGGCCAGCGGGGGAGCCTTTATGTCTCAAATTTTTCACAACAGTGAGATTTCCCAAGTGCTATCCGGTAGAGTGTCAAAAGGTATACTAAGAGAATTATTTTCAGCCCGAAAAACAATCTAATTTTAAAGTTTTCAACCCAAAAAAATTGTGAATTCCGGCTATGAAGCATGGATTTTTAGCTCTTTCACGACGGTTTAGCGCGTAGCGGTCGCGTTGCGGCCCGTGCCGCCGCAACGCGATGTTGAGACGCTTGATTTTGCGTGTGAAAACTACTTTCCAAAACCCGCTTTCCAGGCCGCCAATTCGACCTGACCCTCGTCATCCACACCGACCCGCTGCAGATCGCCATGGTGGGCAGGGCGATAAAGGTTGGTTTTTGATGCAAAAACACTAGCTAATTAAATTATTATTCTAAAAACTAATTTTAAATACTGTTTGGCTAGGGAGACCTAAAAATAAAAATAAAAACCGGGTGGCGCAGGTGACCGTCGACGGGCCGCGAGATCCGAGGCCAAAACCCGGCGAACGATCCCCACTTCTCAGGTCTGCTAATTGACGGAATTAGCATGGGAATGTACTCACTTTTGCACTAACACCTCACTCGCATGCACTTAATAAAACGTATTGTAATGCTACAAAATTGTGCTAACATACAAAAAAAATCGGCACATTTAAACGGACTGGGAAGTGAAAACAGCTAACATTTACCCAAAATTTATGTAAATCAGGAAAACCTACAGGTTTTGTTGACTTACCAGTCCCCTTAAAGCCATGGCCGATAACCCAACCCGTAGGTGACATGCGATGGCCCGAGGCCCGGCCGTCCATCTGCCAATACCAGAAGAAGTGGCGAAAGCCATCGTATCCCAAACCAACGCCGACGCCGCCCCGCGCCCTACCCACCGCGACGCGCACGCGACGCCTCATCGGACACGTCGAGCGAAGCCTCCTTCATCGATCAGCCGCCCAGCCCACCAACGTAACGCTCTTCACGCTTATAGCTTCGAAAACAATCAATTATTAAGCTAACTTCACAACAGTACTAATGACGTTTTTGCTAATTGGAAATTTTTGACTAACAAACACTGTAACCCGACAAAATCTCGAAAAAATAGATATATTTTCAGAAGATCCCCATGGGACACCCCACCCGGATATTTGAGCCCCTACGCGACGATCCCGTTTGCGTCCCCACAAACGGCAGGCCATCCAATGCCGCTACCGATTCCTCATATTCTCCCTCAGCTTTACCATCTACAACTTCAGGTAATTTTAATGCCTTTAAAACTGACATTTAACAAACACCAACCTTCCTGAAATTCCCTGGTTCCTCAATATCCTTTGCCAGCTTGCCCACGCCTTCGAATTTTCTAGTTTTTCCTAAAAATACCTTTGAAATGGACTTTTAACAATCACTAACCTTCTTCAATCTTTGTTTTCCCAATGAACCTTGCTAGCTTGCCCCCTATCGTTCTTCGGGGATCTCTGCTGGCCCGCCACACCCTCAAAATATTAGCTTTCCTAAAGATTTTTGAAAGTTTTTATGGAATCTATTATCTTTTTTTATGCCTTCTGTTTCTTAAAGATCCTCCACTAGTTCTCCTCCCTGCATGCCGCATGTTGCACAAACTCACCTTTTCAGTATAACCAGCACGTCATCGAGCAGTTCATCCACGACCACGGCCTCGAGCTCGCCGATATAGGTTGTTGCATGAGCTTTTTCACCCTGAAATTCCTAATTTAAATCCTAAAGCCAAAGTATAACTAAGAAAAATATAATATGACAAATAACACATTTTCAGGCACTATTCTCGCCACGCTCGACGCCTTTCCTGTCGCCCTCTTCCCTCCCCCCATCGCCATTTATTCACCGACAACCCCTTCCTCCATCTATACCCCATCCGCCATCGAGTCCTTTCCCAAAAGCTTCAGGTATCGTTGTAACTAAAGTCCCGATTTTTTTTAATATTTTGGTAAGACTCCAGATACCCCCCCCCGCCCAGCCGGCACCCAACTTTTGTATCTCGGCTCCCTGTTCATCTACATGTGTGTAAAGTATACCAAAATGTTCGTCTTGCTGTGGCGAGTATTTTGGTATACTTTACACACCTGTAGATGAATAGGGAGCCGAGATACGGTAGGTGGTGGTCGGCTGGGGGGGCGGGGTAAACGGAGTTTAGCCAATATTTTTTTAGATTTCCTATTAATACATACATATTTTTTTCAGCGATCCCTGAACTCTCAATAACTCCCACCAGCTCGCGCAAGCGGAAATGTGAGCCGGAAGCTGAGGAGGGCGAATCAAAACCGATCCCCCAAAGAAAAAGCGACGTCTGGAGGCCGTTCGAGGCGTCCAGATGACACCCATTTAATACTACAGCAAATTACAACCCTCTACCTCCACCCACTAACAGACCAAAAAGCAGTTACCCCTATTTATTTTCAGATCACCCCATCTAGTCATTGTGCTCAATGAGATTCTACGATCTTCCGCATTTCCCCCTTCCCCCACCGAACACGGGTCGCACCGGCTTTTCACGTGCTGTATTTCTGCCTTTATTATCATGTTTAAATGATATCGGGTTTATTATTGTACTCATTTTTGGGATAAATTAGTGATGTGATGTTCGCTTCCGCCTGGCATATCGTTGGGATTTTCTTCGGTCGACGAAATCCTGGAGAAAAAAAATTGCGAAAAAGAAGAAGATACGAACCTCTGGCGGTGGGGCTAATGGTTCTCCAACATCAATAAATTCTTCGGGCGGCTCCTCGTGGATACTCTAGAAATCTTGTATGACAAATTAAAAATAATTATTACCAATTTCTTGGCTGGGCTCCGGATCGGCTCGACGACGACGGAGAGTAGATTGTCAGCCTTTCGACGTGGTACTCCTTTCCTGAAAGAATCACTTATACAAACTTTAAATTTTTGAAACCAACGCGTTTCGCGTTTTCACGGGCATCTTTAATACATCCGGCTTCTTTCGCACATTCTGGCCTATCGAATGACCGCCCGGTTCTCGATATTTTCTCGAGATTTGCTGCACTTTCTAAAAGAATTAAAAGTCAAGGTTTATAGAATAAAATACATACAAAATACGTCTCTCCCGCCCCAGCCTCCAGTTCTTCGTGGTAGCAGCAAGAACCAGTGCGCCCGCAGCAGCTCCGCGACATTCCCTTCGCACACAGTTCACTCCTAAAAAAACATTTTTTAAATGTAAGTTTTCTCCTACCGTACCAACGTACATGGTGGCTCTTCGGAACTTCCGGCCTTACACGAACAGAGCAGTGTTTGTAGCATTTGGCGGCGATCTGAAACAGAAGCATGAAAAAGCCGAAAATTTCCTTACTCTCATCACGTGCCAGGAGAAGCTCAATCGAGCTGGGGGCCAAGTCAAACGCGGACACGTACATTGCCTCACAATCTAAGCAAAAATTCTTTAACTTGAATGGTTGAAAAACTCTACTCTGCAACAGTAAAGGTATACAATTAGCTAGCTAAGCTCGGAAATTCAATCCCACTTCGGTCTGGCCAATGATTTTCACGATCCCTCGAATAATAGATGTGGTAAGGAAAGGACGGTCTTCTCCAGTCGACGTCTCCTAAAAACATAAAAACCTCAGCAAAGCCAAAATTAACTTACCAACCAAACCCAACACAACATTTTCCGGCTGTATCTCCTCCTTCCGCGAATCTTTCAACGTAGAGTCAAAATTTCGCATCTAAGTCTTGAATTAGAAGGCCAAAAAAGGAAAAAAACTTACGTAGACCTTATCCCCAGTCTGGAAAACGATGGTGGGCGGTGCGTGGGCTGGGGGCAGCCAAGCCGGCGCCACTGATTCTTCTTCGTCCACAGGAAAAGCGGTCCGACCAAACATCAACTGTAGAGAGATAAGGTATAAAATAGATATCGAAAACAGTTCAAATAAAGAAAACTCCAGTAAAATGAGAGCGGTATTAAACAAACCTCAAATGGAACGGTCTCTCCACCCCTCGACGTCTGGTTCAACTGCATGCAAGCGAAAGGGATCAGCTCGGCCCAGCGATCACTAAAAACACAATTTTTTTCTTTTAGTTCTCAAACCGATTATTCAATTCATTGGCCGCCATGTCGTATAGTGTCCGTCGGAACGTCAAATAATCGGGGGTCTAAAATTGAAGTGGAATAGATAACCGTCAATTACCTGGTTGCCGATCTCCACAATTTGAGTCTTAAAAATATAGCTCATCACCCGCATCGCGTCTCGCACCAGCTCAAAATTCATTGAAGATGAGAAGCCCTCTAAAAATATAAAAATACAACGAAAACCCGATTGACCAGGCACTCCAAATTGCGAAAAAATGTCGACAAAATGGCGGACGATGAGGTTCCTGTCGAAGAAGTCTTGGAGTGGGCGAGCCCAGATGTATTCTAAAACCAAGAGTGCGTCAGAAGCTTAGTTTTTTACTCGTTCTCAAATCCGTGATCAGCAGCACATGCGTATAGCGCGTCATTCCATACAGCGAGACGCTCATCTCAACAATGTCTATCTGAAATTAGAAAAAAACTTTCTAAAAATTCTCTGCCAAACTCACCTGTAAAAATTGCATCGGCTGCTCTCCCAAATAGTTCGGCCGATGCGGCAAGCGAAAATCGGCGGTCACGGAGGTGTTCTGAAAATTATTAACTTAATTCGAAAAATATAACTTTCAAGATACCTGATCGTTTTCTGCGCCCCTGTCTGAAGCCCCATGGCCCACATGCATCATTTGGTAGATTACATCGATGCTGCTAAACACAAAATATATTCTTACAAGCTCCTGATCATTTACCCGTCCTTTTCGAGGGTATACGAAATGTGGGCCGGGCAACAGGCACCCTGTTTGGACATGTGATGCCCGTTTTCGAGTTGCTTTGCCCTGAAACATGTTTTTTAAAATTTTTTTAATACGAAGATCTAAGTGGAACTGAAACGAAGCCCAAAATGGCCTCACCTAATCTTCCTGGGTGCCGTCCCGTTCTTGTGTTCACTCCTCGCACAGTGCATAACCTAAAAATCACATAATTTTAAAACGAACAATCACCTGACGTCTGGATTCCCGCTGCTTGTTGTGCAGCACAAATTTCGAGCCAGTGGCGCCCTCGAGTAGCTGGCGCCATTGCTGGAAAAGTCATGAGTAATGAACGGCATGCGCAAACTATACCTCAAATCGTTGCATATCAGGAAACGTGCGATGGTGGGTCTCGATCGGAAGGTCGTGCTCGTCTTTCAAGTGATTCTTCAGCGACTGCAGGGAAGCATGGGCGGTGCTGCATTCAACGAGCGGGCATGGAAGACTGTGCTAAAACATTTCCTTTTCAAGTCCTCAATTTCAACCGACTGCAAATGTGCCATGTGATTTGTAGCGGTGATGCTGGAATTGTTGTCTGGTCGCAAAACTGTTGTGCTGCCCGGCTTGAAGGCATATCCGGCAAACCAGCGCATTTGTGCCTGCTTCCACCAGGGGTTGATAGAGCTATAAAAATTTGCCTTCCACCTTCAAATACTAACCTCATACACTTGCATATAACTCCGCGAGGTATCGTACGAAACCGGGTCGTACTGATAGATCGTATTTTCATCGCCATCCTCTTCATCCTAAAACAGAAGTCGTTGCCTCGTAACGTCTCCAACCTCCTCAGTAACATAAATATGATCATTCATCAGAATCAGCTCGTTGTCGCCCTCGTAATAAACTTTATTTGTCCCCTAAACAGCAAAATATGACGGTTCTAACTCTTACGGCAGTTTCCTCTTCTTGCAATGTCCGGCTAGTTGATGGCTGGTCCATTGTGGTAATTTCTGCTGGTTTTTTTTTTGTTTTCAGCGCTTTTTTAGCGATTTGGTCTGTGTTAGCGTTTGAAATTACATATGGTGAGCGTTCTCGGGCTGCCCCGCCATCCAAATGACAGGTCTTTTGCTGGCTAACCGAGCAGAGGACCCCTTCGTTTTCATGTCACATCGTCGAATTGTGGCGTAATATGGCGAAAATGCTTTGAAAAGATGGATCTATCTTGTTTTTCGAATATTTAATTTTTCTAAACCGTCATAAGCTGTTATAGTTTGACATTTTTAAAAATTCGGACTTTTGGAATTTGGTTCCGTGATACACCTGTGTACAAAATTACGTCAGGAAACGGGCGGGTTTCTAACCCTCGGACGTAACGAGTCACGAACGCGTCACACCACTTTACACCGCGTAATTTATCTTACAAACCCAGTTATTTGCGACAAATAATCTTGTAAAGGTTATTCTAACGCTAGAAACAAAAGAGATATAGTTGTAAAACAGATTTGGACGTGAAAGGGGCATAACTCTGCCTGTTTCGAGCAGATTGACAGTTTCGCTGGTTCTTTGCACAGCAGTACGAATAAGAAAGCCTGATCTAACACGAAGAAGCTTCGGTACAAGGATGGTTGGGGGGGGCCACTTTTTTTTGTCGGTTTCAGAGTCGTTTTTTGTGCTGGGTTCGAATTTCACAAAATCAGGTTCGAATAACGCTGTTTTCCACCGTAAAATGGCTTAACCTGTTTAACAAGGGTTTATCGCAACAACAAGGATATAACAAGATAATAGACTAGTAACAAGTGTGGTGGCACTAGCTTATGATTCGCAAGGGTAGAGATCGTGGACTTGTTACCAGAAATCGTAGAAAGGGTCGGTGGAAAATTCCTGGCGCCATAGAAATAGTATAGTATAGGCTTAGTCTAGGCCTAGCTTAAGCTTGGCCCAGCCCTAGCTCAGGCCTGTTCTAGACTTAGCTTAGGATTGGGCCTAAGCCTAGGCTTGGCTTAGGTTATGCTTAGGCTGGGCTTGGCTTGGTTAGCTTAGACTTGGAGAAAAGCTTAGGTCGAAAAAAAACCCCCAAAAAAAAGATGCCCCCCCAACATTAATAGCTCCGGTTGTATTTTAGGAAAGTGGATATCGCGGCTGATACCGCCGTTTTACGGTGGAAAACGGCGTTATTCGAACCTAATTTTGTGAAATTCGAACTCAGTACAAAAAACTGCTCTGAAACCGACAAACAAAAGTGGCCCCCCCCCCAACCATCCTAGTACCATGTTCGCAATTCAAGAATCTTTTCTGAATTACCCAAATCACACATTATAACTGAGAGCCGTAGGCTAAGATGGCCCGAACTTGAAGGAGCAATGGTAGCGGTAAAAAGCAAAACCAAACAAGCGCTTTACAATGCCCATATCATCACCAGCCTTTCACGCATGCTCGAACGTTACATCATTAGGTTTCATCCTCAATGTCTAAATTATCTCGACGAAGCTCGGCTGGTTTTTTAGAGGTTCAATCAGCAAAGTGCCTGGCCTTGCGTAACACTGATTTATAACGGCAGTGATAAAGTGAACTCGTGATTGAATAGGGATTCTTACTAGTTAGTCGTGTGTGATGAACCAGCAAAACTGTCAATCTTCTCGAAACAGGCAGAGTTATGCCCCTTTCACGTCCAAATCTGTTTTACAACTATATCTCTTTTGTTTCTAGCGTTAGAATAACCTTTACAAGATTATTTGTCGCAAATAACTGGGTTTGTGAAATCAATTACGCGGTGTAAAGTGGTGTGACGCGTTCGTGACTCGTTACGTCCGAGGGCTAGAAACCCGCCCGTCGTCAGGAATTGCTTTGGACTTTCGCTGCGAATTTTGGAAAAGCTTTACACAGAGGGAAATCCACCGGGTTTTCGCCGCCCGGCCGCCGCGATTTGGCTTTCGCCGCCCGGCGGCCGGGACTTCGCCGCTGTTTCGCCGGGACGTGTCGGCGAAAGAGCGGCGAAGACCCGGCGCCCGCGCGGCGAGAGCCAGATCGCGGCGGCCGCGACTTGGCCGGCTGGCCGCCGCTACTTCGCCGCGATTTCGCCGCCGTCGATAGGAAAGCCACGGATAATTAGCTCAAACGCGCATTACTTTTTGAATTTCACAATTTCCCCCAAATTACTTAGTTTTCTTTCCAAGTTTCTCAATTTACTTGTAATAATTTGTATTTTATCAATTGCTCTAGGAACGAACTAGTTTTATACGAAAATTACGACAATTCTCAAGGATTATGACGAATTTGGCCTCAAGTCACTGAGGTTGAAGATAAAGCTAGAAAAACTTTCGAAATCTTTTAGAATGCTGATGGCAGGTAAGAGTTAATTAGTTTTTTAGCAAAGAGGGTTTATGTGGCAACAGAGAACTAGCATAGGTAAGTTTTTGAGTTCCTGGCAGATAATTATCGGTAAGTTTTTATCGTTTTGTTTATTTAGCCGTTAGGAAAGTGTCATATGATCCTCCGGTAAGGGGTTTGATTGTCGTTTTAGGCTCTCTACACACAAAATTGTTCGTTTTTGCAAAAACTGCCACTTTCCATGTGGTTCGTTTCAATTGTGCAATTGGTTTGATGAAAATTCCATTGTTTGAGAGGAAATCGAAATTTTTGCAGATTTTAGTGACCAAAATAAGCTGAGACTGTGTAGCATAACATTTCCTTTATCGTTGGTAGTTATATGAGATTGTCCTAGCCGACGGAATAGACAAGCTGTAAGTTTAGACAAGTTTCGGAGTTGTTGAGGGCGAGTTGTGTGCGTGTGTGATGTTTTTGAATTCTAATAACCATCGGTCAGGTTATAATGATTAGCCCGCACACGCACTGCCTGTAAGTTCGATACAACAACTCGCATGGATAGATTCAGCGGCTATTATAATAACAAAATAAACTTTCAGGTGGCTGTTATTCCATGAGCTGATGATGACGGCGTCCGCCGACTCGGTGAGAAATGGTGAGTCCGGGTAAGTGAAGTAAGATATTAATAGTGAAACAAAATTCAAAGCTCTTTGGAAGCATAAATTTCTGGCAAGAGGTGTGCAGCCCATTAAAAATTAAATACTTTAAGCTAGAAATCAAAACAGTAACCAAAATAAACGATATTTCAGGCTACGCGGCCTTCTTCACCAGTTCCAGCTTGATATGGATCAAGAACCTTAGGAAGAAACCACGGAATACTACTCGAAATAGAATATTAACAATATAAACCGTTAATAATCAATAAGGCGGCGATAGCGGCGAAATCCCGGCGAAGTAGCGGCCAGCATTTCGCCGCCCGGCCGCCGCCATTTCGCCGCCCGGCCGCCGCCCGGCGGCCGCCGGCGGCCGCCTGGACGCCGCCTGGCCGCCGCCCGGCCGCCGCCGGCCGCCGGGCGGCGGCCTGGCGGCGAAATGCCGGCGAAGTACCGGCGGCCGGGCGGCGGAAACCCGGGAACTTCCCCTCTGTGTATATTTTTATGTATTTTTAGCTTTGTAAAAAGATTAGGATTATTCAAAAAGGTTGAGTTTCTATTTTTTTGTATAGTTTGCTTTGATACGAGCCTTTATCTTTTCTCCCTTTTCCCATCATTCCTTTTCTTTTTCCTTCCAAACATCGATATTCCATTTCAGACGATGACTGCCCCAACAGAACGTTTTCACGTGTTGGCCCAACTCGAGCATCTCCAGTCAAAGTTCACCGGATGCGGTCATTCAGACACGACGCGATGGGAATTCATGACAAACGCCCACCGAGACACCAACGCTTCACTGATCGCACACCCGGGTCTTCTCTCCTACGCATCTGTCATCGAAAATGAGTCGCGAGCCCGGACGAAATTCAACCTCATCCAACGAATGATCCAACCGTGTGGCCCGCCTCCAGAGAAAAACCCGCTCGACGAGGATTAATACATTTCCCAAGCCGGCGATTGCTATCTATCGTCTCAATCACATCTTTTATATCCTATTTCATCCTCTTCTGATTAGTTCTCATTTTACTTCATTACGTTTTCACTGGTGTCCTTTTCAACGGCTGATAAATCCAAATAAACGATCTCATTTTAGGGTACAACATGAGGCTGGAAAAGTGCTACTTTTGCTCCTCCACGGTCTGGCCTGGCCACGGGATGATGTTTGTCAGAAATGATTCCAGCGTAAGTGCGGCCGACTGTTTCCGTTTATTTCTATTTAGGTCTTCCGATTTTGCCGATCAAAATGCCGACGACTGTTTGAGAAGAAGCGCAACCCGAGGAAGGTTGCCTGGACGAAGGCCAGCAGGTATCAGAATTTTTCATGATTTGGGAATGTTTTTATTTTAGACGTGCTCGAGGGAAGGAGCTGGTTAACGATACAACGCAGGAAATGGAGGTATGTTTCAAAAATTTTAGTTTAGTGTTATTTTTTTCTAGTCCCGTCGCAATGAGCCAGTCAAGTATGAGCGTGAACTTTGGCAGAAGGTCATCGAGGCTGGAAAGACGGTGGCCGAATTGAAAACTAAAAGGTTTGTTGTTGAATTTTTTTTGGCAGTAATGGATTACAATTTTCATCGTCACGATCCTTTTAAATTCCACATTTTCAGGTATGCCAACAAGATCCGGAAGAACCAGCAACCGGGCAAGATCGTGAACAAGAAGGGAATGATCAAGAAGGCTCGCACCAAGCTCCACCTCATCGAAGCCCCGCTGGCCACGGCGAGGAAGGCGAAGCAGGCCCAAGAGCACAAGCAGGAAGAGATGGAACTCAACTAAGCCCATCGACCCCTGGCGCTTCGATTACGAGTACATCATTTCCATTCTCCCTTTTCTCCCGTCTGGCCCGTTGCTCTCCCCTCGTTACATCGTTATTTGTTATCCATCTTTTGAAAGATTTTCTGAGTTGTTGTGCGCTGAAGTTCAATACAGCTAATTCGCTAGGCGTTGTTGAGATGAAAATGCAGGGCAAGAAAAAGCACCGGAAACAATATCCCCCGCGGTCGACGCGTGTGCATTTTGCGGAAAGGGGCCCGCGCGAAGGGAGCGGGGAGGTGGTGGGTGAGGACTGTGGACAGTTGACAAAGCCTTTGGGCTACGGGCGGGGCTTCCGCACGCACAGCGCATCTATCCATCTCTGCGCGTCGGCCCTCTCTCGTCGGGTGCGGCGCGCCCGCGCGAATCTTCAGCCCCGCGTCGTCTTCCCCGCACCATTGATGGGCGCGTGCGTGGGCAAGGAGCGCGTCTCCAGCGCTGCCGCTTTGCCCGAGAAGTTGCCTGTGGCATTGCAGGGACCACAGCGCCCATTGTCAGCTCTACCTGTACCAGCGCTAAGGTAACATTTTACCATTTCTTCTTTATCGTGTTCAGAAACCCGAACCCCAGCCCTCCACCGTCACCTCAACCAGCACACATTGCCCTCTTCGACTATGAAGCCAGAACAGATGATGATTTGAGTTTCAGGAAGGGAGAGGTAAAAAAGTTTTTAAAGTGTCAACAAGTGTTCAGCTGCTCGATGTCGTCGACCGAACTCAAGGAGAGTGGTGGTTTGCACGATCGCGAGCCACCGGGCGGACGGGCTATATTCCGTCGAATTATTTGGCGCAGGAGAAGAGTCTCGACGCTCAGCCGTGAGTTTTCGCTTGGTTTCTATTTATTATCTAGACGATGCTATTATGCCTGCAAATTCCTACAAAGTTCTAAAAACAATTCCTACACTTTTCCCTTCTGAAATTCTGGTATTATCTTTTTTGTTAATTAGATCATCGTTTTATCCTTTTTTTTTCTATTCATAGTCGGGGTTCCAGTTCATTAATTCTCACTTCTCATCCCCTAATATTGTTGCCAGCCGGGTGCTAGTGTCCGTGTCTTTTCCGTAGCCAAATTGCCCTCAATACCTCGTTCTCCTCTCCCCCCAACCGGAGGATGACCTCGGCCTCACCTTTTTGACGACCCTTATTGATGGAGGAGGATCGGGGCTGGGAGGGGATTGAGCCCCCCCAAGTGTTGCTTCTTGAACAAGTAGGTTAATGGTGCTATCGCCGAGGGGTGATGATGGGATTATCTAATTTACGATCAGTCACAAGGTGTTTTATTACACTTTGAGCTTCGGAATTAACTTTGCTGCTTGGAGGCTTCAATTTTTGAGCTTGGCTGGTCTTAACTTCGGAAAATGTCATTCAGTCGTACTTCTTTTGTTATAAAACACGTGATTTTGTCTATTTCTTTTCAAAAGAATGGTCTATTCAACCGGTTTTGTAAATTAAAACCAAGACAATTAGTATGATGACATTTTTTAGCGGGTAGGTTAGGCGGTACGTATCGAAAGGCCCTGATCTAAAATTTCCCAACAATGTTTGCGACGTGGCCCTAACTATAAGGTTGTGCGATACCCTTTTAAACCTGCGATCCTTTGCACCCCACACGTGATTGGATCAACCGGAGCGTTCCGTTGGTTGGCTGGGGGTGTGGGGTCCCAGGTGTATGTGTGTGGGTCTCTTCTGTGACTGTGGTGGACCGGTCCCCTTCTGGACAGGCGGATGCGGACGGGCCTTTTCGAGTCGATCAATCGTTCCTTTCCCCCCTCGCTAATGTTTGCCTCGACAGCGATACGGCTCGGCCCTTCCCCTCCTATCGTCTCGTCACCTCTTATTCTAACCAGTGAGAGGTGGCGGGGGTGATCTACGGAATTTGATTAGTTGGGGCAGGCTAGCGGGGATCATCTGGGAAAGGAAATCTGAGGCTGTTGCGGACTGAGCAGAGTACGATGGGCAATTTTTGGAATAGATACCTCACGTGAGGTAAATATTCCAAACCAGCATCTGCACCACTTCCGACTACAATATCGCAAACCAGATACCTACTTTACGGGCTTTTTCTAAAATATAAAAATCAAATCCAAATTATTTTTCTTAAAATCAGGCCCACCTGAAAATTCTATCTTGCCACCGAGATCGCAAAAAAGCTTAAAGGAGTGATTGCCGAGTAGGCGAGACAAATTTAACGCTTAGAAAACTGAGAAGAAAAGATTTTTAGGAAAAAGAAAGGAAAATTAACCTGGACCTCTCGGGCTGAAAGCAGGCTAACGGGGACTCTTGCAGAAAGTTCAAGCCATAATATATTTTACCTAGATCTTGGGCATGTTAGCAATTCTTCAACGTCTCCTTGGCAATGCTTCGGAAACAACGCGTTATTTTTTTACACGTTTTTCCCTTTTTTTTCCAGGCCAGGTCAACGATCCTTCTGGAATTTCATCTATCCTAGCCATCCTACACAATTTTTGCAGTAACCTAAGCAAAAACACTTTTATGCGGCCCTCGCCCATTTGCCCATGTCCGATCCATCCGGCTAGGGGCCCGGCTAAGGAGCTGGGTCAACACCCCCGGGAAATATGGTACACAAAACGTGCAGCGTCTCTGCTTGCCCGCCCTCCTCAGCCAACGAGGATAATAATATTTGGTAGCTTCCCTAAATTACGCCCTCAACCTTGGCGCGGCCGCAAAAGCCGGTATCTGGGTGGCATTCGATGCGTTCCACGCGCCTCAATACCATTGACTTTTTCGGAGTGGGGTTCGAGGGAAAGTGGGTGGATGAGGGCTCAGCCAGGGTGGGCGCCAAAAAATGCGCCGATTTCACCCGTCGATTAAGGTGGGGGGCAGGATGGTCTCTAAATGGGGGGATGAGGAGGAGGAGAAAGCCGGCTGGAGTTGCTGCGGGGGAATCGCGGTCGGATCAAAGACTGGCACCGAAAGGGCACAGGGGTGAAAAATTCAAATATTGAGGGGAGAGTTAGGTTGGGAAAAGGTCTAGCACGTTTTGGACGGATAAATAGCTTCTCCCTCGATTTTCTTTGCTTTTTTTCGAGTAGAGTTTTTATTTCTAGACTTATAGACCAGGGCTGCTTTTTTTCTCTACTCTATTTTTCTAACTTGTATATTTCTTGGGATCTCTCTAGTTGCGCGGCGCAAAACGCTGTACAAATAAAGAAACTAATCCCTTTTTCCAGATGGTACTTTGGACGGGTACGCCGAGCAGAGGCCGAGAAGGCTTTGCAGCAGGCCGAGGGCGGAAGCGGCGTCTTTTTGGTGCGCGAGAGCGAGAGCCGACACAACGAATTGTCGCTATCCGGTGGGTTTTAGGCCCAGGCAGGCTAGCGCTGATCCTAGAGGAATAATCAAATTGCCGCAGTTTTCCTTTTAAACGATTTTTTAACAATTCGTGATCGAAATATATCTTTTTATATAATAAAATGTTTCTAAAACCCGTGAAAACCTCTTGCTTTGAAAACACCATTTTCAGTTCGCGAGGTCGACTCGGTGAAGCACTACCGCATCCGCTCCCTCGACCAGGGCGGCGTGTTCATCGCCCGCCGCCGCCCATTCCCCACCCTCAACGAGCTGATCAGCCACTACCAATTGGTATTGGGCCTTTTTTCTGGTTGTAAACCATTTTTAGGACGCTGACGGTCTTTGTGTTGCCCTCACAACGCCTTGCCCCAAAACAGACCTACCGCAGACCTCAACGTTTACATACGGTAGTCATTACAAAATTTTCAAGCTAACGAAATTTAGACGATCAATGGGAAGTTGATCGGCGGACCGTGAAGTTGATCAGACAAATTGGGGCCGGTCAATTTGGAGAGGTACGCGCGGTTTTTGAATTTTTCCGCCTAGCTCGAGTTTTTAAAGTTTTTATTATTCATAAAAGTAAAAAATAAATTTCGCTTTTTCGAGCGAAACTATCGATAAGATCGACGGATTTTCGATAAAAATTGGACATTTAATTTTTCAGTTTTTAGCTTTTTTAGCGTTACCTAGATCCCAAATTTTACTATACTGCTACTAAGAAACTTATATATTACGTTACTAGGGATATTTACAAGACTTTTTTTCATATATATACTTTATTCAGTAGTTGAATAAGAGTGGGGAGTGGGCGATGTAGGTGCCAATGGTTCAGAGGTTGTATAACATGCGGAAACAAACGGGGGAGGAGAGAAAAAAAAAGATCACAGAAATTGGGACAGGTCCATTTTTTCTAAAGTTACACGAAAGCTCTTTGCATTTCCCAATTGACCTTCTTTGAAGACCCTAGGCGGGAGCTTATTCCAGGTTTTTGCAACTCTACGCGAGAAGAAAGAACGGGGGGAAACCTTGTTTACTATGGATTCTCTTCACTTGAAAAGCATGGGCATTCCTTACCGGGCGATTTGTGCATTCCAAAAATTTGAACGGAAAGGTTTCTACAAAAAAAGGCTTATAAAATGTAACTAAATCCGCTTCTGTTCTACGGTGCGCTAGAGTGGGAAGTGAAAAGAATTTTAGTCGATCTGGGTAACAGGGCATAGGCTCATTTGGGAACAATTTCTTATAGGCAAAGAAAGTAAATTTACGTTGGACACTTTCAAGTTCATTGATGTTGCGCTTTTTGGTTGGGTTCCAAATCTCGGAAGCGTACTCCAAAATCGGCCTAACTAAAGTACTGAAAGCACGCCGGTACGTGATCGCATTTGGAATTTGAATTCTTTTGATAAGAAGGAAGGATATACGAGCGGCTTTTAATCGGATAGCGGCGATATGCGATTCAAAGTTAAATTTCTGATTGTAAGTGATCCCTAGGTCCTTAATCACATTTGTACTTGGTATCCGGGTATTGTCTACGTAGAGATCTTGGAAACGGGCTGGGGAAATGTTCGTTAGGATAAAAGTTTTGGAGGTTGAAAGTGACATTTGATTTTCAACACACCAGCTTTTGACCGCATTTATATCTGCCTGGAGAGCTCTAAAAGCAGGATCAGCCAAGGTGGGGTTGCGTGGCACGCCGGCGTAAATTTTTAAGTCATCAGCAAAAATTAGGCTACTGTTCGTTAGAAGGGAAGGAAGATCGTTTATATAGATGAGAAAAAGTAGTGGGCCTAATACGCTACCTTGAAGGACTCCTGAGGGTTGTGGGTGGGCGTTCGACTTTTGATCACCTATTTTCACATAGAAAGATCGATTTGTCAAATAAGCCTCAATCCAAGTAATCAATATCTGCGGGAAACCTATATGAGAAAGCTTAGTGATTAAAAGTGCGTGGGAGACTTTATCAAAAGCTTTGGCTAGATCAAAATAAATCGTGATAGGGTCCTCGTCGGCGTCGATTTTCTCAGAGATTTTGTGAAACATTTGCAAAAGCTGCGTCGTCGTGGAATGAAACTTTCTAAAGCCGAATTGGGCTGGCGAAAAGAAATTATTTAGGTCAAGACGCGCCACGATTTTCGTTTTTAAAGCTACTTCCATTAGTTTGCAAATGGAGGAGGTCAGGGCAACGGGGCGGTAGTTTCCGGGACAGTTGATCAGACAAATTGGGGCCGGTCAATTTGGAGAGGTACGCGCGGTTTTTGAATTTTTCCGCCTAGCTCGAGTTTTTAAAGTTTTTATTATTCATAAAAGTAAAAAATAAATTTCGCTTTTTCGAGCGAAACTATCGATAAGATCGACGGATTTTCGATAAAAATTGGACATTTAATTTTTCAGTTTTTAGCTTTTTTAGCGTTACCTAGATCCCAAATTTTACTATACTGCTACTAAGAAACTTATATATTACGTTACTAGGGATATTTACAAGACTTATAAATAAAAGATGTAGGATCCACCCGGAAATACTCAGTACCCAATGCGCAATTCCAATGAACACCAGTCCGTTTATAGGTGTGGGAAGGACGGTGGAATAACAATGTGGCCGTGGCGGTGAAGCGACTGCGATCCGGCGCCGCCGACCCGTCCGACTTTTTGGCCGAGGCGCAGATTATGAAGAAGCTCAAGTAAGCAGCAATAGAATTTTTATTGTTATTTTTAGACATCCTCGTCTACTGCAGTTGTACGCCGTCTGCACCAGGGAGCAGCCCATATTGATTGTCACCGAGCTGATGAGCGAGAACTTGCTCCACTATTTACAGGTATCTGGCAGCGATGATTTGGGAAATTTCTCGAAAGTTTTAGTTAGATAGTTAAATTTCTGCTTCTAGGGCCGAGGTCGTCCGAGCCCCGCCGAGGCACAGCTCCGCCAACAAATTCGCCAGCTCGTCGATATGGCCGCACAGGTTCGTTGTAGCTGGCGAGGGAGCGGATAGGGGGTGGGAGAGAGAGGGAGAGAAAGAGGGAGAGAGAGAAAGAGGGAAAGAGAGAGAGAGAGAGAGAGAGAGAGAGAGAGAGAGAGAGAGAGAGAGAGAGAGAAGAGATAGAGAGTCATGGTAACCGGTTACGCGCGCTAACTGGTCGTCCGTGCATGGTTGTTTTGCGGATGCAAGATCCTATCTGCAGTGCCAACTGCCGGCGGTTTACAGTTTGGCAGGGTGACGGAGCGGATTCGGTACTGGACTGTTAGCAGGGGGGAGGTATATTATGTATTTTATAGGGGTTTGAGAAGTTCTTGACTCCTAGAAACTTGCAAAAATCTCCAAAAAGTGACTGAAAATTCAAAAATTTTGCCGATTTTTTGCCATTCTTCATATATTTTTGACCTACAGTCAAAAATATTCGAAAATTGTATATCCTACTATATATAAAAAAATAGTGTTTGTGTGTGTGTGTGTGTGTGCATTTGCATGCAACTTCCGTCAGGGTGTCCAGCGGATATCTCAAAGGGGGAAGGGTATTAGGCTACGTATGATACGTCATTAGGTGCGTAATGGTCCCGAGATGACTGCACGCTTATCAAATTTTGCAAATAGGGCTATTTTCGACATTAAAAATCAATTTTTGTTAAAAAATCGGGCAGCCTCTTTGTTAGGAATTAATTAGCATAGGCCGGAAGTGGCGGCAGTCTATATAACGTCGGGGAGGGTGCATTTTTCATTATTTCTCATAGAAATTCGGCCGAGTTATGCAATGTGCAGGATATCATGGGCTCACAAGTCAGACGGGGCCAGGGTTGAAAAGTCGCGAAGCGGCTTTTCAACCCTGGTTTTTTACTAGCTTTATATAAACACAAAAAATTGTCTAGAGTACTTTAAAAATGGTCGATATTTTTTTATAGGGCCGTACAGCTGGGAAAGATTCTCGTTTTCTCCCCGGCTAACCCCCACCAACCCCCGTTAGCAGTCCAGTACCGGGATGCAGACATTAGCGCTTGGGTTTTGATAAAAACACCAGCGCCACCCAGGCGTCACGCGTGTCATTTGTATTGTAGCGGAAATTGCGTACCATGGCCCAAATTCTGTTTTCCAGGTTGCATCCGGGATGGGCTACCTCGAGTCGAAGAACTTTATCCACCGCGACCTGGCGGCCCGAAATATCCTCGTCTCGCACGCGAACGCCGTCAAGATTGCCGATTTCGGGCTGGCGAGGCTGTTGCTGAAGGAGGCCGAGTACGAAGCACACCCCGGCGCACGGTTCCCAATTAAGGTACTGCTGGACACCGTTTGTATTAGCCCGACCCTCGCATTTTTAGTGGACAGCCCCCGAGGCCGCCAACTTCAACAAGTTCACCACCAAGTCGGACGTATGGAGCTTCGGCATTCTTCTCACCGAGATGGTGACGTTTGGACGGATACCGTACCCAGGTATTCCCTATTTTATGCCTGATTTAATATTTACTACTCTAGGGATGACGAATGCGGAAGTGTTGCAACAAGTCGAGCAGGGCTACCGCATGCAGTGTCCGCCGAATTGCCCGCCCCCGCTCTACGATATTATGCTTCAGGTGAGGGGGCGGTGACAGAGACTTTTTGCGCCCTTTACTCTCTACCTTTTACGGTTCTTTGGCATTATCGGGGGGAACAGCGTTTTTCTTAGAATCCAATTTTTACAATAGAAACAATTAAAACTTTACAAATTTTGATTAAAAATACAAAAAATATATGTATTTATGTTTTTCTAGTTGAAATAGGGTTATATTTAATTATAGAAACTTTTGAAACGCTTCCTATTAAATTCGAGACGTTCTATTCCATTCTATTTCTATTCTATTCTAGTTCTAAACGTATACAAAAAATTTTTGCCTCCCCGCCCCGATAATGCGAAAGAGCCCCTCATTTTTAGTGCTGGCGTGCCGATCCGGAGAAGCGGCCGACGTTCGAGACGCTGGAATGGCGACTGGAGGAGCTGTTCTCCGCCGATGGCTCCGAATATAAAGAAGCGGCCCTTTCCTATTGACACCTCGGTAATTGTCATTGCTAAGCGCCTCATCCCCCCGCCCCAACACTCAACTAAATATTGTTTTTCTCTCCTCGCCCCCATGCGTTTTGTACTTGAGACCAAAAATTCCGTCGTTATTTACGCTTGTGATATTTATCGCTGACTTTTCACCTCTTCGCACGGCGATTTTTGTGAACTGAGATTGCTGCTATCGACATATCATTTCGAGTGATAAATGTTTTTGAACAAGTGAGAAACGGCTTGCAGTTCCAAGCGTTGGATCACGACGACTATTTACGGCAAATGGTGCGGTCCTAGGCATCAGTTGCGTTCCGGCTTCTGGCCGTAAATTGCCGTAAAGCGCTCGATTTCATTAGCCGAGTACTTTGGGCGTTTTGGCAGTTGGTAGCTCATTGTTCCCTTCACATCGGAGGCACACTTGCATTGCCTAAAAGATTCCATAGTTTCGCTTCATTATTCTCCGGCTCATAGCTTTATATTATACAGGTGAGAAATGCCGCTTACTTCTCGGTCAGCGCGACATCACCCAGTAGGACTTCAACCCGCTGTGTCGCGGAATAGCCGTGCAGATGATCAACTTCGTGAGACAGGCCAAAGTTGAGGAGAATTTGCGACGGCGTGCTCCAGGACAGAAGACGGCACGAAATCTAGGAATTCAATAAACGAGATACAAAAACCTAACATTTATGAAAAATATTACATGAATTTTCGACAAAATACCGAGATGATATATTGTAATGTTTGCTAGCTAAAATCGAACAAATCATACCACGTTCACGGAGGTGAAGGCCCATTTGAGATCTTCCCCAGCAGCGGCGGGCGCTACCGAATTCTTTTCCTAAATACCAAATTTGTTTCAGACGGACGGCGCCACTCACCATGTAGAAGATCTGCCCCGTAGATTCAGCCGCCACCCATGAACCATCGGCCTCGATCATCGTAGCTCGGTCGTTAAACAGCGAGGTATTGGGCTGGGCCTGGAAAACCAATGAAATAAAACAAAGCCATAATCGGCCTGGCTTGCCGCCCACAACACACCTTGTTACCCTTGTTGCATGTTTGGTTCAGCGAAACGGGCAACCCAAGGGGCTGCGTCGCGGTCTTGAGGTAGAGAGAAGAGTCCTAAATAAAGAAAGTGGCTAAAACATTTAGGCATTGGACTGTTAGCGGAGGGGGGAAACCAACTTTTCCCCAGCTATCCTTATCCGCGGGGGGGACCTTTTTTCTGTTTTTTTCGGGCACTTTTTTTCTGTTGGCCCTGGTGGGCATAGTAACCAAATATAAAGTGTTTTCACATTGTTTTTAGCAAAATTTAAGCCTATTTTAATAGGAAAAACTTTTTTAAAAGTCAGAAAAACGCTTGAAAAAGTCAAAAATTTGTCATTTTTGGGTCGAAAAAATTGATTTTTCGACCTAAAATTAAATTTTTTAATTAAAGCCCCCGGGAATACTCAAGAACCACCTCCCCCCAGCTGACAGTCCAGTACCCAAATATTCAAACTTACAGGCAAAGATTTTAACTCGAGTACTTCCACGCAATTGGTGCACACAGCGGATCCATCAGCAAAACTCAGGTACCGGCCGCGTGCATGCCTGGCGACGACCTAAATTCGGCGTCAAACCAATCATTAAAACTATTACCGTTCCCGGCTTCAGAATGCGCCAAAAGTGCTTGTACATCTGCAATGATATTCTTTATTTTTAGGCGTATATCCCCACACTAATAGGCTGTGAAGCGAGCCGAAACAACTGCAATCCTGCCGCATCCTCTACCTTCGCGATCACACGATAGACCGCTTTTTTGATCTGCGTGCGCAGCGTCAACGGGAAGGTGCACTGAAATTCGATTAAGTTTCGCAGGAGCTGGTCTACGGTGTCGTTTTCGGAGAGCATCTCGCCGTGGATCGTGTGGCTCGCCAGTAGCTCGCCCGTACACAGCATGACCTGCACCACAAGGCCCATCCACCGCGTGCCGACGATCTTTATCCACGCATTTGCCGTGTAGCTGCTGCAAAGACACGAAACTCGGGCTATGGTAGATGATCTTACCGAGAACTTGTCGACGGCGTCAAACCTTGCGGCGTGTAAATCAGGACCTCGGCTCCTCCATCAGCAGCCATTCCGTTTAACGCCGTCACGGGAAATAAAAGTCCTTCGGTTTGGTCTCAGACGTATGCAAAGGTCTATGCAAATGTATGTCTATGCAAAAATATGCAAATATCAGCGCCCAAAACCCGCGTCGCGGGCCTTGGGCGCTGGAATGCGGCCTTTGCATGAAAAATTTGACTCCGATGGCTCGGGTCCTGCGGACCCCCCACGCCCGACCAAACTCGCGTGTGCAACTGGCAAGAATGAGGAAATTTGTATTTTTTCACGTTATGCAAATTGGCCCTCCTGAGTCCCCAAAAGTGAATAAAACCGGCTTTATCTTTGTAAACTTGCATTTCATCGGGATTCTGATACATCCAAACACACACAGTTACACGCCAAAATTATATAAGGTAGGATGTCAATTCTCACAATCCTACTATATATAAAAAATATGTATGTGTCTCTATGCCACTTTGCATCCAACCTCCGTCAGGCTGTCCGGAGGATACCTGGACAGGCGAGGAATTTTAAACTACGTATGATACGTCATTAGGTGTGTGTGATGGCTCTGGGATGACTTCACGCGTATCAAATTTAACAAAATCAGCTGTTTTAAACATTAAATTGCCGTTTTTATAAACTTTTCGGGCAGCCTCTTTGTTCCGAAAAAATTAGCATGCACCGGAAGTGACGTTAGTTTATATAAACGAACAGCAGAACCTTTTTCATTTTTTTTGTCATCAGAATTCGAGGGATTATGCAAAGTGAAGACCATCATGGGATCGAGATGGGGCCAGGGTTGAAAAGTCGCTTCGCGACTTTTCAACCCTGGTCTCTGCTAAATACTATCGCCTCAAATCGACCAAAAAGATCGCATCTATTTTCGACAAAATACCGACAGCCACTCTTGTAATGTTTGATAGGTAAAATAGATGAAAAACATTACATTCCTTTTCGACAAAATACCGACAGCCACTCTTGTAATGTTTGATAGGTAAAATAGATGAAAAACATTACATTCCTTTTCGACAAAATACCGACAGCCACTCTTGTAATGTTTGATAGGTAAAATAGATGAAAAACATTACATTTATTTTCGACAAAATACCGACAGCCACTCTTGTAATGTTTGATAGCTCAAATAGATGAAAAACATTACATTCCTTTTCGACAAAATACCGACAGCCACTCTTGTAATGTTTGATAGGTAAAATAGATGAAAAACATTACATTTATTTTCGACAAAATACCGACAGCCACTCTTGTAATGTTTGATAGGTAAAATAGATGAAAAACATTACATTCCTTTTCGACAAAATACCGACAGCCACTCTTGTAATGTTTGATAGGTAAAATAGATGAAAAACATTACATTCCTTTTCGACAAAATACCGACAGCCACTCTTGTAATGTTTGATAGGTAAAATAGATGAAAAACATTACATTTATTTTCGACAAAATACCGACAGCCACTCTTGTAATGTTTGATAGGTAAAATAGATGAAAAACATTACATTCCTTTTCGACAAAATACCGACAGCCACTCTTGTAATGTTTGATAGCTCAAATAGATGATAAACATTACATTTATTTTCGACAAAATACCGACAGCCACTCTTGTAATGTTTGATAGGTAAAATAGATGAAAAACATTACATTTATTTTCGACAAAATACCGACAGCCACTCTTGTAATGTTTGATAGGTAAAATAGATGAAAAACATTACATTCCTTTTCGACAAAATACCGACAGCCACTCTTGTAATGTTTGATAGGTAAAATAGATGAAAAACATTACATTTATTTTCGACAAAATACCGACAGCCACTCTTGTAATGTTTGATAGGTAAAATAGATGAAAAACATTACCTTTATTTTCGACAAAATACCGACAGCCACTCTTGTAATGTTTGATAGGTAAAATAGATGAAAAACATTACATTCCTTTTCGACAAAATACCGACAGCCACTCTTGTAATGTTTGATAGGTAAAATAGATGAAAAACATTACATTCCTTTTCGACAAAATACCGACAGCCACTCTTGTAATGTTTGATAGCTCAAATAGATGAAAAACATTACATTCCTTTTCGACAAAATACCGACAGCCACTCTTGTAATGTTTGATAGCTAAAATAGATGAAAAACATTACATTCCTTTCGACAAAATACCGACAGCCACTCTTGTAATGTTTGATAGCTAAAATAGATGAAAAACATTACATTCCTTTCGACAAAATACCGACAGCCACTCTTGTAATGTTTGATAGGTAAAATAGATGAAAAACATTACATTCCTTTTCGACAAAATACCGACAGCCACTCTTGTAATGTTTGATAGGTAAAATAGATGAAAAACATTACATTCCTTTTCGACAAAATACCGACAGCCACTCTTGTAATGTTTGATAGCTAAAATAGATGAAAAACATTACATTCCTTTTCGACAAAATACCGACAGCCACTCTTGTAATGTTTGATAGCTAAAATAGATGAAAAACATTACATTCCTTTCTCGACAAAATACCGACAGCCACTCTTGTAATGTTTGATAGCTAAAATAGATGAAAAACATTACATTCCTTTCGACAAAATACCGACAGCCACTCTTGTAATGTTTGATAGGTAAAATAGATGAAAAACATTACATTCCTTTTCGACAAAATACCGACAGCCACTCTTGTAATGTTTGATAGCTAAAATAGATGAAAAAACATTACATTCCTTTCCTCGACAAAATACCGACAGCCACTCTTGTAATGTTTGATAGCTAAAATAGATGAAAAACATTACATTCCTTTTCGACAAAATACCGACAGCCACTCTTGTAATGTTTGATAGCTAAAATAGATGAAAAACATTACATTCCTTTTCGACAAAATACCGACAGCCACTCTTGTAAT